TACCCACTAGACGCCCAGTGGCGTAACTACTAACTACTGCGGTGAGGATCGTCACTTGGAACGGCGGTGGAATCTTCTGCAACAAAAAAACCGGGCAACACGAGCTTGTGCAGGTACAATGTCGCATGCGCAGGAATTACCAACGCCCCAGCCGGTTACGCAGGGGAGACGAATCAAAGCCGTCTTCTTCGACTTTATGGGAACGTGTCTAGATTGGCATAGCGGAGTCGCCAACGCTTTACCGGCAGCTATAGCGGAGGCAACCCGCTCCAGATTGGCGCTTGATTGGCGCGAGGAATTCTTTAAGGAGCTGCATGCTCGGTCCCAACAGGGCCTACCGCCTGAGGATATCGACATCACACATCGAAAAACTTTACTTAGAATCCTGGGTTGGGATGTCTACAAGGAAGAGCGCCGCCACTTTGTTGGGCTCGACAACGACGGCGGGTCTACAGACGTTGTTGGCGTTGTTGGTGTTGTTGCCCCGGACGGCGGCGGCACGGCTGCTATCGAGCGCGCTGTGCGTTCGTGGCACAATATGGCTCCATGGTCGGATGTTCGCCCTGCGCTAACCGCGCTGAAGGGAAAGCTAGGGCTGGAGCTATTTGTACTCGCCAACGGGACTACGAGGCTCCAGCTCGACCTAGTCCGATCTTCCGGCTTAGAGGGCATCTTCAGCTTGTTGTTCTCCAGCGAGCTTCTGGGCGTCTATAAACCGGCGCCGGAGGCCTACAAAAAAGCGTTAGGGCTGGTGAAGGTCCGGCCGCATGAGGCCGTTATGGTCGCAGCCCACGCATACGATCTCAGAGCGGCGAAGGCGCTCGGTATGAATACGATGTACGTTTATCGTTGGACGGATGACCGCAGCGAGGATATGGACGTTGTTAGAAGAGAGAATGATGTGTTCCTCGGTGAGAGTGAGAACGGAATGGAAGGGTTGTATTCCGCTATCGAGGCCTTGAATTAGGTCTCTAAGCCAAATTGCTAACTACGTAGTTCCTCTCATCATACATACATTCTACCAACAGCCCTGCGGTAGGTCGCGAACCAGGTCTCTCGGTTCGGAGGATCCGTGGGCTGTGGTTCTTGGTAAACGAATATGTTGTGCATGAGGCCTCCTGCCGACGGATGCTTGAGGATTAAGCGGCTCGTGTGAGTCGCATTTGAAGAAATGAGGCGCACACCATCGTCATAATTAGGTGCATCACGGCCCGGAGGGTTGGTTCTGTGTTCTAACATGTCTAGATGTCTAGAGGGGAGAAATGTGGTGGTGGTGGTGGTGGTGGTCTGCGCCTCCCGGGTTCTATAAAATGCCGACCGGTAACTCTCGGGGTGAAGTATGTACACGAGTACCTAACAATAGCCCCCCCCCTCTCCCTCTCCCTCTCTCCTGCCCGGGCTTACTAGGATTTAAACTATAGCGGGTCTTCATTAAGTTAGTGTACAGGGTTTAAGTATTCGCGCAATCAGCGTCTAGATTTGCTAGATTCAGAGCCAAATTAGGAAAACCCTAGTTTTAGTCTAACTGCGCTGGCCAATCAGACACGTGTTTCCCACTTTGTCGCGCCTAATTTGAAAGTCGTACTAATGCTTTGGACCAATAAGACACTTCAAACTTCTTCTCCTTCTCAACCGCCGCGACTGGCGCCCCTGTAGCCGCCCAATGAGTACGACTGTTCAAGAACGACTATGGGCGATTCGCCTCATGAGAGCCTCTCGTTTTGGCCATTGCTTCGTCGCTTAATACCCGCATTGCCTCATCGCGAACATACCTGTTCGCCCAGAATTTGTTGCGTCCACTCAGTATACTCGAACGGGTAGTGCTACGTAAATTCTGTAGCGGCTAAGTCAGATCTATTCTGCATCTAAGTCTACCATCTCGTCATCTTTGGGTGAAGATGTCCAGTCGATCACCCGCTCCCTGCCGCATTATATCGGGCGTCATGTCGAGCACCCCATCAGGTCGCATCTGTTGGGCTAGAGAAATCGGCGTCGCTTAGGTCACGCGATCGAGGATGATTGCCAACTATGCCTACTATGCCATCTACGCCGTCCGGGCCACGGGGGGCCAAGGGGACGAACAATGGTCGAACAAAGTGGAAACAAAGATGTCAAGGAACGAAACGTGATTCATAGGCCGGGCATCAAAATTCACTTGTCATTGCTAGGCCGTCGCGTTGTTCGTTCTTTTGTCCCACGTCTATTCACCCACACCTTTCATAGTCATTCTACTGAATACTCGAACGTGTTCATTGTTTCCGCCTAGTTATTCTCGTTACTATTTCTAACTCACCCCCCTGCCTATCTTAGTCTCTGACTGGCTTTTCTGTGATTGAATTTCCTCTTTTGCTACCATAGATACTGCCTTCTGCCACGTCCTAGTACATACTTTCAATTTCTTATTCTACCTACATAATTATCTCTTGGCTTTTTATTTCCTTAAGTTATACCTCAGCATTGTAGCAACACCTCATAGAAAATCAGAAAACGTCGTATTCTATCATAGCTGATCACCCCATGGCATATCTCTGGGGCCCTCGAAGGGCTTTACGTCTCGCGGCGGTGCTTGCGACGACTGCTTCAGCCACATATATCAGACCGAATATCCTGCTCGAGAGAGCCGATAGCACTTGCGCTGCAGACTTCACAAAATGCGCATTATCCGGGCTGCCGGACAACTTCTGCTGCGAAGCGGATACGACGTGTATAGCCCTGGCTGGCAACACGACGGTATTATGCTGCCCGAAAGGCAAGACCTGTAACAAGATAAATCCCATAACATGCGATCTCGCATTACAAGATCCTGTCACAAACCCCGAAGCTGAGATCAAGACGACGGCACTCGATGGAATTCTTGAGACATGCGGGACGGGAACTTGCTGCCCATTTGGTTACCATTGTGATGGTACAATATGTGTGAAGAACACCGACCAGAGTCAGAAGCCGGAAACAAAACCAAGTTCCATAAGCACGTCCGCACCGGCTCCTACTTCCACACCTGTCTCAACATCCAAGACAACGACGGTGGCTGTAAGTGAGATAACGTCCGCTACACTACCTCCTACGTCTCCCACGCCACCTACCGCTCCGGACACCGAGCCAACCGACGAACCAACTAGCGAGCCGGTTACCGAGGCACCACCGCCGTCGACAACGGGCACGGCCGACACCGTGAAAATTGTCGGTGGAGTCATAGGAGGTGTTGTCGGCTTCGTCTTCGTAATTCTAGCCGTCATTTTCGCGCGGTACAAGCGCAAGAAGCAGCTCCAGAGGCAGGAACAATTACAGCGCCACGACTCGACGTCATCCTTCGGCAACATTATCAGCGCGCCTGTGCCTCATGCTAAGTATCCGAATGAGCGCATAGACTTTCTAGCGAAGCAACCCCAGTCCAGTTCGCCTCGGAGTTTCACACCGTCGTCTCCGACGGCCGTGGCGTCACCCAGTAGCCATCGGAAGCCCGATGAGGGATATGGCGGATTAGGGTTTATGCCGCCGAACTCGCCTTACGCGGCGTACTCCCGCCGCCCGGAGAGCGAGATGTCGGACGTACCACGCAGCTACCACGCCTCGGCCGAGATAGGCGGGCTCCGGAGCTTAACAGGCTGGAAGCCTCATCAGCAGAACGGCGGCGGGAATATTAACAATTATTCTCCCGTCCCGGCACCCCTAGTCACCCTAACACCCGCACGGGACGGTACTATAAAGGGGAAGAACAAAGGGAAGGGCAAAGAGAGGGCTCGAAGCAACGAAGACGAAGACATGAGCATTAATATCTTTGCGGACCCGCGCACGGTGGCAGACGGCAGGCCAGATAGCTCCGTGACGACGTGGTCGCATATCCAGCAGCGGGCTGATAATAGTGGCAATGCGACGCCGATCAGGGGCCAAGCAAGGTTAGGAGATGAACTTCCGAGATGGAGGTGATAGACACGATACGCATAGCAAAGGCGGGCATATACTTTTCTCTTTTCCGTCATCTAAGCTAAAGCCGATCGCTTATCTTTATTTTCCTTTGTTTTAAATCCAGCAAAAAATCTGGGATTCGGGAGGGACACTTTTATCATGATACCACTGGGCGGACGGGCAGGCAGAATAAGCCAGGCGGGTTTGCATCGTACGGCGTTGGGAGGGAGGGAGGGAGGTTCTTTTGCCTTTTTTTATTTTTTATTTTTTATATCGACGTTACTATAGTTTGGAAAAGGAGGGATCAGTTTGATACTATGCTTCCGTGGACATACGATACGATACGATACGATAGGCACATTTCTTCGCAGAGATCAGAGCATTGGTGTATATTATATAGGTAGGTTAGGTACCTTCGTGGTCTATTTGGGGGGTGGATGGTGCTTTGATCGGCTGTTATTATGCTCTTTAACTATGTGCCTGGCTGGGTGCGCCCTATGCATAGGTTAATATTACTTTCGCTTCTACATGCTTTCGGGTCTTTGTTGGTAAAGGTGTTGTATTTACTTTTAATTTGGCGAAATATGGTGAGTGATATTAGACAATGGGGATTGCGTGGTATCATGTTTTGCAACTATTCCGGGTATGATCCATGCATGTGTCAGTACTTACGTGGAAAGAGATAACAATTAGAAAATGTATTTACTCTCAAGTTATATAGAGGATAGAGCAGAGGCTCAACCAAATACCTCAAGTACTATCCATGTAAATAAGGCGCAGAGATTAAAATCTCAAAAAACAAGAACCCAATCGCGGTTCGTCTTGATATGCACACATTTAAAACCCAGCCCAGTTGATGCAGCATGGCAACTTTTCGTACAAGCGTCTCAGAGCCTATCTCAAAGTACAACTCCTTCTTCTTATGTTCCCATTAATCGTCCATCAACAGCTCATACATACATCTTCATAACAGCCGACCACCCACGATCCAAATCCAAAAAAAAACCACTCAGCATATTTTTTGGTTTACTAAACGGCACAGATACCTACTAACCCCCCCCTCGCCCAACTCTCCAGAGCTTGGGCTCGTACATGGTAAGAATATGAAAACTTTTAGGGAAACGAACAAGAGCTCCTCATTGCTTCTTCTTGTTGCTCTTCTCAGCCGTCGGACTCGACGGACGCCCGCCGTTGCTAGTCTTCTCCATACTCTCGTACTTCTCGTATTCCTCGTCGTCCTTGCGCTCGGCGTACCATTGACCCGCCTGGAGGACCAGCACACCAACAAGCACCAGCGCCAGAATCGTATTGCTAGCAGCCAGGACCTTCAGACTATCCTCGCGCCCGAGGATAATCTCCCCACCGGTCAACGGGTCGCCGGCCCCCGCGCCAGGACGGCCGACGCCAACGGTAGTCGGGTCGAAGTCGTCGGACTCCCAGGCGCCGGCGCTGACGAGGCGCAGGCCCTTGACGATGTTAGCGACGTAGACGCCGACGCCGATGAGGTAGAGGACGAGGGAGGCGCCGTCGAACAGCATGTTGGACTCGGAGGCGCGGAACAGCTTGATGAAGAAGCCGAGGAAGCCGACGCCGACCATGATGCTTAGGATGCGCGCGATCAGCGGGGGGGACTGGTGCATGAACTTGAGGTGGATTTCGAGCTGGTCTAGGTACGCGGCCGAGATGGGGTCTTTGGTCCATAGCAGCGGGAAGTCGTACGGGAACATGGCGAAGAGGATGCCGAGGAAGAAGCATGTTGCTGGAGGGGAGAAGTGTTAGTGTTGTTGTATAGTAGGTCTATGTGTTTGTGTGTATATATAGATGGTGTATGTATAAGATCATTTTGCGCCGCGGGGTTAAAGCAACAGCACAGCGCAGCCAACGATAGAGAGGCGGAATATACATACGCCCTATAATCATAAAAGTCGCAAACGACCCGGACCCGCGATAGTTCTTGGACCGGGTGGTCTTGTTCCAATCTACCCACTTATCCGACATGGCGACCTGCGATGACGATGTTTGCGACGCGGTTTGGCGGCTACGTAATGGAGTGGTGTTGGCGGAGCTTTGACGAAAGAAGAGAGAAAAAAGGACGTGCGAAAAGTGGTCGATGCACGTTTTTAGTGCGAATTGACTTGACTTGTTTTATGAGTTTCACCGTCGATCAATTAAGGAGGTGGTGGCATATCGTGTTTGCGCTGTTTGCCGCGGCTGAGGGGAGAAAAGCTGAGAAAATGTGATTGCGGTGCAATGGAATGAGGTGTAATCCGTAATCTAATCTGTACAAGGCTGGCACTAAGGTATACATGTATGTATGCATTTAACGGAATATATATCTATGCATATAAGAAGTGATATGTAAAGCCTCTATTTAATGCATCAAGTGATAGTCCGTACTTCCCACAGAATCGTGTATCTCAAGCTACCTCCTATCTCACACTCTATATAAGTGTAATAAGACGTTTTGGACCGGCCCATCTGTCAAAAGTCCTGTCCTCCTTCCAATGATACCACTTCATAAGCCCGACTCGTTTAAACCTCTTACCTACATCACACTTCAATATAAGACAATACATCCATTTCCTTCTCCCCCATGCTGAAATATCGCCCCATACTGGAATAACGGTGAATACCTTCCTGTCCGCTTGATAAAACTCTTCTAAGTTTTTTGAATCATACTGTATCATCACATTTGAATCTCTCTCGAAAAAGCGCCAGCTTTGAGCTTTGTCGTAATATTCCCACCTCTCCTGCTCGAACTTTGTTTCTTTCTGCAATCGAAGGTAGCAAAGCATACACTCGACGTCGAGCTCCGCAGAGCGAAGCAATCCAAAAGAGTCCCCGTTAGGCGGTTCAGGCACGATCCGCTCCTCAATGAGTTTGAAATATGATGTATGATGAACTTCAGGATAAGTGTAGAATTTCACACTACTTCCCGAGATCGAAACCCAACTCCACGACGGCGCATACTCGCTACGTCGGACTTGGTCTCTTCTCTGAATATTGACCTGCCACGTAAGGCAATGATCGAGATCGCCTTTCCATAGGCCAGCCATGTATGTGTCGCCGGTGGCTTCCTGGAAAGCCTTCGCCATGCCAGACACAGCAATCAGTCTATCAGACTCTTTTGTAAGCTCACAAGATGCGTAATATTCCACAATACGAACCCAAGATCTATAGATTTTCTTTAATCTCTCTTCGTCGTGAGGGAGGGGATACAAGTCGGTAGTAATTTCTTTGATTTTGAAGAAATCCAACAATGTTCTACTACCGCTAGCTGTATCGGATCGCTTTAATCTCTCTTCGTCGTGAGGGAGGGGATACAATTCGGTAGTAATTTCTTTGATTTTATAGAAATCCAACACTGCTGTACTACCCCTAGCTGTATCGGATCGTATCTTCTTTTCTAGATTTGCTAGGCTTTTGCTTGTCGGTTTAGATTCGCAATCGGTGCCCTCCAAGCATTCCCAGAAGATCTGGCTTTCAGCAAAGTGAATAGTACGCGTCGTCAGAAATCGTTCTTGAACGACCCAGCCGCGTCTGTTGAGAGGTACTCTCTCGACTTGGTCATTCCAATGTGGAATATGCCATATCCAACATGGTTGGGCGTTTAAGTTCACCACAGCCGGATATAAGAGCCTCTCATGGAGCTTTCTTCGCCTAAAAAGGCCATTCTTTGCTGGGTTGTATGACGCAGAGCCCGCCGATATATTGCAATGTGAGTGGCGGTAAATATCTATCATCGTACTAGCCTCTCGTTGCCATTCACTAGCTGAATCCTGAAATATGCACAATGAGTCGATCCAAATATATCTATAGCCGAGACGTTTGACAAGAAGGGCCGCGTCGCGGAATGCCGGCCACGTTTTGTTGATCGGCGGTAATTCATCAAGCCTAACGCCTTTACGAAGCCGCAACTCTGTGTCTTTGAGAAGTCGTGGCATCTCGTCAGTGTTACCCCAGCGGTGAGATAAAGTCCAGTAGACGGGATATTTATGCACAGTACCCGGCTCGGTTGATGTCGGTAGGCGTGCTTCGTTCTCAGCACCGAATTGAACCGCGACTTCGGCTCTATCCCGTATAGAGATGATCCCAACGTCGGCTTTCTCAACGTCAACAACTCGAGTTGGGAAAAAGGTACCGGTTTCTAAGCCAGGTGATCCATGGTATCCGTGGATTGAGCCACAAGACGTATGGTTAGCTTGACAGGATGATATCCACTGATGTATTTTCCCCAAGGACTCATCGGACCCTATGTTGGGACCGAGAGTAGACCAAGGATGGGCCTCAAGTTCGCTCAATAGTGCACAAGATGATATTCTGATGTTATCCAGTTTTTCTAGAGATCCTATATGGACTAGGCAGCTTATCAGTATATAGGACACTTCAGTGATAGTTCAGACCTACAACTGATCCTTGACACCCCGGCCCAAGAACTTTCTATAGATAAATGTATATTTAAGGGAGGATGATGTATGAGATCGTCATCTGGATTGGGGACACGGAAGGAAATACCAAACTTCCCAAACACGCAATTGTCATCGACGTCCTCTATACCTTGTTTAATCGGATCTGGGGGCTGATGCAGTGCCCATAACCAAGAGCAGATAATACACCAACTCTTCTTACTCGCTATAAATTCATGATAATTTCGGTGTAACGTGTGGCGGGTGTAGGACCCAACCTGGATCATTTTCGTACATTTTTCACATAACTTTTCTTCGGCACCTCCCATTATCGTATAGGAATGCCAGGTACCGCCGTATGATAGGCGAAGGTCGAACTGTAAGAGCCGTAGACTAAACCCGATATTCGAGTATTGTTGGCGACAGTAAGTCGTTCGTTAGTTACTAGATAGTGTTATCGAATTATCCTCTCATATAAATTTGTGATTTTCATTTTCGAAGAATGCTCCGCGGCGGCATGGACGAGGTAGGCACTGCCCGATAATATCTCTGATCAGTTTTCAGTGGCGAACGGAATTAACCAATCACGAAAATCGATCCTACTCTCTCAAACTGCCTGGGTAAGGCAGCGTAAGCAATGTTGGCACACGTAACATTGCTGCCCAATGCCTCGCAAAGTAGACGAATAAGCCCCCTATTCCTCCGCGGAATTGGTATGACTGGCATAACGTGGCAGCCTACGCTGGGAGGAAGCGATGCTCTTTATATTAAACCCCAATACCTACATGATGCACTACGCCTCTACTACGCCAATAAGCGCGAAGAAAAAAAGGCATATGTATGGTGGGCATGCCGACAACTATAAAGTGAGTACTCACCGTCGAATAAGAGCCTGTAAACTGTGAGATCATAGTATTAGAAGCCTAATAGGAGTTTATATAACCACACCGAGTCGGCCTCAACTATACAAGAGGAGTTCGCGTTTAGACCGAGATAAAGGCATGAAAGGTATGCAAGATTTGTTGGCGTACGATACTCCCATTGACTGAAAATTACTTATGATCCAACTGTCTAGCTTTAGGTACGTATACATGCTTCTTTCATACCCCCTCATTACCCTCATCCTAGATACAAAGCCCATTCGTAGAAAATATATTAGTACATTGCTAAAAATAAATAGACGTATATCAGACCAATCTCTTAAATGGATGGGCCTCCGTGTTGAAAACCCATTCGTCCAAGTTGATGAGATCCGGATCGCTGAAGATCAAATAGAAATATCTATAGCCAAGTCATTAGCTGCGGTGGCCGACATTGACAAAGCGGGGGAAGAGAGAGAGAGATTAACACTTACTTCAAAGTCTCGCCCATCCAAAAACTCTCCATAGAGTCCTTCTTCGGTGGATCGCCATGAACCGTGACGTCTCCTAGAGCCGCATTCGCCAACGACGTCTTGGTATTCATCTGGATAGACTCAAACATAACCCAGGCCGACTCGAGTAGGTCTGGGCGACCGGTGATACGATACAGAATGAATACGCTCTCTATGGCTTCCGGCCGTAGGAGGTAACTCGGGTCGGGGATCTTTGTGAATCCCTTCGGAAGCCTGGACTGGGCGATTATCTCGTCCGCCTTTTCCATGTTGTCTAAATCCTGCTCGCCTGCTTCTCGCAAAACAGCACGCTTCCATACTAACTCGTCCCACTCGCATTCCTTGTCCGACTTGCAAGGTTCCATGACGAAGTTCTCAGGCATTATTCCAAGCGGCATCGCATTGTACGTCCAAATACACCCATCTACTAGCTTCGTGGCCACTTCTAGATGTTCCGGCTTCTCGAATAGCTTCCCGCCGACTGCGAGCATTCCACCAGCGAAGCAGACCAGATGCTGCCCTTGACGCTCCAAGTTTAGGGCTTTCTTCCCATCCTCACTCCCTATATGCATGGTACCTGATATTAGAATGTCCGCAGTATCCGGAACCATGGGCCGGAAGAGAAGATGCTTAATAGCAGTTTTCATCGAGTTCTCGTACATAGACTGGTATGAAGGCATAAGCCCGCCCATCATAGCGTACATCTTCGGCAGATACTCATAGGTGCTGTCTGCGAGAGCCCCGAGCCCAAACGTGGTATCGCTATTGAAATTTATGTCTCGAGGATTAAGCGCGAACGGCCACATACCAGGCAGCTGAGTAGTGCTCTGCTGCTCCTCGAGAGCCTCCCTAATTCTCTCGGCTGCGTCATACCATTTCGGGTCTCCAGTCAGCATAGATAGACGCGTAAACTCCATGCTAAATGAACCAACTTCAGCTAGCCATTCCATTTCGGGTGCAACCTGTTTTCCTCCTTTCTTAGCATTCTCGAAGTCCCAACGAGAAATTGGCATACGATTGGGCGTATCGAACGCCTTATATAGCATATCTCCGACTTCTCTAGCCTTGCGTAGCAATCGCAGGTCACCGCTTAAGTCATAAGCTGCAAGGAAACCTCCCAGGTAGCGAATTGCGGTTTCAAAAGCATTTACGGTCTCGATCACACAAGTCGTAAAGTCGATTTGGACCGCAGCCGTCACAGCCTCCTCAAACTCGGACCGCATGGACATAATCCATAAGGTATCTAAGCTGTCGACCAATGTGGCCCCCCAGCCTCCAAATAACTCTTTAGATTTGCCGCTGATAGGAGCTAGCTCGTCGCTCTTAAAGGCCTTAGACCTATAAGACTTCCAGCAGCGGGCGAACGCCTTCTTGATGGCACCTTGCCGTCCACGACGAATATTAGCATCTTTGCTTGATTCTTTCCCAAATGCTTTTTGAATCTTAGGAAGTGTACGCGGCTTGCCGGTCGGCGGCTGTCTTATATCCTGGACGGGATAATGTGTGGGAACTTTCCGCCAGAAATAGTTATCGTCCTCTATAGCCTTTGCGACAAACAGAGGATCTTGAGACGCGCTTCTAGAGCTAGCTAATACGTAGCCATCCTGAGTGATCCAGGAATAGTAGAAAAAGAGGATCAGCGTCGCGATAACGAAGGGGAACCAGACGCGTCGTCGCAATATCATTTTTGCGAAGAGCTAGCTATCTTAGGTACCGAAATATATGGAAATATATGAGATCGTTATATAAGGCATTGAAATAGCGATTGTTGAAGCAACTTTGTTGTTGTTAGAAGGTAAACGGATTCACATAAGGGATCAAATGACATATAAGTTAGGTACCTCTTTAGGTACTTAGGTTCACTATTCTAAGCCTCATTCTCCCCTGAAGTCGCCTGTAGATTCGGGTAGTGATGCGCACCCCACGTAGGTACGTAGGTACCTACCTATGTGACCGGTCTTATGTAATACAAGTCTTACTCGTATTTCCTTCGAATTAAATTTTGTCTAATGATTCATCTCGTTTTCATACTTTTACACATTCAACAATACGAAACTCAAATTGTGATAGAAGTATCAAACTCTACTTACTATTCTAAGCGAATCTACTGTGCCTATTAAATTGGGCCAGTTCTCGATTTCAAAAGGTGGGATGTGCGATGTAATAATCCGTACTGCTTAAGAAATTGAGGGACCTCACTTATCGGAGACTTTGAGTGAGATGACGATCTCATTTCACAACAGCGATTCAACACCGTTTCAGTCATTCTCCGAGAACACAGGAAATCGTTGGATTCACTCTCTTTTGACGACCTATGAAATATGTGCAACTGCTCTGCTCACTGACATACGATACACCTCATTTTGTCTATTCTCGACTTCTCATGCTGATTCGAATGTTGCCATTACGCTGCAGAACACACCACGTTAGGAGAAGTCTGGCAATCAATACTTCTATTTTTGACGGCCTACACATATTTATCTCAGTAAGTATATGTTCATACATATATACTGACAGAAAAGTTGTCTCAGTATGTGTAACAACTCATCGTCCTCTCATTTACCGGCTCCCGGGGAAGGGCAACACAGCAACACCTCGCAACCCGTCTGCACCTTTAGCCCGGATTCCAAACACAACATCATCTTTACTTAGTGCTAATGTAGCTTCAATAGCAGAGCCAACATCGAGCACGCCCGTCCAAAAGGGGGCGCTCGTAGGACGCCATACAACCTCATAACTACCATCGTGTCCAGTAGCAGGCGGATCCCAATAGAGCGTGGTACTAGTACTCAGAGCCGACGTATCAACGCGCACATTCTGAGGTATCCCAGGCGCCGTCGCAAGACTCCACAGCGCAGCGCCGTTGACGCGCGCAACACGCGCCACATACTCGAAGTCGACGAACTCAGGTAGGTCTCCAAACTGCTTCCCATCAGCGTCAACACGCACATCTTGATGCTGGTGCGCGTAATCCTCATGCGGCTCCGTGAACCGGGCAGCCGGGTATCCGGCCTCGAGGAAGGGTCGGTGGTCGCCGCCGCGCAGGTAGCGGTCAAGGCGGTAGACGACGGAGACGTTCATCCCTGTGGCCGTATTTTCGGCTGTCTCCTTAACGAAGCGCGCTAGTTGGCGTGCCGGCGAGTCGTTCTCCCCGCCGATCGTGAGGCGCGTCTCCCGCGTCGTGCTGTTCTCGATAGCGAGGCCAGGCAGCCCTTGCGCAAACAGCCGTATCACGTACGGGTCTACGGATTCCCCATTCGTCCCGCCCTTCGGCGACCCCACGATGTCGTTCGTGAACATGCCTTCGACCTTTGTGGGTACGAGTGGAAATTAGTGTTAATTCAAGTCTCTCATGGTTACGGGTTTCTGCATCAGATGCATCTATCCTAAGCCAAAGGAGAATGGTAAACTTACATTAACCCTCGGCGTAGCATTGGCGTATGTCTGAGCTAGGAACTTCGCCCCGTAAAGCCCCTGTTCTTCACCCGCGACGGCTACAAACGCGATACTCGCCTTCGGGCGAGGGTACTGGGGCTGCGATACGATCCGCGCGAGCTCAAGCGAGATAGCGACCCCGGAAGCGTCATCGTCGGCTCCAGGGGCGTCGCTCTCATAATTCAGCGGATCCGAGACCCTCGAATCGTAGTGCCCGGACACAACGTATAGCCGGTTATCCTCAGTACCATGTAGAGTCGCAACGACGTCGCTGATACGCACCGGGAACAAAATGCGATTGGCATCTGTCTCCTGTACGTACCCTATTGTCTCGACAGTCAGCTTCCCATCGCTGCCGTCGGCGTACTTCTGGAATTCGGCATGGATCCAGTCACGCGCCGCTCCTATTCCTCGCGTCGTCGAGTTTTGGATCGATAACGTGTGCCGCGTGCCAAACGATACCAACTTCCGGATTGTAGCTTCGATGTTGGCCGGATCGACTTGCGCGAGTATGGACTCGAGATCTGCTGACGGCGACTGCGGTAAGTTTGGCCCGCCTATCGTGTTCGGAGGCCAGCTCGACGCTAGACATGTCAACGTAGACGGTGGCTCCTCCGCTCTAGGCCTCAGGAGCACGTTGGCTGGATTACTCGAGGTGAATGGTGCTGCCGCGCCGAGAGTCGCAGCAGCAACCACCGCGGAGAAGGTGAGTTTCATAATAGCGATCGTATACCCAGAGGCAGTATATAGAGCCGTGGATGAAACTCTCTTTTTAGGTAGAACCATCAATTATCCGTAATATATATTGCACTTGTAACAAATACCCCCCAACTCTTGCGAACAATCTAGTCAGTAGGTATCTACACCACACAGCGATGCCGGCAGTTACCAGGTACCAACTCCTCTTTCGCCACCGACATCATCGTCCCCGTCGATATCACCATCGCTAGCCTCCGCTCCGACAGGCCGCCCAGAAACACAGATAACTATATGCAGCTAACTGACTAGCAACCAAGCTACCCCTCCACTCCAACTACGTTCTGATAACACAAATTGACCAATCACCAGCAAGCACGCAAGAGCTTCCCTTTTCCGCAACGACGGTATATACCACGTATGTACAGTAGTAACCTAGTAAGCTCCTCAATTAAGACGGGGTATTAGACTTGGCGGCGGCTCGTTTCCTGGCCTTGCTATTCTGGATCTGGAAGCTGGGATAGCGGCTATGGGGAAGTGGAGAGGGGTTGCGTCGGTATTGGAGTGGCACCTTGACCTTGAATAGGGAGGATTCTAGTTGTATAGTAGTTGACTACCTCTTTTTATCATTGTTCGGACTTTGGTATGAAGAGTTATAGGCAAATAGCATGAGGTTATACACTTGATATCACAACTCCTGAGCGCTACAAGACTAAAATTACTGGATTTAGATGTGATCTTGGTACACTTAGGCTTCCTCAGTCTTGCTCACTGATCGTGTAATATATATATATATATAGGGTACGATCCATGGAATCAGTAGTCACAATATCAATAATTAGTTAAATCAACATGCCCAAATAATCCATTGGTATCAGTGGTGGTACTACGCGTCCGCAACATGCGCGCTTCATATATTAAATGGATTACCACTACAGTTATTTTCAGCTTTCTCCCCTCCTAATCTCTTCCCCTTGGTATCATACGCGCCTAAGCTCTACTCGAATAGGTCTTGCGATCCTCCGCGTAGGATATCAAAAATCCTCCCAAGAACAAAAGAACAATAGAAACCCGAGCAATGCAAGGCGTCCCGTCCAGTATGATGTGGCATCAAATAGCAGGCTGGAAATAGAAGGACTGGTCAAAAATCGCAGTGAAAAAAGTCGGACTGGATTAGTAAATGTTCGTTATCGTCCAAAATCGAGATAGCGAATAGAGAGGCAGCTTGCAACTTCATCCACTCCTTTTGAGAAGAAGGGTAAGATGCAGCAGATGAAGAAGTAAGTGGTGGTCGTATCGTACAGTCATAGATCTCAAAACGCCGTGCTCAAACGCCGTGCTCAAACGTCGTTAGAGCCAACCGGTGTCAGCGCCAAGAGACAAATAAAAGAAAGCCGCCCATGCCCAAAAATCAAATTGCGTCCTAGAAAATGCGCAACAAGTCGAATCGAAAAATTCTAGCAAACATCCGGAGTCAAAGCTCCACCATGTCTGGGTAAGTTAGCTGGTATAAAATTGGAGTCCGTGTAGTCATAAGTCCACACCGGCCCCTTGCGGAGACTGAGGGGGTCTCTTTAGAGTTAACTGGCTTAGGGAAAGGGTCCTGGCAGCCTTTTTCCTTGAGCCGTCTTGTTCCTCCACACGAAGCTCTTCGCCAAAAGCACCAAAGCCGTGGGTCGGCTCTTCCTCGCGGGGTGTTTTGTATGCTTCTGATTCAGTATCGATGCCAGCGGATAGGGGCTCATCGTCATCATCGTCATCAAATGCAGATACGGTGGAGTAAGTAGTAGAGGAGGTTTCGAGTTTGTTCGAAGTCCGCGCTACGAGGTTAAGCCTATGGCTAAGCTGCGTCACTCGAGCCTCCAACGCTTGCCGCGCGTCTCTCTCGGTGTCTAATAAGGCCTTCAGAGTCACATAATGATCCGTAGTAAAGGGCCCCACACTCTCCCCTAGCAACGTAGGGAGACTTGTTGCACCACGAATGGTAGAGTTAGACGTAGGGCGCGGCCGTCGCGGCGGTGCTGACGAAGGAGGCAACGATCCGATAAATGTATTTCCATCGCCAAACGAGTCATTCGAATGCTGGGATAACGTATGCCTAGAAGAATCTTCAATATCACCTAAGGATGTCATGTATCCCGATGTTTCCGCTGTCATGGGGCGTTTCGGCGTGTAAGTCGCGGATGCTCCTATAGAACCTCGAGGCCGTAGTTGATCGGGAGTAGCAGGCACATAATTGTTTACGCCCGGAATAACTTGGAATAGCTGAGAGACCAGTTTCTCTAATTTCTGGTTACGAACTTCTAGAGTAGCTATACGATCTTCAAGACCAGCTGCTTGAGTTATCTTCATACCCACCATTGGGCCAAAATGAAAGGGTTGTAGCGGTGTCTTTGGTGGTGAGAATTGTTGCTCTGGGGAGCTAGCCGGCGTCTCTGCGTCTACTTCCACGACGCCGGTATCGTCGTTATTGATGGTAGACGCATTGGGCGATCGGATGGCTGCATTATAACTTTCTCTCCAGTAGCGGATTTCGTCACTCCGCTTTCGAACTTGGACATGGCCCGCTATAACATCCTGGAGTTGCGATAAACTTCTCGATCTGCGGCGGTGTGCAAGACTATCGCTCGTGATGGCACGGCCGATGCCATTGGGGTCATCTTCAGCGGATGTATGCTCGCCACGCCCGTGAGTGCTAGCAGGTCTGGGAGATAGACCTATTAACTCCCCATCAAAATCTTTTACCCGTCCGCTTAGGATCCTATTTGATGATGCGGCTCTTCTTCGAAGCAATACGGGATCTATTTGTATTGAACTGCGGGCGCTGGTAATTGCTAGCATATCATCGGGGCCGACAGAATGTGATCTTAGCGCTCTGTCGAATTCTGTAACCGGTAACGAGACGGACCGCTTCGACTCGTTTGTTTTTAGGGCTCGATTCGAAGCCGACCGGTCCTGGAAACGTAGAGTTGTTAGAGCTTGACGGTCCTTAACAGAGCTTGGTAGTGAGTTGTAGTTATGCTTACATCTTCATGTAGTGTAGAGTCGACCAGTCCTCCAAACTGAGACTCTGGATTATATGCCTCGCTCGTACTCTTCTTCTTTCTCTTAAATAATCTACCGAGTGTAGACTTTAGCGTAGACCTTTTCCGCAGTGGCCTATCTATCTCTGCACCACCACTATCGCTGACCATAGAATACCTTACGGTGCTAGAACGGATTGTCCTTTGCTGTTGCGGGCTTGTAGATGCGTTTGAAGCTTGGCTAGGTCCAGACTGTGCGACAGAGTCAGGCTTGTCCACCCGTGCGACCTCAGGAGGGGTATGTCCAGGTCTCGAAGGAGGTCGGTCCTCGATATGAGGCTCAAGCTGCTCTACCCTGCCTTCATGAGCAATAGCCGAACCGGCGCCTCTAATAGGAAACTCGTCGTCTATCGGAATAGGACCGCTAATTCTACCGCGGATAGTAGCTTGGTCAGGCTGAGCTGTTTTCGGTCGCCCGACACTGGTGGCAGGCCTGAAGATACCCATATTGCTTGTAAAGCAAAATGCGGGTTTCACGGAGTTGTTAGGTTACAGATGTAACGAACGACGGGGAAGATGACGGGTAGATAATTGATATGGAAGTGAGGGCGACCAGCGATCCATTTCTCTTTTTTTTCAAAACATAGCAAGTCCGAATCCGCGATTAACCAACTTTGCTTAGGAGAACCGCTTCCTGCATCTCACATCGCCAGCAATGCAGCTCGACAGGACGTGGGCGTCGAGTATACGAATCAAAAGTCGAGAAGGGTATATTACCCTCGTCGATTGTTTACCTGATAACAGTGGCAAAAGACAAACAGAAGGATAGGTTGCGAGGAGACCTGAGCAGCCGAGCTAGTTTAAGAGGTGGGATACGAGAGGCCTTGGGGCCATTACAGCGCGTACATGTTGGAATGTTTATTCCTTGCGACGGCCGCACGCTCATGCATATAGTGAATGAGCGAGTGGGATGGATCATGGCAAGGCTCCGGGAGGGGTTCGAGCGGACGGGCGGTAAACATAGTGTATGTACCTATAATCCTGGATGGATAAGTGTCAACCCATGAAACAGCTACCAATGCATACAGGCGCCGGTACGAAGGGGGTTTAACTGCACTGCTGCAACAATGTCTAATGAGAGATCGGCTCCAAGTAACAGAAATGGCAGAAACACAGAAGCTAGGTCCGTAAGAGAGCTCAAAGGGCCCAAGGGGGACTAGGATAGCTAGGATAGGTCGGGATGACGAAGGACCAGGGCGTTGGAATGCTCTGATATTGGCCCCAGGGGTTTTGCAGTGGATGGGTGGATGGATGGATGTGGATGAACCCTGCTTAGACCTGCATGTGCATTCAAGAGGTCCGTGTGTTCATCCGTCCGTGTGTTGCTGAGATTGTCTCGACGGACTGAATAGGTAGTTCATTGGCGTGCGTCTTTGCATCTCGCGTAGGAATAAGACGGGGAGGCAATGAATGGTTGTGACATGAAGATTTTGAGCTGTCACCTGGTATCGTATTGGAGCGCCAACTACTTCATTGTCTCAGGGATTGTTGTATCAAAGAGAGCCACGAATTCCAGATGGGTGAAGATGTAAATGTAAGGGTGTCGTAAGCAGATAATTATGATAATTGTATATTTCGTAAATTAAGATATGGATAGATGGACTTGCCTAGGCCTGCTAAGCTTGGGGTTAACATAGTACCGTACTACCTAATGTAGGTACCTAGCAGCTTCCTAGCTATTCGTATACGAAGTAGTAGTAGTTATTTGATTTAAAGAATTGCCCAGGTGGTTTCCCCCCTACATACCTACAGGGGTTGAGGAGTACGACCGGATAGGCGCATACTCAAGCATTAGAATGGGAAGCCACTTACAACGTACTTAAACGCCTAAACGCTATCTGGGTACCATGACTGCCAATAGAACCAAGTTACGGAGGCTCTTTCCGGTTGGGGGTTTACAACCGTTTCGTCTAAACATGCGCTTCTTACGCTGACTCAACCTCGGGTTTAATCTTCACTTGTACATACATATCTATATACATGTATGTATATGGAAATTGCAATTAGTTTCGGGTCGTTCAAGATACCTATATGAACTGCAAACGCCATACATCTCGCTTCGACGTCAACACTAATATGCTTACATACTATCAACTAGGACATTCGATCATATATTACACGCGCTTAGGCGGGTAATTTAGGTATATTCCGTATGAGAAATATTCATCGTATCATATTTTCAATACTAGGTACCTATGATATCTCCAGATTCGTCGGTCGCAAATCACATATTCCGTACAACCTGAAATAATAAAACACCAACGCAACTTCTGGTCACACTAACTACTCTAAACCAAAACAGTATCATGTTCGGACGTTTCCTTACATAATGTTTAACTTGAACACTCCGATCAAGTACTCTACCGCATCTCTTCAAGCAACAAGTACATACTTAAAGGATGAACATGAAATCCACATATCACGCACGCTGTATTTACTATTCGCGAATTCTACTATGCATATAAAGCCTCACATCGTGAGGAACATGGCCCGCATATCCGCGAAGATGATCTAAAGCCGAGCACAGACTGAAGAGTGCAGACACTAAACCGCATGCAATAAAATTCTGTAGCGGCCGACACTACATAGAAATGAGGGGCCGATTCTCCATTCTCGTCCCTGTTATTTTGCACCACGTTCGCTCTCCGACTCATCCGTAGATTTATCAATCTCTATTAGCAGCGATGCCAAGCTGCCGTACGACACCAAATACTATGAGGAGAGGCCTCGGCACAACCCACGCGACCCATCGACGCTTGCCGCGTTTGATCTGCGAGGGATATCTTCGGGATCGGAAATCCTATGGGCCAGGATCTCCCTTAATAAGATCTCCCCGTCTTTAGTCCGCAAGCGAGACGTCGGCATCGCGGCGTGGTTGCTATGCGACTGACTAATAACATCAATGCCGCAAGGTATTGCAGCGATCGATAGGCATCCTAGGTAGGTTATGTTGGCACCACAGCACGAGGTTTGAAAAAGGCTGGCACGAGGTGCAACTCGGGACACGTATTCGCTGGTCCTTTAGGATTCGGCTCTAGTCTCGCAGGATGAAAGAAGAGCTCACATCCAATGCGTCTCCTGTAGCTTGCATCTAGTTGCTGCATTGGATGTTGTCGAAAGCTACCTTACTGCATTTATAAACGCACAAGGCATGCATTGCATGGTACATGTTAGTATCGAGAAACCAACCAAGACCCCAGAGTCGCAGAATTTCTCCGAGCCGCTAGTGACGCAGGTACAACACTTCCGTTTATGGCCTGAGGTTTATACATAGTAGGTACCTACATACTAGCTCTAAGTTGGTGGATCGAGGCTGTGCTAAGTTTACAGATTAACACTACATAGGTACTCAAAAATATAAACAATAATATTCTCCAGTCATTCAGATCATTCGGTAGCTACTATAGTCAACAATACGATATAGTGGTCGACCAATATTCACCAGGCATATACACCGCTCGCCTAACTTACTAGGAATATATACTTGCTACTTTCGTACAGATGTACGAAATATATAATGTACCTATACGAATACTCATGTAGGTACTCTTGCACCCAAATTCGTCTTTCTCGTTTCGAGTCTAGCTTGTGGGTCTCGAACGGTCCGCCCCCACCTCCAAAGAGCATTTCTGAAACAGCAAGGATCCAAGCTACTGTGCGTACATGTACCTAGGCTAATCGTCACAGTATCACAGCGTCACCGCGTCACCGCGTCACCGTCGCATACATATTCTTCTTTTCGAATAGGTGCTCGATATGGTATTAACGGCAGCACAACACTTCATTCACATTATCCACATATGGAGATTCGTTATAACCCTCATTAATAAGGGAAACTCTGGGGATCCTTGACTTCCTCCGTCTTCGTAGATACCGCCCACCCGCCGCCATGGTCCAAGTATCGCACTCCTTGTCCCTTAAGTGAGGCAGAGCATTCCCGTCTAAATAACCCGCCTCCCTACCCTAATAGTCAGGACATTGCAAACACATACACATACATTGTATAAGCCTTGCGGGAGGGAGTCAAGGCAGACGGCAGACGGCAAGAAATAATCTACGAGGTGCCTAGTACCTAACACGTCTTAATAAATAAAGACCAGACAGCAGCAACTAGGAAGACTCAACATATGTAAGTAAGCTCGGTTAAGCATCGTAGAGTTGCATCCGCAATATTCCAGCCACCACCATTCGCTCGTATCAAACAATTCGGATAAACGCTGTCCTCTAATTCACCAGATCCAAAGAATTCGGCGTTCGGGCAAACGTCCGTTCGTCGGACCCCAATTTCCCATTACTACATACCTATCTTATGCCTCTATCGAAGCTGCATCGACGTAACGGAGATCGGCGTTGTTCTCGAGCCAGTCCATCCAGTTGTTGAGAAATTTGCTGCCCCTAGTGTAGGTAGTTTTAAGTCAGAAACGAGCTTCTAGAAATTCCCCACGTGGTGAGGATCAGAGCGCGGGCCATATCAGACGAAATTAAAGTCAGGGATAGACGGGATATTGCGATGGGTACTGGTACTTGGACATACCTTCGGACGGTCTCAGAGTCGCCCACGACGACTAGCGAGCGTTTGGGCCTCGTCATGGCAACTAGCACGAGCATGGTTAATATTCCATGTTATAGTCTTCATGTCAGTTGGAGAAAGCATCACTTGACATACCATTTAAACGACGCTTCTCACTCAGGAAGCCAACTTCTCCTTCGGCGTTACTCCGTACCAAACTCACAAGCACGGCCTCCTTCTCCCGGCCTTGGAATCCATCTACGGAGCCGAGTTCGATCCCGGGGAAGGCTTCCTTCAAGGGGGCCAGTAGACCCATCTGGAATCAGTTAGAATAGCCCGGATCGATAGCAACGTTAAAATTCGCGCAATATAACGTCGGAAAGGGGGCTAAGATCACGATTGTTAGAAAAGGGGAGGCGAGAATGAGGCTTACCTGGGCATTATACGGCGTCACAACCGCAATATCCTCCGGCCTAACACCTGCCTCGACTAGCTTCTTGACATGCTGCTTGACGAGCGCAGCCTCCATCACATTGCTCTTGCTCTCCCCGAATAAGGACCTAATGCTTCCCTTCTTTCCGCCCCCTTTCCCATCCTTACCCTCCTTGTCTTCGTCTTCTTCGTTCTTCTCGGGATAATCACCACCCTGCGTATCTATGAAAATCACCGGCTCGCTCGTGTCCTCCGTATCTTGCACTTCGTACGGCAGCTCCCGTAGCAACCGTTCTTTCACCGCGTCCGCGGCTACTAACCGCGACTCATATAACTCATCCGAAGGGAACCTCATGATCTTCTCGTGCATACGGTACTGCGTCGTAAGCATGCGCTTGATAGACGATCCGTGAAGTTTAAGTAACCTATCGAAAAGCGTAGTCTCGAGGCTTGCACCTTTAATAATAGCGCCGTCTTTCTCCTTCTCGTCCCCTTCCTTTACAGCCTTAGGTTTCGTTTTCGAGTTGGTTGATTTCACTGTTGGCGGTAGTTGGAGATGGTCGCCGGCGCACACAGCCTTGGTGGCTGATAGGAGCGGGACCCAGCATTGTGCTTCGAGGGCTTGGCTGGCCTCGTCGATAATCACGACGTCGAATTTTTCGCCGCGGAGCTGGTTGCCGCCGGCACCGTGAAGCGTCGCAAGGACGACTTTACTTCCACTCACTAGCGTGCCTACACATCGGCGCTCGCGCTCGCGGTATTCTTTGCGTAGTTCTTTAAGGTCGGCATAAATAGCCTTACGCTCACGACCATTGCGTGTCTTCTTAATGGAAGCTTGCTTGGCGTCCATCTCAGAACGTACATCCTTAACGATGAGGCCCGCCTCCGAGGTCTGTGTAAGTACATCTAGCGAATGGTTTAGTACAGAGGGCAGTAGGCGCGCCGGATGCCCGAGTCGCACGATAGGCACTTTGTGCGGAGAGAGCCTCTCGACGATGTTGTCTACCGAGATGTTAGACGGCCCGCAGACTAGCACACGCAGGTCGCGCTTAACCATCTGTAAGATCAGCTCTATCAACGTGTGCGTCTTGCCTGTCTAGTAGAAACACGCAACGCTCAGTCAGCTTCATCTAGTTCGTAACAGGAGAATAGAATCCAGAGTTAGAGTACTCACTCCAGGCGGCCCATGAATCAACGCTATCTCTTTGGACGCGAGCGCGAACCTAATAGCATCCTTCTGGGAATCATTCAACGTAGGATCAAACCACTCGATCTTACCCTCCCCATACTCCGAATCCCTAGCCAGATCCGCCGGCACAAGCGACGGGCTCGTTAGGCCAAAGAGCACACGCGTGAAAGTCGAATACTCAGATTCTGCCATATCCCCCAACCGCTCCATAGTCTGCTTCATTCGACGATACGTGACGTCATCAGCTAACTTCACAAGCCAGACACGGCCGCCAAAAGACGCCGCATCCTCCTTATCCTCATCGACTGCTACGGCAATGGCATCTCTTTTAATCCTAATCACGACGCCCCTGGCGCCTTTGCGCTCCAGGTCCTTAACCTCGCGCTTCTTAGCGCTGCCAGCGGGCTGCTCCGAGACGAGCACGATATCCCCGGTGCGGACGCCATGCTCGGGCAGTTCTCCGGTCCCGGAGGTGGCGGCGTCCGGGGCGAGCTCGATTACCGTTCTCCCGCCTAGGCCGGTTCGTTGCGATGAGACGACTAGGTTGGTGACGGCGAGCCCGGCACGCTGCAGGGAAGCGGGGCTGGTACCTGAGATCAGGCCGCTGGTCTCGTTAATCTCGCTTTGCAGTTCGATGTCGAGGAGTGCTAGTTGAGTCCGGGCGAAAGCCGGTACGTCGACCGACTTTGTTAGGAGTGACATCGTTGGCTAGTTGTATTCATCTCACTCCAAGTAATTGGTCAAGCACAGCTGGGGTCGTCAAAGTCGAAATTGGTGACGAAGCTGAAGAGCTTAGAGATGTGACCAATATTAAAATTAAAGAGAAATGAAATCTACCCAGATTTCGTGTTTAAATTAGGTAGGTCAGGTACACTAAGTAGCGTTAGGTTGTCATGTGTAAGCTGTGAGAGGTGAAGTTTGGTGGAGTAAAGGCTTTTGATTAATGATGATAGATTCTACATTAAGCTATCCCGTAGATTTCCTGCATGTAGACGAGCTACAACCGCCCTCAAAATCCATGAATTCTACTCGCTATATGGAAACCATTATAAAATATAGCTTTCCAAAGATACTAGTCGAATGAATGATTCCATCTGACCTAATTTCATCAATCCCGAGTTTCTTCTCATTCTTCAATGCTATCATGATTCCGAACTCCAATTTCGAACCCCCTAACCTACATCAGTAGCTTAGCTAGATCCCACACCCGTAGATTGCGTAAATAGAACCACAAACAAGCTAACAACTATAAGCGCACACGCGACCAACGAGACAATTATTATTGTCCCCCTCGAGGCAGGGAATTTCCCTTTGATCACCCATTGCTGGCCTTGGTAGTATCTACGATATCCCAGCAATAAGATTAATATGGATATACCTATGAAGGTCGCACCGAGCGGCTTTCCTATATGGCGAATCGTCTGAAAATGGGGGTCATCTGGCTCTATCGACGCGTTTAGACGGAATAGTTGGGTGATGGCTATTCCGATAGACGCGAATGAAAGTGATGTCCGAAGCCAGGCAAGAAATGTCCGTTCTAGTTCCGACCGGTTAGCAGCAAAAGTAGAGGCTGGCCAGTTGACGTACCCAAAGCCAAATGGTCCCTAGCCACGCTTCCTTTATTCTCCAACTCTACCGACCACATGCCGCTAAAACAATGTTTTAACCAATTCTTCTTCTCGTCCGTATGGGGAGATGCGCCGTTCGTGCCGTTTGTTCCGTTTGTACCATTTGTTACCGGCCAGTCGAGTTCGGATTGCTGTACGGGACGTCTATTTCTCGGATTGGGTGACATTCGCGTGCTCTGGTAGTTCGTCGCATTGCCGCGCGCAGTCGCAATACTCGTAGTTTCGTCAGGTGCGCCATCGTCGTCTCGCTCTGGTACACACTGAAAGCTCATCCTCGCACTTTGTCCCGACGTCTGCGAACAAATGGTATCGGCACGCTCTCTAGCAGTCTAATAGCAAATTAATTTTCGTCAGAGAAGGCCAATGAGGATGCAAATATCTGGATGCAGGGGAGGATCGTAGGCGGGTTAAATTTATTTCTTTTCTCTCCCGGTTTCCCTTATCAGAGACAAGAAAAGCTACAGACCAGAGGGAATGACGGTATACGCACGAACCTCGAGAATACCATTGAGCCTATCTTGGGATGATAGCCTCGATAGCGATAGCGGGCGGTCTGGCACAGGCGAGGATCCTCGCAGATTGAGAGAGGGTCCCACCGTTGGGGAACGCCCGGAGGCGGAGGCCATCTCCCCTCGTCCTGCACGACCTTACTGGGTTATTTTCGTATTTTCGAACGTGGTCGTCGAACAAGAAAAGAAAAAATCAAGATTCAATTCAATACTTTGGCGTGCACCGACGCAAGCGCAAAGGCTAATTGACCGGACATGTTGGAAGCTTGGTGATGTTTTGTTAGCTTAGTTAGTTGATACCATAACAACTCTAAATACTATAATGCCATAATTAGACTAGGCCAAGGTCTTTATAAAACTTTTAGTCTTTCTCCCCTTCACCAACTAATTACGTCACTAGCTTCTGCACCTAGTTCAAAGCTACCCGATCTTGTGCCGATCTCGCCTTTACAACTCTAAGACTCGAAAGAAGATCTCCAACGTGTTAATGAAATTGCTATATCACCAATGCTGTCGCCAGAGAGCCATCTCAATCACCCTTGCGCGTCCAATATTTCATGACTGGCAGCATGTTTAATAGCAAAACCGAGACAGGCCACAATCGCCAAGGTTTGTTTAGTGCGTCCTATCTAATTTCCTCCGGCTTCTTCTGGTTATAAAGGCAAAAGGCCGCGGCCAAGATCTGGCCAATCGTAAGAGGGTGCAACAGAGGCATTGAGAGCGCCAAACAAGAACCCGCTACACATGATATCTCCTATGTTCTTTGAACAGGCGAAATAGATCGTTTGGGTATGATAATAAAAGCCAATCTACCTGACAGGATATATGCTTTAAGGATTCATAAAATAAAAAAAACAGAGCTAGAACTGATACCATAGCTACCTGTCTTAATCAAAATCATCTAAATTATTAGTTATTATAGTCTAAGCATGACTAGCGAGACAATCATGTGGTAACGACAACTATCTTGTAATATATACACAGTTAGACTTAAACAACCTTAACATTTTACATCAGCGTTCTACAAGCCATTTCATATAAATAAAGGGTTCCTGTCATACTGTAACTACAATCCTCCTATACGGGAGGGGACATGGCCGGGATTTAATGTTTAATATCTACCTAGGTAGTCTATAGCTATCTACACAAGTCAGTTACATCTACGTACTGAGTATTATCAAAGAGTCAACTCTGATCGTTGACCGTACCTCAAATTCTCGCATAAGTTATCCATGTAATAATCTCCAGGAAACTAGAACTTCAAGGGTCTTTGAATAAAGCTACTTGCAGAAGAGCTGTGTATGTTGTAAGTTCGAGTTGCTACCTACCTAGTCACTATACAGAGACGAGACTCTAGTAATGAGAGATAGATTAAGACCTCGGAAGTTATGGCGATAGTTCAAATCCTTAACGAATCGCTGACTCTTTTTACCACGTTTATAATTGTTTACCCTGTCTGTTTACGGGGACTTTTGATAATTACCTAAAACACATACATTTTTACAATATCCACACTAAACTATCGGGACGAAAACCCTAGAGGTACCATTGCCCTTTTGATGGTGCGTCAACTTTTCCACCTGCTTTATTTTAGACCCTCCAATCAGCTAGTGTTGAATGAATGTCGGTCTGTGTCAGAAGGAACCCTTAATGTATGTCATATGTAGAGTGAATGTTAAAAGCAGCAGCTTCGCTGCTGTATAGTAGCCGTATACTAGTATGAATCTATTAACGCTTAACCTTCTATCCTTTTACGAGGGCGCTGCGCGCCCCTTATATATCTATCCTATGTAGACCTATACTTAATTCATACTAATTCCGCTTATACCCTGACAGTCTCATATGACCTCTCGACCTCCCATTCTTGAACAACCATGATGCTGTTTGCATTGCCTAGATTTATCTCTGGGTGTTTCCCACTGTTGATATAAGCTGGAGGTACCTATGGAATCGCCGAGTCGTTCGAAGTCACCATCGTGGGTGCTGTCGGATATTGGTACCCGCTTCCCTTCTTGTCGTGAAGTTGGTTTAGAGTTGTTAGATTCACTGGAATTTTTGTTGATTCGACATTTGCTTGTCCTAGATATGAATCTGAGTGCAGGTTTAATTGTTGGAAGGCAAGCATTCACAACCCCGAGGGTGGGTTCGAGCTCAGAGTAAATACCAAGTCTAACGTTCGAATAGGTGATATCACTCAAATTCCACGCCAAAACCGAAATGATTCTAAGGAGCGACAAGACACATATTCTGGTTAAAGAACTTTAGATTGGGAGGCTGACAAAAAGGGCACGTAGCTGAGAGGTACTTACATCGCTCCAAGACTGAACATTACAGCAATGCTAAGTTTCTTCGGCCATGACATTTGGAGTCTAAATAGCATTGGCATGGGAAGGGTGACAATGAAAACGTCGATAATTAGATTTGTAATGCCGGAACCAAGGTAGGCTCCGTGTTGGTTCGTACATTTGCCTGGTATACTTTTATCCCAATTGTGTTGTACTGGCGTACAAAGCGCAAATGTCTCGACAAGTACACTTATAAGGTAAACAACCGCCAACCCCATAGTACAGTAACATATCCGAGAGAATATCTTCCTTGGAAAAAGTACTGTATAGAGCGATAATATCGATAGCTTTACGCATGTATTTGACGCCGCCCAGAGTATTTGTCCGGGTATAAATAACTTGAAATCTTCAGCTACTTTCCTAAGCAGGACGATGGGGCCGGTGCAAACCTTCAGATAAGTAGTGAGAATCCATGGCCTGGTAATTACTATTTCGTCAACATGCACACCAATGGCTCCTATGTTTGCTTCTATAGCAGCGTCAACTACAGTGTGTTGGCATGTTAGGGATTTCGGGGTGCTTTACCAAAGAGACAGCAGATGACAAGGCCAGTAGTCAGAATTACAGCGATAATTGCCATGTAATCGTTGAATTCGAGAGATAATCCCTGGATCCGTCTTGACCAGAGTCTCAGTCCAACCGCTATAATCGCAAAGACATTCATGACGACCCCTACGATCATCACCTGTATTCCACCTGGTGAGAGCATCATATTGCATGTAACAAAGGAGTAGGTACTTGGAATTGTAAGCTTCGTATCAGAGAACGAATAGTTATCAAGAGACACATATCTAAAGATGAACCCTGATTCGATTTAGATATAATATGTCACGAAATGGACCAAAAAGTAAGGAAACAACTTCGTTGCTCCGCGAGGAACTCTAAGCTAGCTACGGGAGCCTACGGCTATACATACTGACAGTGTTCTTTGTTCCAGATATCTCATCTAGAATCATGACACAATAATCGTGTTACACCTCTAGATTACATACGCCTATCTAAGAATTAATGCAACTTGGGCTACTATCGGAATTATATATGCACGTACTTTACACCGACTAATTTACACTGTTGAATGTGAGACATGATTTGAATACACCTTGTATCTATGCATGAAGTACCTAATTCGTAATGATATACACTACATGTACCTACATCATAGACCTTCTCCTCTCCGTGTAACAATTCTACTACAGAGTTCCCAAAGTCAATAATTCATATAATTATTCCTACCACCCCAATGGAGGCTCCAATAGATAGGCACAGCTTTCAATACCAGCCCCTCAAGAAATTATCCACATACCTACACTTTTTGCATAGTTACATTTTACTAAAACATGAATTCCGAATCCTACGATTTCATCATCGCAGGCGGCGGTACGGCTGCGCTCGTAGTTGCCGCTCGTCTCTCGGAAGATTCCAGTCAGCGCATACTTGTGCTGGAGGCTGGATCTGACCATAGCGAAGATCCCCGCGTGAAAATTCCAGCACTCTACTCAGCTCTTCTGAAGAGTGAGGTTGACTGGGACTTCCAAACTGAAACTCAGGTGCATATGTATCTTCTTCAACACGCAGGAATCGAGGCTAAACTAGATCCTAGCCAGGACTCAATAACAGACGAATCAACTTGAACCAAGTAAGCCCAAATATTTCAAACCAATACCCCAGCCCATCCGGTTTCAATGCCGGGAGATCTATTGGGCCATCATCTAGACAAATCTCGGCGCTAAGCTAAACTCACGATACCTTTAGGCTAATCTTAAATATGATATTACAGGGTAAGGCCTTAGGCGGCTCAACTGTTATGAACGCACAGGTCTTTGCTCCACCTACCAAGAAATTGATCGATTCTTGGGCCTTGCTTGGTAACGATGGATGGACTTGGGAAGGGCTACGTGACTATTATGCCAAAGCCTATACGTCCCCACCAAGAGTACCAGATAATATCAAAAAGAGCCTAGGTATTGATGGTTGGACGGCCAAGAACGAATTAGGTACAGGTCCAGTCCAAGTCTCTTTCCCCGGTAACCCATTTCATCCTATTCGTGAGGCCTGGGCAGCGACATTCAAAGATATAGGATACCTAATGCCCAACGATCCTTGGGTAGATCCAACAGTAGGAGTCGGAGGTTTTAGTAACCTCGCGAGCATCGATCCAGTAAAGAGAGAAAGAAGCCACTCCGCCAGGGCGTATTATTACCCGGTGAAGAGTCGGAAGAGCCTTCATGTCCTCACCAATGCTATCGTTGAAAAGATTTTATTTGAAGAGAACTCGACAAAGGTCACTGGAGTCCAATACCGCTACGAGACTCAAACGAGAACCGCTTCCGCACGTAAAGAGGTCATCGTTGCTGCCGGTGCCTTACAATCACCGAAGCTACTCGAACTGTCCGGCGTTGGTAACGCTAGTCTTCTAGAGCGACATAATATCAAGGTGGTCAAACATCTGGAAGGAGTTGGAGAAAACCTCCAAGATCACCTTGCTTGTGATATTGTTTTCGAGGCAGCAGATGGCTTGGAAACGCTCGACGCTCTACAAGACCCTGAGGTGTTGGAGCAGTCTATGCAAGAGTTCATGGCCAACCATACAGGCTTGGTTACAACAAACGGAATTAATACGTATGCCTACATGCCGGTGGTTAAGTATCAATCGGGCAAAGGGTAAGTAAATTCCTCGCTTGATTCCCCTTTTTATTTTCGGATCTATGACCTACTAGTCCCCTGTCACATAATATATTCCTTGAGCCTAATCCAATATCGTAGACGAGAATTCCTGAAACAGATGCTCGATACGAACCGACCAACGGCAGGAAACCTCTCGGACAAAACTCAAGCTCAAGCTTTGGCTTATTATGATATCGCTGAAAGTACTCTACTTGACCCAAATGCATCATCAGGTGCTTACCTTACGGCGCTCGCAAACAACCCCAAGTCACCCGATCCTACCACGGGCGAACCCGCACCCCCTGTGACTGGAGGACATATCGACTTCGTCGCCATACTCGCTCAACCACTTTCCCGTGGAAGTGTTCACATCAAATCAAACGACTTGTCAGATGCTCCCATTATTGACCCACGGTACTTAACGAACCAGGTAGATGTTGAGGTTTTTGCAGAACATATGCATTATATCCAAACCCTTGCCACATCGCCGTCTTTGAACGGCATATTCAAACAGCCACTAAAGATCTCCCCTTCGGAAGCCTGTTTCGCGGATCTAGATGCCGCGAAGAAGTACCTTCGAGCCCGCGCTTCTTCGATGTGGCACCCCGCGGGAACATGCGCAATGCTTCCCGAGGACAAGGGGGGCGTTGTAGACAGCAGTCTTAAGGTGTACGGAGTAGAAAATCTCCGTGTTGTTGACTCAAGTGTTGTGCCGCTACTTCCTCCAGGTAACCTACAGTCTACGGTGTATGCACTTGCAGAAAAGGCAGCCGATCTGATAAAGATGCAGTACGGACTGAAGGCTACTTACTAACTAGAATAGAAAATGTTGGCCGGCGCTAATAAGCAGCAGTAAGTTGAGTCCAAATGCGACCAACACTATGATGAAGTCTCAAGAAATATGGAAAATGAGCGAAGAGAGAGTGAAAAACGTAAAGGGAGGAAAATAAAAGAAAAAAATAAGCAACATGAAAGAAAGCCTAAAAGAAAATGACAAAAAAGCTTGGACTCAGGATTCGACCTTCTAATCGATTGACCTGAACAGTTGGCCTGCCTGTCGCCCCTCATAGGGGTCGAACCTAAAGTCTTACGAAAAACTCCTCGAGGAATTATTTCTATCCCTACTTTCATTACCACTACACCACCGGCCATATTGGTTTCGCAGCGCCGATTAGGGGTGGGAGATTGGCTGCTTAAGGGGCTATTTAAGGCGACAGCGGGGTACGAGATGTTGCCTGGCAACCTCAACCAGCAAATGTACCTCACTCACAAAGCAAAATTTCCTTTTCCTGTTAATTTATTTCATGTCTACCTGCCTAAATTACATCTCCTAAGGTAGTTAACGAAGTTCACATGACCAAGTTACAGTACGGTTAGATGGATCGTAGCCATAACGAATAGCTTACGAACCACATTGATCACCTACATAAACTTAGCTCGGGTTCTAATGACAAGCTAATTTGATACTTAAGGGTAGTCTAGTTGACGAAACCCGAAGTGTAGTTATGATCAAACATAATATAATTTAGATTTGTAAGGCACATCAAGATCTTGTGGGTAACCACAAGTCCACCAAACTCAGACCTCGATCTTAACAGAATATATGCTACTTCGAATCGAGCTAAGGTTGGTTTTTTTTTGCCATAAATTATTCTTTAGACGTATTATTCAGGTACTTTAGCCTCCCCTTCACTACAACTTAGTAGTTGTGCTAGTACAAGGTCTCTGTCTCTTAAGCCAACTTAAATAGTTATCACATTGTAATCAGGTAGTCACTATGACAACTCCTAGAAGATGATTCTTCTTATACAGACAACTATTACAAAGCATTGGGCACTGAGTTTCAAAATTAATACTTGAAGTATCGCTAGACTAAGATGATGTAGTGCTTTAGAGCAAAATTAAGGGGTTCTATACCAAGCTAGGCAAGATTCTAATATATCATCGTAAATACGAAAAAGAAAGACCGGGTTTTAAATAATATCTCTTGGAAAATCATGTATTAGCCCTTATTGTAGAATTATAAAAAAGACACCGTAGTAGACATACACACTACTACCAAAGCCCATCTTTAATAAAACAATAGCAACACAGGAGATCGATTATGTTATTAAACTCTTAATAACAGGTAGAAGGTTAATTGTTTCTATTCTTAGTAATAATACACCTATTTTAATACGTGAGACATAAGAGTAAATGCCGAACTTGACTCACCCGTCTACATTCTCCTTTTCAGTATGTAGTGCCGTTAAGCTACTAATATGCTCTACGACAGGCTTCCTTCTCTCACCATATAAGCGTAGAGATAATCACTATAAGTCGAATAAATCATTATCCAAGCCCCCGAAAGACAAAGTCTCATGAAAATGAAGACCTTAACAATACTGCTGTATATTAAAACCCGGGGAATATAAAACTAGAAAGGGTTAATAGGCCAAGTACTTAAATAAAATATGCCTTATGGAGGGACCACCTGGCGAGCTAACCTATAATCAACACAGTCCGACCTGTCTTCGAGACACTCACATATACATACTCGTCATAGCAATACCGACCCTACTAGATCCACGATCCTCTTCACAAACCAAGCAACAAGCAACACCCCAAGTGATGATGGAATACTATATAGTCACCAAAGACACCGGCACAAATACAATCGACACCAAGCTAAAAAGTCTCGCCCTAAGAGCCAATATGCCGCGTTCAGCTAACACACGAATGTCGCAGCGCAACCCGTCCGACAGAACCTACTAATACCTATGACGAGCCAACGGGGGCGCGCCCAGGCGCCCCCCCCCTTCCCAACTCCGCATTATCTGTCTCGCGCCTCGAAAACGCGGCACCTGGCAAGAACACGCGGATGTCTAACCAGCCGGAGACTTGTCTCAGACAAAGTGTATCCACGAGGGACCAAAAGAGAAAATAAAAATAAAAATAAAGCTTGTTTTGCAAACTATCGTTCGGACGAGGGGTCCTCGTGGCGCCGGGGGCAAAAATAGCTTGAGTCATTGGCTGGCTGGCTGGCTGGCCGGCTGTCTCAAGCCCTCATGCGCCGTCGGTCTGGTCCGCAACACCGAGCTGCATCACCGCTTTCCATATCTACCTACGTAACCTACCCAACGTACTAAGCTACCTCCTAGGTTAGATACCTAACCCTATCGATATCTTGCGGGGGAATCATGTGCCCCCAGACCGAGACAGACACGCGCCGGCACTTTCGGGACGGACAATATAAGATCTGGCATTCTGGCCTAAATGCGATACGTCTGGTGTGATAGAATGTCTTTTAGCTAGTTCGCCTGGCGTAGATAGATAGATAGATATATAGATAGATAGGTAGTTAGGTAGGTATAATGCTGCCTTGCTTCGCGCTTCTGTCGGATCTCGGACTGCACGTCGTATAATCAGAAGTAAGTAATCAGCTCGATGGCGTATCTCAGAAGCTAGGTAGGTATGTATTTGCCTCTTCCAAGAAGCGTGGGAGGAGTCCCTTGGAGATCTAACGAGATAGCTCACCAGGCAGGTAGGGCTTGCTACGATTTATGATTAGACGTTGCTATGGCGTATTTGGTGGTCAGTTATATTACGTTATTAGGCTTTTTCTATCATTTTTCCTGTACACTTGAGCATGGTCAACGTCACCTGGGCTTAGATCTAGTCAAGTACTTATTATTAAGATATAGATACTGTGTGCGGAAAAGTGGCTTCCGTCGGACTTTTCACTCCCCAGCGCCTTACGCCAGAACGATAGTTAGTGGTGTAGGGCCTGGTGATAAATTACCTACATGATATCACATATAACAGGAGGCGAAGATGAAGACAATGGATTTGCCTTCCGACTGCTAGCGGGTTCGTAGGTTCCGATATCACCGGTAGATACCCGAGATGATCTACATAGCATCATGTCTTTGTCCTAGCCATCCAAAATGATAACATATATCATACAGGGACTTTAGGTCATCGCAGGTCGTACACAGATTCCCATAATTCATAGTCTGCTGTACGAACCTACGTCATTAGTAACCTGACAGTAGTAAACTATTGGGACTAGGCTTCTTTGTCATAGACAACCCATTCCGACCAGTCAGAACTCCGATGATGACCGCGTTGTGGGATTAGACGAACTGCTGGCTTATGTATCTCCAATCCTGATCCTGAATATCCCAAAAGCAAGCCTACGAACACCTAACCTAGCGTGATGGCGTTTCTACTCCATCTCTGTGTACCTGTGATGCTATCTACATTGCCAATCTGGGGAAAGGAAGCAGAAAAAAAAATGATAAGCCACAGATCAGAACGACCACTGGCAACAAGCAACGTGTCGAAAGGACTTCTTGGTGTGACACCCTTTTCTGAGAATACTCTATAAGCCGGTTACCCAAGGCGCGGCAAAGGCGTTTAGGATCTACTCTGGACGTCTCACGATAAGCTTGCAGAACTGAATTTTACGCAGGAACCGACGATAACCATAATATAATGTAGGTATATGTATAGCACGGTAGATGATGCGTAGCGGATTTAGGGGATGGCGTCAGCAGGCGCTTGCTTCCTAGGTTTCACCGCATCGAGAGCACCACCGTAATCAGGAATGCCTGGTCGTAAAAAGGATTCATAGTAACCAATGTCCTGTACTGGGTTTTTTAAGGGACCGCGCCATGTGGTAGTATATTCAGCTCGTAGGATTGGATGCGAGTAAGATAGGCAGCTAATATCTTCTAAACGGTCATGCTATCCTCAGAAGTTAAACTGGTATCGTAGACGCTCTTACGTGTGTTCTACGAGAGTTGGCTTAACCTTAGTTAGGAGACCAACCGCGAGTGGCGAATTCATAACGGTGATGGCTAGAACTGCGAAGCTCGGCTCCTTCGTAGCTGACATGGCAGCATGGCTCCATCCTATATGATACTAGACTCTTGGCTATCTGTCTGTCTGTCTGTCTGTCTGTGTAGTTCCAACTGCTGATAAAGGAATGTGTCTTCAGTGTCCTGGCTGGCGAAAGTCATGCCAATTTTGCTAGTCTACCAACAGTCACATTCGACAACGGCTTACGGAGTACCTAAGCAGCCTTGCCATATCATTCACCACTCGTATGGTAGTCCTTGAACGTCTGTCTATGGCGCGGCTAGCCAGTAGAAAAGCGACGCAGGATCCAACGTAACCCTCTTTCGGAGCCATTCAAAACTGACCATTAGCGTTGGAGTAGGTGGTTTACTCAAAGCGGTGTAGGTTAGCAATGGGTTCGTTGACAACCAATGAGATTTATCAACGAGTGTCAAATTTAGATGTGTGTATGTTGAAATAGAGCATAAGCGTGACAACATACTCTACGCTGTATGGCATAGATAAAGTAACCCATATGAACCGAGTCTCGAGATGGGGTCCAAGGAAGGATTGCGGTACATAATGTCAGCAAGCGTACCTAACGTAGTAACTCCTTTTGGAGAATTATCCTTTTGGAGGATACCCTACTGACCCTACTGGAGCGCCGTGCCGCACGGGCGCTTTCATTTCGTTGGAGTAGTTTACATGCAGATTCCCTCCGCATTTATTTACCAGATCGGATTCTACGGCAAAGCAAAGAATACTTTAGTTGTACGACCCAACATGTTGGGTAGTACCGAATCCTGTCCAAACGTACTCAAAAAGCGGCGCCGTCGAGCTGGATTGTGCCCTTACTGCAGCTACATTTTGATTGCGTCGCACACCAAAGGAGTAATAAAAAAAAAAAACTTAGGCAAGCGTAGAATCGTGTTGGTTTTGAGCATCGACCGAGGCCTACTTACACCAAAGACGGGAGGATCGTAGTGCTTAGGCTAGACGATACTTTCGTAGAAATGCTCGTTTACTGATTCGCCAGCTTCAACCGCGCCCGGGAGGATCCCGCGATCTCGCCGCCTTCGTAAACTAATCCCAACCCTAATTTAATGACGGCATGGCCGGGGTTTGCTGCGCCTCTGTGTCCATGCAATCCCATCTCGACGATAGATGGCGACCTCAATTCTCCGAGCTCTGCAAACCCCACTCCCTTCGGTCATGTCGATTTAGCAGTTTGGCAGCTTTATGATCCTTTCGAAGTTTGTCGAGAGCTGGCTGCCTGAGGTAAGATATGAATGATATGCTCATCAGGGTCATGAGTCTGAGACGTCCTATCGTTATAGACATGTGTTCGGAGAATCCGCCTCAACAATATCGCGTGGGGGAGGAGGCACAGCTAAGCTACCTACTCATGGGATTCTCGGGTGGGATGATTCATATCTACAACTTGCAAGGCCCTCCTCTCGAACCGCGTGTTTGTGGCGGGTAGTGGTAGAAGGTAAAATATTATCGGCGATAGGCCATGCTGCTGATCGAAAACGGTTGTACGCGTGTAAATGTCTGACATCTGAGACACGTTGGTTCTTACTCGGAGAGCGAGTCTCAAACGGTTAATCCCAAACTGTATATGCTATTCGGCGCGTTTAACAGAGCGGTATGCTTCTGCCGTAAATTCTGCGCTCGAATGTTAATACTCGAATCGAGGAATCTGTAGCTTCTATCGCGCAGCGTTCAGTCCCGTGTACCTGCATTGCTGCGGAGGTGATGCGGATGTGACCTAGGTCGTACAACCCTGAACAAGTAGCTCATTATCATCGTGGCGATAGTAGCGCATCATCGATACATTACTTCGGGTAAAGTGTTGTCCTTCACCTGGCCGATAACACTTGGCGAGATGTTACATTAGGAAGGTCGCGTAGCTACCATTGAGTTGGAATAACTGATTCCCATCGGCTCTTAGCTGAGGGCAATGTGACAAGCATTAACGACGAGCGTAGGAGTTACACGTGGGATAGAAAAGCAAATTCGGTGATAATTATCTACAGCCGAAAGCGGCATAGAAAATTCAGTTAATGCTTCCTTCGAACCAAACCAAACTCGTAGCTGGTTTGTCTACCAACACCATTCGTTCGGATGGCTCACTCATACTGTAGTAGAATGAGAGCACATACACACACACTAGTTGACGAAGAGCATAGTATGTATGTAGGGGTGATGATAAGACCGAAACGTCGACAATAAACGTCGTGGTCGCTAATCTAAAAGGGAATAAACAGACCATTCGGTGTTTAGGCGGTGTGGTTTATCCATGCTGTTACATGTGCAACTTGCATTGTTTCTAGGCGGTCGGGCTAGCCTGCGAGGCTCTGTTCGCCTTGTTACTCGGCCTGCCCGTTAACAAGTTTGATTTGACCAGCCCTTGCTAGTTATGTGAAAAATTTGGAGGGTCTTCTCACGATGAACCATGATAAACCCCACGAGATTAGATCTCCGTATACCCGTTCGCCCGTCATCCGTCGCGGACTCGCGGCCCCACGGAGATGTCAGAAGCTTATTGTTTGCTCTGCCCTGCCCTGCCCATGCCGTAGGCCGTTGTGCGGGAGATGAAGATCTTCCTTCTTCCTACTATTAGACCCTGGCGGCACTTGCCGAGTTCATCGCATAGACTTTTAGTCTTTTGAAGAGAGAATTAAACAAAGAGGCTTGCTGGCACTTGGGCCAAGATCATCGTAAGCAAGATCGACATATCCGCAAGATGGCGCGGGAAAACGTGGCGTTTGCTTTTGGATTAAATGAAGTTCCGGGCTCTGTCATGGGATCTCGCCCGCGCCAGCTAATAACCAACTAAGCGTTATTCTGACCGGATACAATTGGGTAAGAGTCTTAAGTACGGTATTATGACTGTGGACTGTGGACTGTGGACTGTGGACTGTGGACTATGGACCGTGGATTATGGACCGTGGGCTCTGGGCTCTGGGCTCTGGGCTCTACCTGGCTTGTGGCTCTCCCGTATACGTTGTAGTCAATGTTCGGGCCGCATATTTACGGTGAACGAACTCATGTTCATGCGAACTCGAGGTGGAGAACTGCACAGGTAATAGTCTCCGACGGATACGACTTGAGAGATGCCCCGGTGAGTCTAGAAGACCCATTTAGAAGACCCACGAACATTCCCAATTAGTCCAAGGTGTCAAAGGTGAGCAAAGTTGGGTCGGCTCATGATTGGAATATTCCATCGTAGGTTTTGGAAGTATCCGTGCCTATGGCTCTGGGACGATAGAACTGCATATTCGGGTTAGGTAATTTTAACCACTAACACCGCGCCCCAGTTTTGCTACGTAACACAAACTTAAACGGTTAGAAAAGAATTAAAAAGGGTAATAAATAATGGAGTCTCGAATTTCGAGGCGGGTTGTCCGCTATGCACCGATAACCGGGGGGAGCATCATCATAGTGCTTGTCATGGACTCATAGACTCATGGCCCGTCATGACCTTGTCGTAGCTACTACTTTGCTCGCCTCGTTTAAGGATAACGATAGCTTTAGCTTCAAATGCGTGCCACCGTGGTTGTACATATGTATGTATGCCCTAATGCCAGTATATTTGTTGTAGTTGGCATGGCTGGTAATGGTTTAGCAGCATAACAACAGCCTAGTAGGTACCTAACCTACCTAATGGGTCTTGGGTCTTGTGCAATAGTGTACTAGGCCTATAGTATACATAATGGTTGGCAGGAAGTGGGGGACGCTTAACGACAAACGGGGTCGGCTCTTCTGAAACGTAAGAAGCATTCGAGAAAGAAAGAGCGGAACGTTGCCAATTGGGCCGGGACCTGCATTGGCGGGGCCAAATATCGACGGGGAAGTCAGGATAGACCGCTGCCTTGCGTTCTAGTGTAGGTTAGGTACTAGGTTAGGTTAGTTGGTACCTAACACTCACTATGCGGATTGCCCACGTGTTGTACCTATCGCTATTAGTGGTACTCACCTCAGATATGGCTGGTACACGTATCTCCATAGGAAACCCCCCGGCGTTGGCTCTTTAGCTGTCGTACACTAATAATACTAGTACAATACCTTTTCCTACTGGTCTCTGCGGAGTACATGACCCTAAAATGTATTAAACCATCTCGCTGTACAATATCCACTAGGTACGTGCTAGTACCTAATGTATGTACATCAGTTTCAATGGATCATGTTCCGCGGCGGGCAGTTTGTTATTGAGGGGCTTCCAACGGTCGCCCTTCAAGGGCAGGGCCCCTCAAGGGTTCTCAGATCTATGTTGGTATCTGTGTTGGTAAAGCTGGTAGCGGCGCAGCGCGCATTGGCGAAGCTGGTTTAATTCTCTTTTTGACCATAAACTATCACCTTGGCAAATACTACCTATTAGCGGTAGATTTGAGGCTCGTTTATGATTGCTTCGTATATTACCTAGCTCTTCTATTATTGTACGCTATGGTCACTATGCTGTGATGCGGTGACGCTGTGGTCAATTGTAGCTACTAGTCGCCGTTGGCGCACGGAGTTTCCATGTGTCAGATAGTGTATGCATCTGTGTATGTAGTTTGACATCTCGCATCAAGATCACGGCTAAGTATTGCGAAACCGCATGTCAGACGCTTATTTCAAGGGCCCCTCGGCTTACCAGAAACTTATGGAAAGCGTGATGATCAAATGTTGATGTTTGGAGATTCACTTCTTTAATGCAAATATTCTTTTCTTACCACTTTTCCCTTGTAAATGATACGTCGAAGGCCCGATTGAGAAACAACTTTCATCTGGGGGGCCTGGCACGTTGCCAAGTACTAGAACATATATATGCCCGCCTTTCTGCCACGCAGGTATTCGAGCCGGTATCGATACTTATTGGTCGAAAATAAGCCGGTGAAGAAGCCAAGAACATGAGAGAAACCGTCAAGATCTTCCAGAATCACACCTGCTATAGCATGTTGCAAGGTTCCCGGTTCGAGGCTAAACTAAATGGGTGCCTTATTTCGAATTGGCATATGAATGGGTGGAATCAAGGGAGACCTGGTCTTCATACTAGGTATCTCGCGAATCTGGGGGAAGTGGTTTGGAGGAACCGGCACTGTTCCGCTTCTGGTCCTTGTCGCCGCCTATAAAAGCGCCAATTCCGCCAACGGGTGCAGGAAGCGGCTCCTTGTCCAAACGGCCCGTGGACCATCTACGGTTCATCTATGGCTTCTTGACAGGGAGCTAAGAACCATGAGAAATTCGGTAATCTCGTATATAGTACACTAGATGAACACGTGAAATCGCGTGTATTAGCAAGTCACTAGGTTGACCGAAGGGAGGACTATATGTGAAAACGTAATTAGATGCTTCGCTTTACTATATTCTGCTGATGAAATAGTAGGTTGCTGCCCGGGTGACAACTGACGATAGCTTCCAGGGCTTGAGACTTCGCATGATGATTGTCTGTCATATTAGTGTTTTGGTATCGTACGTTCCCAGGGCTTTGGGTCCGGCATGAGCGAAATGTTACCACTGAGAATGGATCAGAATGGATCAGCCCATGTTGATGGGACGCATCGTCCTAGAACGCACTCGGGCAAACTTTTAGTTTATATGTATGTATGTGGTGGTTGAGCTAGGGAAGATTCCTGCTTTGAGCGGATATGCTGAATGAAGATTGCCACTCTTGTTCTCCAAATATTCCCTCATTACGGATTTCCTACCTGGTTAAGAATATTGGGATAGCACGGGCCTCTATATACTACTGTCATTTATCAAGTACCATGAGAAGCTCTAAGCTTTTTTTGATGGCGAATTGATGTTCTGGACCGGTTCCGCGATATGGTTTTCGTCGCTGACACTGGGTAACACGAAGTACGCGAACTGTTTAGACCAGCCTTTCGGGTTTTTGATATGTGGAAGAACTCGGAGAACTGCTAAGAGGATTACGGCATACTGAGGGTTGTATGTGTATGTATGTATGTATGTATGTATGTATGACCTAAACTGTGGTGGTCGATCCTCTATCTTTATCTAGGTACCTATGTAGGAGATAGATAGCTAATAAGTTGATGTAAATAGTGTATGTTATGTAGTATGTAGTAGTGTATGTAGTTGAGATCACATTTGGGGTCGTTTCTTTTTCCCGGTACCTTTCATCTCCAACTGTCAGATTATCTTAAGCTCCGGATCAATTACCTGCTTGCATACCGACTTGCCATGCTTTACTCAGTAAAGTAATAATATGCCGCTGATGCATCGTTCCTGCAGGACGAATCTGCAGGCACAAATTTGGCATGCAAGGTACTGGTCGATGAATAGGCCGAGAGAAATGCGATTGGTGTATGTAAAGAAGTTGTAGAGAAGTTGTAGTAAAGTATAGATGTACCTCACAACATTCAATACTTCCATCCGTTTTCTATCATCTATCAACGGACCCGGACAAGCTATCCTGACTACCTATCCTGACTACCTATCCTGACTATCCTGACATATTCTAGTTTCCAGCACTGTGGGAGCCGGGTAACAGGCCGCATAATGGGAGGCAAATTAACTATGAGGGCTCTTGCCTGGGGTCCTGTCGAGCCGGAAGACTTCCACGGAACTGTTATGGATACCTTGTAAAGTCGGAAGTCCCAGCGAGCTGTCTAGGCATTCTGGCGGTGGAATAATTGTCTGAACCCTGATAAAGCTTCCTGATTTGGGACTCTAATCCGATAAAACACCGCTCCACCGCTATGTTAGTACGACGTAGCATACCTAGAACAACAGCACTGACGATATGGGTCATAGTAATGCATGCCTGTACAGTACATAACCCATGTACTAACATGTGTATGTAGGTACGTATGTGTCTGCGTAAAGTTATGTATATGTGTATGTATGATGTATGGATGTATTCCTACCTAGGTTTGTTCAGAAACGCAATCTCTAATGCAATGCTAGTGCCAATGCATTGGCAAATGCACTAATATGCACGGCAAAATAATGAAACAAGCGATGGATGTTCTGATGATACCCAAACAGCTCTCTCTGGACTGCGATAGCACGTAAGAATATGCACAATACCTACCAATGCAGAGTTGTGCTCCTTGACACAGCCCCCCAGAGAATCGATAATCCTTAACGCCCGTATACGTACTCTATGTACATACAACATGCCTACGCTGATACAGAGTACACTTCCGTACGCTAGGAAGGGTAGCAAGGTAATGGTGCAATAGGCGAGCGTATCACCAATATTGCGATGCCGCTTCTAAGGTGCGCTATGATAGAAGCCGCTTTTAATGTTCGTTCGAACGGAAACTGCATCATGCGTGACAGCAGTGGGCACGTTGTTTGAAGATCCGAAAAGTTGGTATCAACTCACGTAAAAGATTAAGGTACGAATGGCGTTCTGATGCAAACTGGTGGAGATGATGTTTGTGGACTTACACGAGGAGACCACGTTTGAGCCGTTGCGGTGCGGACGGGCTAAAAAAGAAAAGTAACTTGATGTTCCTTTTTTGATTTATTTCGATTTATTTCGATTTTTAATTTTCAATCTTTTCTGTTTTCTGTAGTGGTTCCGAGGCCGAACCGTGTGTGGAAGGTGCTGTATAGAGAAACGGCTTCGGGATCCAATGACTGCATTGGAAGATCCCGAAGTACGAAAAAGGCAGGAAGGACTTGCCTTCGGTGGTGATGACGGAGTCTCGTAACGGCCATATTACTTCCAAGATTTTTCTGCAAGTTAACAAAGTTAAAAAAAGAAACTAAGAAAAAGAAGCTTATTTCTTTCCCACCTATTCCCGCTTGCCGCCTGATAACCTAACGCCCGTTGCTTCGTTGATTACTAGTAACATTAAGTCACTTCAAGTCACCTCAAGTCACCTCAACTCGTCACGTCCGTCCTTCCGGTTCATCACGATGCCGTACTTTGGTTTCATCAACATCTAATCTAACATAGAACCCTATAAAACTATCGAGTCCAGTCGTGTTAACGCTATGCACATAGAACGCTTCCACTACGTCGGTGCAAAGAACCGACCCATCGGATCCTCGATCACATCGACAAGATGTGAAATGTGGGGTGTAATCTCATGTAACAGAATGTTCGCCGAGTTGACCGTTGACCATTGACCATTGTGACGAATGTTCTCTCTCGGAATAAGCCTACGGCTGGTATCAGCCAACCCCATCTTGTGATTCCTGTGATACACCGAAGAGAAGGAGAAGAAAAATATCCAAGCACGTTCCATAAACAGAAGGCCTCAACGTGATTTGATAGATACCGTATCATCGGCGTCTCTAGCCTCTTCTCTCTGGATGAATAGGTTGCATCTAATAGTGAACCGATGGATAGTGCTTGCATATCAGGAACGCGCGCGTTTTGGAGGATTTGTCCACTCACACACGAACATTCGGGGGCTAATCCTATGTTTCCAATTCCAATCGATGCAACCGCTTTTAGCAGAGAAATTGTGTGAACATTTACTTCATCACAAGCTAATCTGGGGACAATCTGCCAATGCGAGCCCAGCTTAGGCAAAACACACACATCATTGGTCTTGATTTACTGGAACTACTTCACACCAAAACATATGGATTGGCATCTAGGTATATCCAATACGATGCCTGATGCCCGACACTGTTGTATTACGCACGCGATGGCAGGCTGCCTCTTACTGCATGCTTACCACGCTCACCTCACCTAGATGAATTCTTCATCGAGCAGTTCACAGCCTATTAGTGAAATCCAATCATCGGTAGTTTGCGAAATTTTCAATTGCGGAACGCTTGTTTGGCTGCATCTTGGGTTTCTGCAGAAACCCAGCATTGTGGTGTCGATGGGAGGTTATCCCGGCGGTCAACGTCATTGCCATGACGAGCTGTGATTGTCTACACTGTATGTACATAGTCTGTTTGCCCGTCCCGAGAAATACATGGCTTCATAGCCTTTTCATACATAGGTAGCCTTTCAAATAGCTATCGGCTATCGTTCCGAATTCTATGGAGCATCTGATACCAAGCCTTCCGTGATCCAATCGTCAAGTCCAAGAGGCTGTCCGAGGCTTAATTATAAGCGCAGTCTTTCTCGTGAAGGCGCCGAATGACGAATGTGATCCATAGCGCGACGCCTGGCCATTCGTACCTGCATTCCATCACGTCGTTCTACTGGATGGGCACCATGGGCTGGCGCAGAGGACTCCGCGTCGCGCGCAGGCTGGACGGCGTTCAGCGACTGGCTGTGCAATGTTGCAGCCGAACACAACCACCACCGACTTGGTGCTTTGGCAAAAAAGGACGAATTATGCAAATTGTGTGGCTCGCTTCCTCGTGTGGTCCAGCGGTCAAACCGACCTATCACAGGTGGCAGTTCACTATTGTACAATACAAATACATGCGACGTACGGATTAGATATGCATGATCCAACCATCCAAGAAAATCCTGAGAAAAAAACTTGTGCAGAGTACCATCCACGACAATCAATTCCCTAAACAGCTCTAGAAGCAATGGGGAAGGCCGCCGAGATACTACTGTATGGGCATCGTCTCACTTATCTGTTCGTTAGGTGTATTAATTATGCATCATGTAATTAATGCTTTGCGTACACTATCTATCTATGTATCAGACGTATACTTTATGTACATGTAGATATGTACAAGCCGTTTAAATATTTATATGTACCTCTTGGCAAATATATAGAGGGCTTTAGATTATGACGAATTATGTACACGAATAACGTCTGAGATAACGACAAAAGATGGCTAACCCGATACTTCACCGTATATTGGTTATCTTAGAATTTACATAATACTTCAAAAGAAGATGCTCCAAAAGAAGAGCCAACAATCCCATGTTTAGCTGTCGAATGCAGCTCTACTATGTACGTATGTACGCTTGATACTAGGTCGGGTTTGGGAGTCCGTATCGTTCTCTGAACGGTGCTAGGTGATATGCAAGGTGTCGTATGCTTGCGCATGCGTTATGTACAAACCAACGGAGTTTAAAGGTGTATAGGTACACTATGTACGCTATGCAATACTAGACAGGTATACGACCAGTCGGACAAGGTTTCTGCTGTCCGTCGATAAAAAGAGAGAAGAGGACATAACATGAGAGCATAACATAAGATACATGGGACATAACATAATGTACCCATCAATACGCGGTACCTCTCCCTCCTCTAGTGTCGTCCAGATTTAGAATCGCTCGGTGGCTGCGCCCACATAGTACCAGTCGACATACCCACTCATCTCATGTTTCCGTTTTTGCCCCAGACATGCAGTAGACAAGGTTGGCCAGTGGTAACGACCCAGGCCGACCAGGACCATCTTTAGACCCCCTTGTCAGCTTCCCCAAGTGAGACATACATGGGTGACCTTGAGTTGAGTGGGCTCCCTATGGGTCTCCCATTCCACCCGCAGGCCCTCCAGTGCCTATCGATGGGCTCTTTTATCTGGTGTAGATGATCTGGGCGGGCTTCGACTATTTTACATTATCCTCTACAAGGTTCGCTTCAACCACGTTCATTACTCTCTTACCTAGTCCGTGATCGACATATCAGTCGACTTAGGTTGTCTTCTATTTCTTCATAACCCTATCGGTTCTCTTGTTTCTTCCGTGACTCGACTTTTTGGAATCGTTCGATCACTCCTCGAACTTCCTGCCCTTCTTTAAGTATACAGCAAAGTCACATATCCTATCCTCTCCCAAGCCAGTCTGCTTGACGATAATATCCGGGAGTTCCAAGTCGAGGACAGGTTCATGTACAGCAGCATATACATCGAGTCATAAGCAACTAGATGGTCTTTGATATACATCGGGACCGTTCATTCATTCAGACATCCAAGAACCGAAACCACCATCTTTAGGCCAACCGCCCACCAAACGTACCTATTGTACAATATAACTACACCAATATACTTAATATATAAACGAAACGAGACACGGCAACACTCTAGAGAGTCATCAGCAAACGTAACCAAATTCGGTAACAGGTCAGTTCCTTAGAGGATCAAGAAGGTCACCGTCCGCAAAGACTGACAGGAGGTAAATCAGTCACGACAATGGACCCAAGTATGATGAGCTCGCAGATGGGACCAACACCCTTCTTTTACTATACGCCAGACCCCAACCCAGAGAACCGGCATCACGGCCACTTCAGTCAGCAGCCAGGGTTTCAACAGATGCAGCAACAGCAGGTATTCCCTATTGTACCTACGTTGCCATCGACGCCGATCTACTCGAGGCCGAATTCGTCTTGCTCGCAACAACCTCTACAGGCTAAGGTATTCGGTGCCGTTCCTAGTAATATGACACCTATGGCGTCGCCACAGGCCATACATCGACCAGCTATTATGCTGCAAAACCAACCTATGAAGTTGGCGCTAGAGACTGAGCTTTGCGATCATGATGGCTTCTATTACCCGGCTACACCGCCCTTGTCAACATCGGGCAGCTCAATGGGCAGCCCATGCAACACAAACGACATGCTAGCCACACCGCTGAACCCCATGTTCTCTGGGCTAGATGGACTTGACGGATGCGAGATGGTGAAGCCCGAGGTTGAGACAATGCCGGAGAGCTTGGAGAATTTGGATTGGGCCAACTGCGGCTCACCTCCATTAACACCTGGTAGGTCCTTATTTCTTTTTTTGAATTTTAAGTTTTGGACGGGATCTACTTCGTAGGTAGTTGCTCGAATTTGACAACCGAATGAGTTGTTTAAAACCGACTTCTAAAAATACGAACTGAGAACTGCGAAGATGTAATTGAGTTTCGGGGCGGGTTGGCGGGGCTTGGATTGGAATTCACCGCTTATCTTGCCTATCTTTTAAGCCTAGGGGACATTTGGTTGCTAACTTTAATTTTTTTCTGCCCTTACAGTTTATCTCCAATCGCAATCCACACAGGCACCTTCAGTCAATTCTAGCTTCTCAAGCGATCACCTTTCGCCTACTTCCTGCCCTTCGTTATCGCCGTCTCCTTCACCATATGCACGATCTGTTGCATCGGAACAAGACATTGATTTTTGCGACCCTCGGAATCTAACTGTTGGCGGTGTGTCGAACCCCACTCTATCGTCCGAGTTCACAGCCCCTGTCGCATTAGAAGAATTCAGGGGTGACGTTCTCCAAAAACAATCGCTCCCTGATAACTTCAACTTCAACACTGAGCTTCAACACGAACTTCCAACTTTCGAGGATATCTCAGATTTGGAATCCGAAGACGACTTTGTAAACCGCCTAGTTAACATCAGTGAGCAATCCGCTGATTTGAAGAGACCGCGTTCTGGTACTTGCTCTACAACCCTATCTTTGGGTCACGAGTCCTTCTTCGCGGAGAGTGATTTCGACACCGAGGACACAGCAGTTTCTGGTCTTTCTAGTCCTGCTAGCTCGTCGGAGTGCGAATCGCACAAGGATAAGAAATTAAAGAAGTCGAAGAAGGAATCGCGCAAATCAGTTCCCGCCATGAACGTCGCTGCTGATTCCAGCTCCGGTCAGAGCGACGAGCAGCAGCAACAGCAGTCAGCTCAGAATGATACCACGCAAGCAAGCAGCAATGCAGGATCATCATCAGGATCAAGCGCACCCACTACTCTTCCAGCCCCACCAAACCGCCGAGGCCGCAAGCAATCATTAACTGAGGACCCGAGCAAGACTTTTGTTTGCGAGCTATGCAACCGCCGCTTCCGCCGACAAGAACACCTGAAGCGCCACTACCGTTCTCTGCACACGCAAGAGAAGCCCTTTGAATGCCACGAGTGCGGGAAGAAGTTCTCCCGAAGTGACAACCTATCTCAGCACGCGCGAACTCACGGTAGCGGCGCTATCGTCATGAATCTCATTGATGGTAGCGAAGAGGGACTCGAAATGATGCCGTCTGGGGAGTCGGACTACTCTAATTACGGAAAGGTGCTTTTCCAAGTCGCGTCCGAGGTTCCCGGTAGCGCTAGCGACTTATCATCAGACGAATCTACCAGTGAGAGCCAGGGCAAGAAGAAGCGCAAGCGATCTGAGTAAATCAACCAAATTCCTCGGGAAGGATTGAGATCAGCTTTACACGCCTTGAAGATCGATAGGAGATCTCGGCGTACGCCCATTAATGACATAATGACTTTCACACATTCGACCGATTCCCCCCAGCGCATTCATGGATCTGGTCTCAAGGCCTAGGTAGAGAGGACTACAAAAGTTGCACTTTGATTTTTCAGCATCGACTTGTCTTCTTGTACCATTATTGTGAAAACATTTTTTCTTCCAATCATGACGACTATTTAAAAAAGCTCAAGGGAGCGGCTACGACAGCCTTCAAGGGATACAAGGGTTTTGGTGATGAGGCGCGAACGGGGGGGGGCATTTTTGATAAAACCATACAGAGGCGGAATTTGCCATGGAAAGCAATGCTATACACTATTTTCGGCGGCTTATAATTCTCTACGCTCGTTGTAATCTCTACAGCGGGGCGGTGCAGAGCAGCCGTCCATCGCGGTAGGACACGATCAGTGAGAGGGAGGAGGAACCAGAGGATGATGTTCGAAGGGGGCCCTTCACTGAAATCGCTCTTCGTGTGTCTAATTTCTACCTGTTATTCAGTTTATTTCCCGACTTCGTTTATTGCGACGGCTTTCGTGGCAGTGCTGGTCACAAGAAGATAGCTTTGAGCAGGAACCTATGTACAGATAGGAAATTAAATCTAGCAATGGATTTTGTCGCCAGTAATTAATATGTCTTGAATTCAATGTGTGTTTGTGATAATTCTAGTTCCTATTGTTTTGTTTACCTAGTAGAATAAAGTGTACCAGTAGAGAGGTGCTTATCGTATATGGATGTATTCAACGTTGAAGGTTTCGGGACAAGTTCTTTTGTGTAACAAGTACCTAATCTATCTACCTATCTACTTCGATACATAAGGTAGGTAGGTGTGGACCTACATACATCAATGTTGTGTCATTTGGTAACTCAAGTCCGACAATTGGCCCGCGAGCGGATACGGTCCGTTTTTCAAAACCCGAAAGCAAGAAAAAAAAATATGAATAACGTACGCGCGTAACGGAGGGGCTTATGTTTACTACTAACTATTAGAACGTTTTTAGTCGATTAATTATCTCTGACTATCTCTCTTCCGATGTCTGCTGATACAAAATCAGGTTCTTAAAATTCTAGTTTCTAGACTTTTAACAAATCCGAAACCCCGCTAAGCCGACACCGTCTGAGGAACTATCCGCATAGGTAGATTAGCATAGATTCGCTTATTAGCTTATTAGCTTTCTAATGCGGATATCTATAGTGTATACAATACTAGACTATGTCTAACCCTATCAAAGCTAGCAATCAAGCCATAGCTCAAAGGTCCAGAGCCGCTATTCTTAAATATCTTATGAAGTCATAACACGCCGAGATCAGCTGAGATATAGCGAGATATAGCGAGATATAGCGAAGAAAAGTGAGGCAATCGTGCCACACTGATGTCGCGATAGTCGAGATTTGTTTCCGCTTCGCCTAGTACAGAGACCCTGGTACGGAAAACTTGGTACAGGGAGAAATGACTCCCTGTTAGGCCGGTGGACTATTCGATTTCTTTTCTATTTCTCCGAAATTGATAGCTGTCAGGCCTTTGCAATTACCGAATACCCATGCCATGGCAACAGACGGACCCCTACACGTTGTCGCGCTGGTCTCCGGGGGGAAGGATAGCTTCTACTCCATTCTCCACTGCCTGGCGAATGGGCACCGCGTCGTAGCTCTAGCTAACCTCCACCCGCCGCCTAGAGTCATCAATGCTAGTAGTTGTAGCTATAGCAGAGATGTCAATATTTCAAGAAGCGCAGGCAGAACTGAAGCTGAAGTCGTAACTAAGGCCGATGCCGGCAGCACTACTACTACTACTGCTACCATACGGATTTCTCCCGGCGTGGATCAACACCCCCAGCACTCTTCATGCTCTACTTCATGCTCGGCACCGGAAATAGACCATAGTGGCAACGAGGAAGAAGATGAGGCCGACCTGAATAGTTTCATGTACCAGACCGTGGGTCATCAAGTCATCCCATTGTATGCACAGGCCACGAGACTACCTCTATTTCGCCGACCTATCCTGGGAACAGCGGTGGACCATGGCATAAGCTACCAGGACCCTGATGGCCACCGCGAAGACGAGGATGAGACAGAGTCCCTTGTCCCGCTATTGCGTGCTGTTCTCGAGGCCCACCCGGATGTCAACGCCCTGTGTACAGGCGCTATACTATCGACGTACCAGCGAACCCGCGTCGAATCCGTTGCTCTGAGGCTCGGCCTGGTGCCGCTGGCCTATCTATGGCAATTCCCTGAACTTCCATTGCCCTTTGCCGCTACAGATAGTCAAGCTGTAGGTACCGATAAGAACGATGACGCGCAGCTGCTCCGCGATATGGCAGCCGCAGGGCTGGAGGCCCGTATCGTGAAGGTGGCTAGCGCTGGCTTGGGAGAGGAATTCTTATGGGAAAATGTGGCAAGCGAGTCCGCCGTGTCTCGCATCCGCCGCGCGCTCCGCCGCTTTGGGGGCGACGGGGGACGGGGTGCCGTCTTAGGAGAGGGCGGCGAGTTTGAGACACTTGTCGTAGACGGCCCGTCGGTGCTGTTTAAGGGTCGAGTAGTAGTTGATGAAGGTGACAAAAGAATAGTACGCGAAGGTGGTGGAAGCGCTTGGCTAAGCATTCGTAAGGCTAAGGTCGAGATGAAGTCGGATTTGGATGCATCATCTCAGATAGATAGTTACGGTGTTCGTATCCCAGACCTGCTCGATTTGGAATTCAAGACTGTTCTCGAGTCGCTGCATAACGAGGGCAAGCTGGGGTATGATCATAGCGGGGGAGTATCTCAGACATTGCTGTCACCTACATCGAGCTTGTCTCGGTATAAGCACACCGAGTCTAGTAGCAATGATTGGTACTTTGTTGGAAATTCGGGGGCCATTGAAGATCAGACAGCTAGGATCGTTGACGAGGTTCGTCGACGGCTAGGCGACCATGTCCTACCGTCAACAGCAATTGTCAGTTCCGTCATCGTGTTACGGCGTATGGCAGACTTTCCGACCGTTAACAAGCTCTACGGTGCCCTGTTCCGTGAACCAAACCCGCCTGCTCGAGTAACTATCTCATGTGGGGATTTGATGTTACCTCGAGGCACCGACATAGCTGTTCTTCTCACCGTTCAGCCTCATTTGCAGCGAAATGAAAGACGTGGTTTGCACGTCCAGTCGCGGTCGTACTGGGCACCAGCCAACATTGGCCCATACAGCCAGGCGGTCACGTATCCCCTGCTTAGGAGCGACGAGGGTCAGAATAACGATGCCCAAAACTCAGAAATGCCTCTTGCGGTGTCCATCGCGGGTCAGATACCCTTGGTACCCGCCTCCATGACCCTGCCTCCGATACGGAAAGATGGTAGCAGTAGCCTCGCATTGCAAATAACCCTAGCGCTGCAGCACCTCTGGCGTGTTGGCGGTGAGATGCAGGTCCAATGGTGGAGCGGCGCCGTGGCATACTTCCCGCGCTCGGCCCTCCGCTCGGAAGCGAGACACAGTGCCCTGCTCGCTTCTGCGGCGTGGAACGCAGCGCACGTGGCATCCTCTAGTCTGTCGACAGACGCGGTAGAGGAGCCGGACCCGTGGGATCGAAAGTACAATCCTGCGTATATGACATATGGTAATAGTAGCGACGATACCGCTTCGAGACCGAGTCTTCCTGATTGGGAGGTCTTGAAGGATTTCGACGCAGATGCAGATGCAGATGCAGATGCAGATGCTGACGCTGAAGATGGGAAGATTCCCCACAGACCACTACCGTTCGTCTTCTCCGCTGAGGTCGAAGAGCTGCCGCGTTCGGCTGGTGTGGAGTGGCATGCGCATCTGGGATTCGCGAATGTGGACGCCGGATCTATCCGGTTGTATGCCTTTGGCGGTGGAGGGACCCCGGAAGATCCCCTCTTGCACCACGTCGTTGTCGAGTCCCCCTCAGGTGACGTGTTTGTCCAGACAGCCGCTGCTTGCCAGGCAATTGAAGGACCTATCTCGGCTCTACCCCTCACTAATGCGGTGGACTTTGAGAACATAGTGGACCATTATGCAGTAGTTGTTAAGAGGTCTCTACTCGAACTACTGGCAGGTTTAGAGCCCGATGATTCTGTTGTAGTCGTACCAACACCGAAATTCACATATGTCGACCCCGAAGCATTTAAGTTTCCTGAGGATATGGGAGCTTGGTTAAGTAAGGGCGCGATAATACCTTGTAGGTCTCTATGGGATTCACAAGGTCGTCGGTTGAATATGGTGTCTATATTCGAAACTAGGTGGTCTAAAGTACGTTAGGGGCTTTAGATACAAGTGATAGAAGGAAAGATGAAGAAAAGAGATTTCGTACGGGACATAGCCCGTCCTGTCTACATGTGTTATAGATAGCTGATGAGTATTCTCTTGTAGAAATCTACACGATGAACATATATTTATTGGTATATACTATTCAGAATACCGTCCGTAATATTATCCAATTGCCCGTACTATAATCATCAACCAAGTAAATCGTTATCATATCGAAGGCATGAATACTCAAAAAACCAATGCCCAAAACTTCATCGAACTCCCCTCCTCTGCTGCAGCGCAGGCGCCAGCCCTTTCCAAAAATCACATCTTTCCCGCTGATCGTCCGGCACCGTCTCCATCGAGAAATTGCCCACTTGCATGAGTAATCTCTCACCACCACCACCACCAGCAGTACCATTACCATTACCATTACCATCCCCGCCCCCCTCCGCATCCCACAACTCCCACACCGGAGCCCCGGGCGTCCGCAACGTAGACGGATCCAAAGTCCGCACAAACGAGATCCAGTAGTCCATAACCCACGGCACCACAGCCGCAGCCTCGCCATAATAACTCGCCGGCCCACGCCCCGGCCCCCGCTGGCTATCCGGCCCAAACACAGCCCACGACTCCCATATATGCGGCACGCCGAGCCCCAGCGCCGCGTTCATCGCGTCGTAGACGTCGTACCGGTAGCTCCACGCGCGCCGGGCGTTGTTCCGGCGCCGGGTATACGATGTCAGTAGGGTGTTCGTCGGGCAGATGAATGTGGCTTCGCCGTAGGCTGTTGCCGCGGAGGGGAACCAGGGCTCGTGGAGGGGCAGGGCGGCTTGCTGCGGGTATTTGGAGGAGGAGTTGCTGGCTTGGGCGGAGGAGAGGCGCGGGTAGTTGTTCTGGAGGAACAGCGCCATGGCGGCTGAGCTGGCGGTGTCGGCGGGTGCGAAAACCGTGCCTTCGTTGGTGGTGGTGCCCATTATGATGGGCACGTCGACGAAGGAGCCCTGGGAGAAGAGGACGGAGGGCGAGTCGGGGAGTAGAGAGCCGTCTATGCAGGGCGTCCAGTAGAATAGGGGTAATGGGGCGGGAAGACCCGGGCGTCCGGGGAATGCGGAGGGGATGTTTGCGGATTGTTGTAGGGTGGTGGTGTCTTTGCTTCGGAGGCACGACATTGGATCTTCTTCGTCGGTGCACCCTGTTTGAGAGAGCACTAGGTCGAACTGCCACTCGAGATCCGCGACGGTCGGCTGCGCGGGGAAGAAGGGGGATTCCCCGATAGCACCTACGAAGAGATTGTCACTATTACTATTACTACTGGTGCCGTTCCCGTGCTGCGTCCGGTCACCCTCCGCATACGAAATAAGCAAATGCAGCGCAACAGAGCCAGCCCCAGCCGACGCCCCATGGATCACGACGTGGTCCGGATCGCCCCCGAACTGCGCGATATGTCGCCGGACCCAGCGCATGACCTCGCGCTGGTCGCGGAGCCCAACGTTCAAGTCTCCCGCCCCGCCGCCGCGCACGCGCTCGCTAGCTAGGAAACCCCAGAGCCCGACGCGGTAGTTGAAGTTGACCAGGACTATATTCTGGGCCGAACGCTCGACTACGGCGGTGCCGTTCCAGTTGGCGTTGCTGTTGGTGATGTAGCCTGTTTTTTTCTTGATTTAGCGCGGGTTTTGGAGGGTAGTCGGTCTTTGGGTTAGGTGCAAGGGGAGTTGTGATTATTATAGGTAGGTATTGGTAGGTATTGGTAGGTAAATAGGAGAGAGGACGGGGGTGAAAAGAAATATAAAAAGATAAAATAAATAAATGAAAATACGAACCTCCGCCCTGGATGAACAGCCACACGGGTAGCTTAGAGTCGAGCGTAGCGTTAGCCGGCGCCCATACGTTGACGTACAGACAATCTTCATCTTGTGCTCCGTCGTTAGGATACGGTACCGAGATGCCCAGGCAGATTGGGCCGAACTAGATTCGCTCCGAGTGTTAGCTACCTTAGGTACCTAGTTAAATTCATTTCCTTCATTCTGCTTCCTTTCGTCCCTTATCTCCTTCTCCTCAGCATGATATTTATCAAGTATCCAATAGAGACAAGAAATAAAGACAAGGTAAAAAAAAAGGTCACCCCCGGGTAAAAAACCACCTTACCGTATCAGCCACCCGATCCCCCGAATCATCCACCTCCGGCTCGACCGGGGCCCGCCATCTACGCTCCCCCGTCGGCGGCGCCGCATACCGCATGCCGAGGAACTCCGCGACGCCGCCATCGCGGCCCACAAGCGAGCCCTGGTACTGCGCATATCCCAAGTTCACGCGGGCAATATCCTGCTGCGATGGGGTCTACGTTCGTTAAGTCTTAGCGCTTGGTCTACCGCGGAACTCTAATTACATAAGGGGGAGGGTAGGTGGGAAAAAAGAGAGAGAGAGAGAGAGAGAGAGAGAGAGAGAGAGAGAGATAGGAGGGAGTATAGTATTACCCTCTTGTCCTCCTCGATAGCCTTGTCGCGATTCCGCCTAGGCACTAATATAGCCGTAGGAGTGACTACGACGACGATGACCGCTATCGTCGCTAGCACCGCAAAGATGTGCCATGACTTAACGGCTCGTCTTGGGGCGCCGAGGGTTTTCATAGCTATGGCGGCGCGCCTGGGACGCTTCGTGCGGTCTGGCGGTTGTTCATATGTATGATATAGGAAAGGCGTACTAAAACTATCGGATATGGTTGGTAAGTAAAGGTAGCCGGTATCAAGGTCTTCCCCCTCCTCAAATCCATCCGAACATTCACGGGATGGATGGATAGATGACACCCTTTTTTCTAAGTTAGGTAGTTAGGTAGTCACTCGACTTCCCCTCCCCTCCCCTCACATCCGATCTGATCTAGCCAAGCGTTGCAGACGGGCACAAAAACACGCAAGAACTAGGTTTTTAGCATGCCCACGAGACTTATTTCGGGGGGGAAAGCGCGTTGTCCCTCGTCGCGCAGCATCAGATTTCCCGTCGCAGTCCTATTCTCTGGCGCACAGAGTTTAAAGCCGTCCGTCTGCAGCTAACCGAGACAAATCTCCAGGATACCTACTCCAAGGCGATGAATCGGGTCATGGGATCTCCGCTCTCGTGGAGGATTTGGGGAAGTGATTAATCAGTTTTAGGAAAATTACAAGTTGAACAACTCGAATATCATGATGCAATACTGAGTCCCAATCCTTTCTTGGAGATTCACTAGGTTAGGTACCTAGCTCAAATCGAAGAGAATCTAGTAGAGCGAATTGTAATATTAAAATCAATTTCCCTGACGTCAATAATAGACCTATATAGTTAATAAAGAGCATTAAAAAGTAACTAGACAGGGAACGGACCGGGGTTGTCGCTCATCTTTCTATTTTCATCCACATCTCTCATGCCGACCTCGGTCGAGATACAGAGCCTTGTTCAAATCGCATGCACGGTTCACCGCCTGAAGAAACGAAACAGAATTGAACGAAGAAAATATTCATCATATGCACGTACTCATTTATCTAAACAGCAGAAAGCAATGTTACTTCAACTCGATCCTCCCCCTTTTACTCCAATGCTCTGCTCGCATCCGCTTTCCAACTTAACTTCGGTTACGAAGTCAAGATAGGCAACATGGCGAGTGAGACAGTCCAGATTAAAAACAATGCTCATGTCCATTCATTCCAAGCCAATACCTTAGTAAGTCCGTAACGCCCTAGTCATTCAAACATTTCAATGTGGGAGAGCTCGCCGGTGAGAAATGCCAGCATAACAGCCAGGGGGCCTTGCGGAGGGAGAAGAAGTAAGGTCCATCGTCTCTGCCGAGGAAAATTCATATACCTCGTCGATACCAAACGCCAAACGCATATGCAGGGAACCGTGACTTGGTCGTCATAGTCATCATCGTGAAAATAGCTGGTCCGTGGGGTTTAATTATCATCGAATATGCCATTAAAAACGCAACATCAAGCAGACGTTAACGCTCAATTCGGTAACAGCAAGGACTCGGTCTCCTATATCGCGGATACCTTGCGTGCCGTTGAGCTAACATTTGAGTTGGCGTTGATACTACCAACCCGACCGCTCGTCTTGCGCACGCCCGCTGAATCCTTGCTGCGGCTAGATTCGGCCGTTCGCTTGCTGCTCCTGACCTTGGTCAATATGCCCGAGGCGCTCGCCGACCGCGTTGGCGAGCCGGTGACATGGTCCACAATGGTCTTTGGCCGAGCACTGCCAATGTTCTCAGCGTCATTAGATGCATCATTGTCTATGACCTTATATATTGTGGTTGTCGTGCTTTGGCTTACTGATCTCGTCTTTTCACTGCGGCCTGGTGAGTGCGATGTCTTGCGATGGGTTCGCATGCGTAGGAGCCATTCCTCTTCGGATTCGGTATCGTTAGACCGTCTGTGGACGGAGATGACCTCCGTCTCTTTCTCAGCCCCCTCGCGTTCCTCCTCGACCGGGGAAGGCTGAACCGAGTTGCGCTGGTAAGGATGGTGTCGGTCTATACGACTCGTCTTCCGAGGCTGACCTGGCGTCGGGGCCGGTAGGTAGTCCTCTTGCGCACCCGCATTACGCCTTTCACCATCCATTTCGCCGAGAGGCGTACGGTTTGATGGGCTTCTGCTGGGAGGTGTAGATGCCTGAGCGCTTCGGCTTAGAGTAGCCTTCTGCATTGCTCGGATGGGCGTGCTGGGTGCCTGGTTCGCCGCCGCGAGCTCCTTTCTTAACTTCCTCTCCAGTCTCTCCTCGATCCACCACTCGCGGAAAACTCCTTGATTGATGTGCAACCAATGCTGTTGAGGGCCAACAACCATACCGGGGCGCATAAAACGCATGAAGGAAATGACCTCATTTGCTGTGAATCCATGGCGGTAGATTAGGTATGCCCCAATCAAGCATCCGGTTCTTCCAAGACCAGCTTTACAGTGAACTGCAATCCCCTTCTTCCGAATAGTAATCGTCTCGTGCGCAAGCTTGATGAACTTTCGAACGGTGCTTAAGGGAGGGCAAGTACCATCTTCAAAAATCATATCGAGATGTTGGATCCCTAATGCCTCAAAGTAAGATGGGGAGTATAGAGGTGAGTTAAGTCGAACAACTAGGCCAATGCTGCGCTCAGAAAAGTGGCTTAGTACGTTCTTGAATGACTGAGGGAGGCTTGGGTGAGAATCGACCGCGGAGAGTGTCTTGGGAAGAGAATCATATAATTCTGACGACTCGGTGATGCGTGCCACCGGGCTATGCTGCGGAGATGCGAATGCCAGGAAATGAGGCGTGATCCAGTTGAAATCGCCATGTTCGACGCGTTCAAACTTTTCGTATTCGTCAAGATCGAAGTTGTCCAGGACACAGCAACCTTCCTCCTTGGCTTTCCAGACACCGTACACGATGTCTTGCACAGTGATACCGTAATCCGCTTGACTGTAACCAGCGTCGCGGAAAGGCATTAGAGGCGGATCAACCTGCGCAATCGGTGCCAGGGCCAAGTGAGGTGGCCAAGACTGAATCAAAACCATGTAGCAAGCGAGTAAACAAGCGGCGTTGGCTCGGCCTATTCGAAATTGTCAGCAACAGTAAAAAATTTCATATATACGTGCATAGGACTTACTCCTCGGGTCTGCACGGCTCCAAAATACAATAGGTCTATGCTGGTTTTCCTTTGCGCCAAGAACATCGTGAAAATGCAGGGCAAAACGGTACAAATGACCGATGTGAAGTGGACCAAAATCGTGGTGGAAGGCGTTGTATAAGAGGCTGTCATCGACTGTAAAGTAGTATGGGGGATGTCGGTCCGACTTAGACACTGCAGGCGAAGGCCCGTCGACAGCTCTTTGCGATCGTTTACTTGGCGAGCGAGTTGGGGGTTCGGAGTAGGGAAAGACGGTGTCGGCTGTGGGAGGATGAATGTAGGATGCTAGGTAAAGGCGGTCTGCGAATGTTAGTAATGTGACCGGAAATACTTCTGAATTGAGTAGCAATGAGGGATGTAAGGTATTTTGTGGGAAGCCAGCAGAAATGGGATTCCCCAGCTCGATCTGCGTTAGGCAGACGCTCAAGGAGTCAAAGGACATAACAAATGTGACTAGGACGATGACCAAGTAGGATAATACGAATAAGAGGTGAAAAGCGAATAAGTTGATATCGGATATGCCAGAAGACTAGGCGAATATAATAAACGGTAAAAGGGAACATACCTGGAATATACTCAATGACCTGACCCGAGGGGGAGCTCCTCGAAGGCGGCATCTTCAATGCTGACGTTATCGCTGCTTCTGCTACTTCTGCTGCACTTCCTTTGTTGTTTCCGGCTCAAGAGCTGGCTTTGATTACCCCGTCAAGTATAGACTCGGACGGGAAGACGGGAAGCTTCAATGGCTCTGCATAAACAAACGCAGGCCTGCAGTATTATAAATATATCAGTCGGCGGAAGGACCGTCTAATGATATCGGTGAAGAAATGATTCTAATTTCGGATACGATAAACAAACAGTTCATGTACCGGTAACTAGTTCAATGATGTATGATGTGTATCGCGTATCGGCAGCAAGTAGTAGTGAATGCGAGCAAGAAGAGTTAAGGAGTTGATAAGAAGGAAGAAAGGTTGAAGTTGAAGTAGACGATGTAAATTATTAATGGGTTTTTTTTCAAGAAAAGGATGTTTTTGTATGGTTTCGCTCTATTATTATTTGATTGTTGTTATGTTGGGGTAAGAAAGTGACAAGGGTCAAACTTCTGGCCCGTCGCATAGCGTCCTCCTTTGACCTCTTACCATATTAGGTTAAGACCGTGACCTATACCCCTGTCTGCCCTGTCGTGTTTACCGGTCAAGCCGTTGCTTAGCAACCGTCTGGACCCATTACATAGGTGGCTGAAACGCTGGCCTCATAAGCCGCAGCTAAATTCCAACGCTTCTTATCCTCCTACCAAACCTTATCTTATCATCCTTTGCGGAACAATTTTAACCTAGAAGAAACCTGGTTTGCCTACCCCTCCCTGTCTTCCCCGCCGCGGCTCACAATTGCAACCTAACTATTTGCTTATTGCACAATCAACATTCCAAGCCTCTTAGCCATTAATCCACCCCGGACTCTATTCACCTGGGAAAAGGCATACGACTAGTCACCATGGCCTCAATAGCAGACATACAATATCCATGTGCACTGTATGTTAGCATTCGTAACCGTAATCTACTAATAATTTAAGGCTAAGACTGCTTCTTAGGACGATTGAGGTGCCATTCCCTACACCAAGACTAGCATCCATCGCCCTAAAGGCACTACAGGTCGACAAAGAGCTATCGCCTTTGGTGAAGCGAACTTTCTCCATTGGCCAGTCAGATGAAGACGCCGTCAATGGGGATTCAGGCGGGAATATCTTACGAACCGAGTACAAAGCCACCACCAACAGGATGCTTCGCGTAGCCGTCAACTCCTTTATGGATAGTCTAAACTTAGTGGTCGAAGTCATGCAAGAGCTTGACACGGATGTACTAGCCACGGAAGACACCAAAGCATGAATCGACTTGTGAAAGCATAGCCCCTTGTCACGACGGGTAAGGGATACTGTCCCGCAACTCTTAGTGGAATGTAAAACAATAGCTACTAGGTGAGTATCATAGTGAACACAAGAAGCAATCTAGGGTATCGTTATTAAGACATTTTCAGGGGTTTATACGATGATGCAGAGCACGTGGAAGTATTCCTTAAAGAATTATTTATTTATTGCCATACGGGGGGTTGTGCTACCTGCAACTCCTAACGCCTACCATTTCATCTTATGAGATTACTATCAATATTCTTCCATAACCAACCATCATGTACCTAACCCTTCAACCCCGCGACATCTATGTTTACTCGATGTCAACCTTGTGGATCTCAGTCCACTCCTTCTCAGTCTTGGGGATAGTAACGATGAGAATACCATTCTCCATTTTAGCGGTGATGTTGAGACCGTCGATATCCTCTTTCTCGTCGCTGCCGGGAGGTGGTAGCTTGATGCTTCTCTCAAACATACCAACCTTCCTTTCGCTCGAAGCTAAGGACTGGAGGAACTCTTCATTGCCCGGACGATATACAACCCCGGCAATGTTGATTTTCTCGCCGTCCCAGTTCACTCCGATGTCTTCCTTCAGCGCTCCTGGCAGTGACACATGGAGTACGTATGCTCCCTCGGTGTTGAAGACGTCGACAGGCGGAACGAACGCATCGTCCTGGTGCTCATTCGATTCGCCAGAGGGACCACTCCGAGCTTGGTCCATGTACTCTCTAAAAGCCTCGGCGAATGGATGAGCGGCAAAAGCGTGCATCAATGGACGGAAGTCCCATGGGCCGCTATAGGTCGGTGATGTATGTGGTCCGCGCCGGCCTCCACGTCCACATCGACCTCCTCGTCCTCGGCGAGGACCGAATGGGTGCGGATGACCGTGGTGGTTCGGAGCACCTGGCGGCGGCGGACCGTGGGGGTGCGGGAACGCTCCGGGAGGCGGTGGAGGATGATGAAGGAAGGCTCCGGGTGGTGGAGGGGGCGGGACATCGCCAGTGACTGACTCGTCCGGCGTGTGCCTCAAAGTTTCGGGAGAACTCTCCGTTTCGGTGTCACCGTGATCTTCTTCCCTACCGGTCTCAGGTACGTCTCGATATTGTTGATGGCCGCCTCTGCCATGTCCTCCGTGGTTGCCCCAGCGGCCCCAGCCGTGAGCCATCCAGGGGTTGAACTGGGTGGTGTCAAATGGGAATCCCGGGGGAAACTGATGACCGGAGTTGGTATGGTCAATGCCGACGCCGCCTCTCCCAGCCCCGTGCGGACCAAATGATTGCATGAAGTCCCAGAAGGGAGCTTGATTATTGTTGTTGTTTTCCATTTTTGGATGATTGTTATTTAGATTTGTAATGATGAACTTGTTGTTTCTGGAGATGTTATGTCAAACTAGAGGACGTGCAGTCCATCCCTTATATACAAAGACATATCAAGGCTCCAGGACGGAGTACGTAACATACGACTTGCCACGGCGAATAGCTAACGCAGCCAAACTTGACTTATGACTTACAAAACAGTCAGGAATGTGTACGTAACCCAGTTTCGAACAGATCGGAATACGCTGGAAATCGTAGCCTAGCTGAGGCATCTGGGACATACGCAGCATGATTTCGGTGGCTGCCACGCGTCCTACGCACCAATTCAGACGGTCGAGGAAGTATGGAGCGTTATGATTGGCTCAATGGTCGAACCCTGATCCCTCTTTCAGATTGGCGTCCCATGGGGAGACGGGAGGCAAAAGACGTAGTTCGGGCGCGAAGAGGCAAGTTCGGAATCCGAACTATAGAGATAAGATAACTATATTGGATCATATGTTTAAGAGTCATCGTATGCCATGAATTAAAGCAGGCAGCTGGTGCATTCGTCGTTGTTCGCGACACGTGCCGCGTCAGATTGTCGCCTTCAGGCGGACTACTTTCGCAACCGACTCGAAGGGTCCGCGACCGAGCCGAGCCGAACAAAGAAAGACATTATATCATTCCAAAGCTTTTCTACAAAGTTATTGTGGCGTTCGTAAGGCTGAAATTCGACTACTTCTCCTATTCAGTATAGTAAAGGATGATAATATTATCAGCCTTGATAGTATGCTTCTACTCTTATTGTCTTATCATGTAATTGGTTCCATTAGGAGCAGTATAAATCACGATCGGTAAACTCATAGATAATATGTTTGTATATATAAATACAGTCAAGAATATTAGCGGCGAGAAGCAAAAACTTAGCTTAGCTGATAATATACCAAAATTCAACATGAAGTTGTAAACTATCCTTTTTATGAGATAGTTGGCGGGGCGCGGGAGTCCTCTTATTTTAAACGTGCTCCTGGATGGTTCCCACTTGACGGGAAGGATCGTCAATGTATGTACGATACAGCATGCATATCACAAGCATACAGGGGCACACCCAGCAAATGAAGCTAGATACCTAATTTCAAAGTTTGGTTCGATAGCCGCCTATGTACATTCTTTAGGCTCTCTATCTTATAAGCTACGGACCGTGTCACGGCTATGACGGGATCTTTCTCGTCAAGTGAAAATACCTATGACATTTGACAACGGGTATGTCCATCATGCCATCGGATGATCCCTGGTACACATTCTGAAAAGTGTTTAACAAACTTCACAACCGTGGGCTTAATAATTTGACTATGGTACGTCAAGATGAATATCATCTGCACGCAGTAGTGTAGTCTAAGTGAATCAAGAGGCAGGGTGCAGCTGACCCACCATCTCTATTTACATCTCATCCTATCATGGCTTTACTGAATACATAGATTCTTGCTCTGATATCTAAGCGAATTATATGAGCTAGCCCCTCCAATACAGTAGTTAGGTAGTTAGCGTGTAGAATAATGTCAAGGGAAACCGGCAAGCCAGGACTAATAAACCGGTAGACTTCTATTCTATGAGAGAGCCAGTATATGTTACGACCTACGACAGGTCTCATTGTTGCATGGGGCTGATTGGGCGCTTGGAAATACTATTCTGCTTCACCCAAATTCCCTATTTCTTAAGCGCCAACTTGTAAATCAACCAATCATCTGCCCTGTCTTCCAAGTTGCCAAGCTGGACGAGTCCACTGGACCGGACAAGGTGCTTCTTCCCCCCCCAAGAGGGGCACGCTCATATCCACACGGCCAGACAGTAGGTCGCATATCATAGACCTCTTCGTAGCCATCTTGTCGTTCCCGCGAATTCGTTTCACCCGTTCGTGTTTTGTGCTGCGCGTATATTGTACCGTATTCTTTCTATTCCCTTTGGTCGAAAGCCGTCAGCCTTCAGTGAGCTTCACGACAGAACCAAAACCAATCATCGCTACCCCACCTCGTCCAAGCCATCGTCTGGACGTCGTTTTACGTCCGGCTGTCGCAAAGCGCCTATAAATAACTTTTTATCGTCTTTTTTCCCCGTGCGTCATCCCGCGTATTCTGCCGGTACCTTTTTTTGCGCCTCGTTAGCTGGTTTGCGCTCCGAGTACGGGAGAATACGTGAAATAGGATGGATCGTCACGGAAGACCTGAAGAGGAGATGTTCCTCAATAAACCCGCTGAAGATTGCGACAGCCCTACCGTCGAGCCTCTGAGAATATTCAATCCCAAGAGTCCCAGGCCTAGTTCCGATAGATTCAAATATCCCGCCCCGGCATCTTCCCATCCTACCTTTCCCCTGCCGCCGGGCGCCTCGAGCTCTGCTGCGCCTCTGCCATACCCTGATGACGACGACCATCGATTTGGTCAACCTTCCCAGTCGAGTCGACCTCCATACCCTCCATATCCTGCCGACGACCGCCGGCCCTCTCTCAATAAGATCTACACGAGTCCTCCGGGCTCTTCATATTCGGATTCCTTCAACGACACCACTCCGCGATTAGAAACAAGTCCTACCGAAAAAAGACCCGGTCTTGCTGAACGACGGGGAACTGCTCCTAGACCTTTGCCAGCGTCGCTTAGTCCGGCCAGCCCTCCAGGAGAGGATACCGGTCTCTTTGCCAAACCTCTCGGCAACCAAGCGAAACCAACGAATATTACTACTACCACATCCTTCCCTAACTATCATCAAAAGCCCTACTACCCTCCGCCTAGGGCGAGCTCCGCGGCTTCGAGCTCAAGCTCGAACAGCAATGCGCGGCCCCAACCAACTGAAGACAATCACCTCAAGATGCCAGACAGCGGCGTAAACCGCTTTGCATCAACAGCTTCTACGTCAACCACAAGAGCAAGTCGAGGATCTCCACCCCCGCCGGAGACTCCTATCGTAGAACCAGGTAGTATCCCCGGAGGAGGCATCGAGGCGAGATATGCGGCTGCTGGGATATCGGGAACCGCCACTCTTAATAGTCTTCAGAGTTCGGCAGCGGCTCAACGGCTGGCGCAATACGGACAACATCCGGCTACGCAACAGCCACCCCGTCCTTGGACGCCGACGGAGGCTCCTGATCAACAGCCGCATGGACCCCCTACCGTATACCAGGGAGCAAATCCCGTTACAAGCCCTACTGCTCCGACGTTTAGCGCGCAGGCAACACGGCCAGCGAATACCACCAATACAGGCTCAAGCACAGCTTCGGCCACCGGCTCGGCTTCTGGCTCGGCCTCGAATGCAAGCGGTGGACCTGCGCTTCAGATCAGCGTGTTAGAACAGGACTTCCAGCGAATGCAGATGTCACCAAGTCCTCCTCCCGCATACTCCAGTATCAATCCAGGTGGTGGAAGCTCTTCGGCATACCCGAACGAGAAACAACGGCCAGCCCAGCCAAGTTCAAGCTCATCGACACCAGCCCAATCTACCCAAGCCACATCATCACCACCGCCCAAGAAGCAGGCAGAAGTAGCTGCTGCTGCTGCTGCTCTTGCGTCTCCGGCTCTACAACATCCCGGACACCCTGCTTTTGCGAACGATCCCAGACCGGAGCCCCAGCAAAACGGTCAACAAGTGCAGCAGACCGTTGTTACTCACACTCCCTCTCCGTTCCAAGGCCAAGGTCCTACTTCGCCGCCGCCGCTCCCAGAGGGTTGGATCGCGCATCTCGACCAGAACTCGGGCCAGTATTACTACATCCATCTAGCTTCGCAAGCTACTCAATGGGAGTTCCCGAAGGGTCCCAACCCTATCCACCACGAGGCACCACCTCTGTCTCCTACCGCATCCACATACGGCAATCCTCTCGGCTCGCCAATGTTCGGCAAGCAAAGCGCGATGGCATCACCTATGTTCCCGCCGCAGACACCCGGCTATGCCGAGAGCATCATGAGCGTCGCAACAGCCACGCCGACAGCAGCCGGCTTCACGGGACCGCCCCCCGGCGCCGGAGTAGACATGTACAAAGTCCAGCCGACGAACGGCGTCTACTTCGGCCCGTATCTTCGGTACACGAACATGGAGGTCGAGAAGGGGATCTGGCACGGAAGCGTCCTCATCGTCACGGACGCTCCCCAGCCGCCTACCATCCACATCCACCGCAGCGTCGACCTGTCCCCGAACCCGCGACAACTAGTGCCCCGTACCATCTTCACGCACCAGAGGTGGCAGTTCTTCAAATACGACGTCGACCTGCAGATGGGCGACGGCGCGACGGAAAGATGGACGTACGCCGTGACGTCGCACCTGGGCTGCACGCGGTACGAGTTCGTCGTGGCGGGCCGCGGCGAGACGAACTGGCGCTTCATAGCGCACTCGGGCAACGACTTCGCGGCGAGCACGTCGCAGGGCGAGCGCAGCAAGCTAGGCGGGCTGGGCTTCATGTGGAAGGACGTGCTGCAGAAGAACGTCGACTGCGGCGGCTTCCACGTCCAGCTCGGGCTCGGCGACCAGATCTACGGCGACAGGCTGTGGAAGGAAGTCCCCCTGCTGAAGCAGTGGCTGGCATTACCGGGACGCGACAACAGGAAGAACGCGGCGTGGACGGCGCGCCACGAGGAGGACGTGTCGCACGCGTACTTCCACTTCTACACGAGCCATTTCGACCAGCCGTTCTTGCGGGAGGCGTTTGCGCAGATCCCGCATATCTGCCAGATTGACGATCACGATATGTAAGTCTTTTGTTTGTTTTATTCATAGCACAGCACAGCGCAAGGAGTGAGATACAATACATATGAGGTGAAGTGTGTGTACTATGCTAACTCCCCTCGCCCCAGCTTCGACGGCTACGGCTCATACCCCGACTACATGCAGAACTCTCAGATGTTCAAGAACATCGGCCGGATAGCCGTCGACATGTACCTGCTCTTCCAGCACCACACCACGCTAGAAGTCCTCCGGAACGTAAGCCACGACATGGACCTGTTCACCGTCACGGGCCAGGGCTGGCATTTCATCAAGTACCTCGGCCCGGCCGTCGTCGTAGCCGGCGTGGACCTGCGGTCGGAGCGGACGCAGACCCGCGTGCTCGCCGGCCCGACGTACCAGGGCATATTCCCTAAGATCGCCATGCTGCCGCCTAGCGTCCAGCACTGCCTGTGGATGTTGTCGGTGCCTATCGTCTACCCGCGTCTAGACACGGTAGAGAGTCTGGCGAATACGTTTGCGACGGGCAAGAAGGCGGTTAACACGACGTACAATGTGCTAGGCAAGGTGACGAGCTCGGTGGCGGGTATTGTCGGCGGCAAGGAGATGGTCGCCCAGGGCTTCAGCCAGGTCAAGAAGGCCGTCGGCAAGTCTGGTCTTATGGGCAATGTGGTCAACCAGTTCGGCGACTTGGATATCGGCGAGATCTTGAAGGATATGTGGACTCACGATAGCAAGGACCTCGAGCGAACGTATTTGATCCGCACGCTGCAGGGGATATCGCATCAGAAGGGCTTGCGTATGACCTTCTTGTCAGGAGGTATGTCTATCTATCTATCTTAACCCCCTTTTCTTTCCTCTCCTTTTCCTTTCCATTATTCCCATTAATCCATTAAACCACACCCTCGCTAACCCACCCCCAGACGTCAACGCCGCCGGCGCCGGCCTAGTCCACGACCCAACCCACCCCAGCGACCACAAAACCATGTACCAAATCATAACCTCGCCCATCGTCGCCGCCCCCGCCGCGCAATACATCCTCAAAATGCTGCACAGCAACCGGACGCACTACGTCCCCGTCAACGGGCAGCGGTCCTCGCCCAACGAGCTCAGCGACACCAAGGAAGACATGATGGAGATCTTCCACACGGACGCCAGCGGCGCGCCCCGCGAGCTCAAGAAGCTCATGGGACGGCGCAATTACGTCGCCGTCGTGGCGTATGACCCGGATGCTGTCCCGGCTACCCCGTATGGGCCGAACCAGACGCAGTTGGCGAATGGAGGGGTTAGTCGGCTGAGTCTCGCGGTGGATTTCGTGGTTCAGGGTGATGGCGCGTTTACGGCGCCGACGAAGTATGGGCCGGTTATTGTGCCGCATTTGGAGTTTGGGAGGTAAGATTCGTATGTGGTGATATGAGATGAGATGAGATGAGATGAAGGGAGAGCTATTATATGTGCTATGCATTGAGTTGGATTACGATGACACGAGTGAGGAGATATGTGAGCGTGCTTAGAAGTCAAGAAAGCGGGAGCGAGCTAGCAAGCAAGCATGAATAATGTCACTGTATTGGGGAGGTTCTGCAGGCCGGGAACTTGCGGTCTGGTGCTTGACTTTTTGAATATATACCTGATTAAGTAGGTTACGGAGGTAGTCATGCCTGAATGAAATCAAAGTTAAGAAAACGGCGGGCTGTTGGCACTTTTGGTCTTTTCATAGGCGTGATTCTAGGTCGTAAGGTATTTTGATGAATTAGCCAACTAGGTGCTGGAGTATAAGTCTTAGTCCTCCTTATAATTAGAGGCATCTATTTTATTTTTTTATTGGGCGTATTTCAGGGGTCGGGTTTAAAGGTATATAGGTATATAGGTATTGGGGATTATATGTCCGTGAGTTGCCTACCTGGTAAGCACTCTCTACCTCTTGATTCTCTTTTTTGGTTTATTTCATTCATGTGCAAATGCAACATAGTCTAGCCAGATCTATCAGGCGACTCTTAGTCATCATCTTCACTCATCATCGTCGTAGGATTCCCTCCTCCCTAGCTCAAGCCTTAGATGCCTTAGATATCGAAGGTCTCCTTTATCTGCCTCAGGCAGTCCTCGGGGCCCTCGACGGAGTGACCAATGGTGCGGGGGTCGACGTAGATCTCGTAGTCATTGCCGCCCTTGCTGGTCTTGTCGCCGAAGAAGTGGATGTTGGTGTATTCGATGCCGCCGGGCTTCTTGGCCTCGTCCTCAAGGTGCTTCAAGCAGTACGTCTTGTCCCAACCCGTAGGGAAGACGTCGAAGGAGATTTGGCCACCGATCGAGAAGCTAGTTTAATTTGGCAAGTTAGCTTATGCTATTTGCTATTTCCTTCCCTTCCTTCACTTTATTCTATATTAACTCACGTTAGACCTAAGTGGCCAAACTTCTCCCTCATCTTGCCCACCATAGTCTCTCGGATCTTGTGCTTCTCGTCATATGCCTGGTACTCGTTGCGTTCCTGAGTGCTAGCGTTACGGCCGATAGGGGAGATGTTGACCATGCCGTTGCGGAACTCGATAAAAGTACCGCGCTTGATGGGGATGTCGAGGTCGGCAATGTAGTGTAGGGTCCAGTTGGCGAGCTCCTTGTAGTTGTCCTCGCCTAGCCACTTGATGAAGCTATTTGAGGGTAACTCGGCACCCATCTTGTAGGCTGTCAGACCATTCTCGCTAAAGCAGAAGTCGAACATGGTGGTGACAGGGCGGTCAGCAGCGCCTAACTGCTCTTGCTGCTTGGGAAAATTCGATCCACCCACGAATCCGATGGCGACCTTCTGTCGTAGTCGCTCGAGCGTGCGAAGAACCTCGGGCGAAGCAGCACGACGCGCCGGCGTCAGTGTCTCGTCTACATCGAAGAGGGCGATTGTGTTCTTGATCGGGCGGTCCTCTAGGGGAGGATAAGGGGGGGCACCGGCGTCCATATTGGAATTTTAGTTGGTTTTTTTTTTTCCTTTCCTTAGACACAATTGGAGAGTTGACGAAGTGAGGAAGACGAAGTTGAATCTTGAGTTTGGGACGCGTGTCTTTAATTTTGTAAAAAGTAGCGTCTTCGTCTGCGTTGACAGCTGCGCCTCTCGATGGTAAGTAATTAAATACCTAATGTACCTCTTGGACCCCTGAAATTGAGAAAATGGAGGGGGAGGGGTTGAGAGGTACATGTACTTGGTGTAGGTACTTTGCGTACGTAAACTCGTGTTAAAATGAAGGCGGTGGGCAGGGTCAGGGAATAAGGACAAGGGGGTAGATGCACCAATTGAAGTTCAATATGTCCCACATGCTCCACATCAGTTCGACTACTCGGTACCTTAGTACATGTGATATGTACCTTACCTTGTACCTCCCCAGGGACAACATTGAAGTACATCAGGGACGTACCGAAATAGGGGCTACACATATACACACATGATATCTTCATCAACTCTTATATATTTCATTAGTACTGCCACAATTTTTTCGGCCAATCAGATCTTTAGAATCGCCCCGCAGTTGGCGACTTTTTCCTTTGCCATTCTATCGCATATGGTTTAAAACACATGCAAATAAGATAAAAAGGTCATGCAAAACGCGTTCTATCCAACGATACCAATTATTTAAACTTTTATACAATAGTATAATAGGTCAATTGATTCTACGAAAAATTCATCGGACGTGCGCTGAGGTGTGGCTAGCCAATCAGAAAGGCCAGACTTATATGTGGCGTAAAAGGCACTCTTGAAGCTAGGCACTCCCTCCCCGTAAGCGCTTGCGCGAACGGGTAACGCAGCTAGTATTGTAACTATTCAATATCAACTCTAACAGATTCAAAGAAACTACCCTTTCAATAGACCTAGTGTATTTCGAATGTCTCAATTTCCAGCTCGCCTCTTTTGACCATCTCAGCAGGCTTTTCATCTAATAAGCCTACAACAAAGCATGCTCCCATGTGTACCAAAGGTGAACTTTCATTCTCTGATAAATCATCCTTCCTCAGGACAATTGGAGATGGAGCTCGATCAACGACGCAAACGGTATCTCCAGGTTTCAAGCCATTCGGTCCAACCCCTAATCTACCACCATAAGTTTGGAAAAGAAGCATGTCTGGGGTGATACCTCGATACCAAAAATTCCAATGCCCCTCATTGTCGTCTTCGTCTTTGCTGGTAACTTTTTCCAAATCTACTAGGCAATGTGCCATAAACTTCTCCAGTGGAATTACCGAAGGAAGTTCAAGTCGTCTTTTCGCATCTTTCATTTCAACCTCAGACAGAATGTTACTACCGGTAAGTAGAAAGATCATGAACTCCCAAGTATACACAGGCATGCGTGGGCCACAGAAGCAACGAAAATGAGAAACTTCATCATCATCCGGGGCGTCCCAACGTAAAGCTGCTAGGAGTTTCTCCAGTGGCCTATCAAGCCGGCACAACCAGGATCCTACTCCATACTCTCCACGTGCGGCCTCGTTGGGTACCATCCAATCGACCAGGTAGTCAACACAGAGCTGGTATATCATTTTATCGTGATCTTTGCAATATCCCGGGATGCGTTTAACGTGCTTTATAGAGTCTAAGGCTGCTCCCTGGATGCGGAGGGTTTCCTGATTAACTATCTCCGGCTCACGAAATTTGATCCCTTCCAACAGTTTGAACCCTTTCAACAACTTGGGACGGTAGGTTATGCTGATATACGCGCATGTTGCTTGGTTGGTGAAGTCCGGCAACCAGGAAGGAAGGTTATGCTCGTTCTCAATATTGTAAGCACGTCCAGAAAGTTGCAAGTAAGACCCCGCTAGCCTTGTTGCCTCATTGCCTACGACGTTGAGATAGACTTCTCTTACAGACTTGGTATAGTCTGGTACGATATCAGTATAACTTAGGTCAAGCACTGAGTACACCACTTGGGTAGCAAAAGTCAGCAGCTACTCCTTACAATGAAGAGTCTAAGGGGTTCAGAGACGTCTCGGGCGTAATTACTACCTTCTAACAAGCCAGGTTAGGAAGCTTTTGCTCCCGAGATACGTCCTGAAGGGAATGATTTTTGGCGTTACGTACTATCCCGGGGATCAGTAGCAAAGGTCCTGATCCCCGCTACCTGTACTTTGTCAAATAGACAAGTAGATCTGCTTAAGTCGGCATGCCCAGGTCCCTCCAGCAGATGTGCTAGGGAAAACAAAGGATCCCCCCTCACAATGCGGTCCACCAACTTATCTCTACCGTCGATTTCCATAAATGTCTCTATAGCTTCTAACTCAAATAGAGTATTGGCTATTAGATCTTGCACTGCCAGGTGCACTAGACGCCAGACCATACGGCTTCCTACCGTAAAGATGTCTAGCGCTAATTCAAACTCCGCCTTGAAAATGAATAGGATCCAGGCGTCGAATAGGGCAAGTTGCGTGAAATTGACAGAGTCGTGGCCACAAATAAACCAATGTATTATTGGTATCTTCGCCAAGGCCATCTCCCGGACGATCCATATTCGAGTCCAGTAGGTGCATTTTGATAATTTCATAAAAGGTCTCATTTTCTCAGGCTCCGAGAGCAGCCATTCAAGGCCCGCCCTTCTCGTAGCAGTTAAGCATCCGTCTTTATCTCTCTCCCATGCATCTTTATCCCATGACTGAGCGATAGATTCCATCTTAGATGGGAGTCCACGTATGAGCGGAAATACAGTATTAATGTGCCCAAGCTCTGGATCCTCAAGCCACGATAATACCGAGCTCGCGTTGCGGTAGATGGTCCCCATGAGCGTTACTTGGTGGCTACGTTCAGCGGTGTCTTCCTGGTTGATACAGAGAGCGTCTACCCAGAGAAACCGTATCTTTCCCGTTAGTTCATTATTTGGGAAGCCCCCTTTTCGGAAATACCACAACGCGCACGCGAGATTAGTGGTCACAGGAAGGATGTGCCCATTAATGAGAATATCTCGTGTGACTTTGGGATCGCCCCAGACGTAAGATAGAGCGGCATAGTGAAGATCCGGCGTCAATTCAGCGGTTCGGAGTAGGCAGTTCACCGGCTGGTCATCGTCATCAGAAGGTAGGATTTCGATCAATCTAGCCTGGTTGGGACCCAGAGGGGCGTAGATCCCAGCATTCGGGCTAGGAGGATTTGATGCTGAATTGGTAGCCATATTGTGCTAGCAAGAACAAACTAGGACTGTCCTAAAGAGAAAACTTAAACGACTTCATGGGACTGACTTTCAAGTAGTCTTTTTAATAGTCCTGCGGGGTCACTTCTGATCGAGCATGTTTAAAGGGGGCTATGTTGCATATAGCTTTGCTAAAACGGTATAAAATACGACATGAGATACATTGGAAGGTCAGCATATACTTAGGTAAACTAATATATGCTGTTGGTTTCCATCTTATGCGAGGTTGTTGGTTCGAATACAACCCAACAAGAAAATCAACCAATGAAAGGTAACCTAGCATACATGTATAATCAAAGTAAGTCAGCTCGGCAAAGCTAATTCAGCACTACCTATCATCATGAATAAGTTTATAACGTATGATGATGTGCCAGCCACCAGTACACAGCACTGAAAGAGCATACCTCGGTGAATCTAACAGAGCTTCGAGTAGTCTTCAAGCAGTACAATCCTAGACCTTCATGATTTTAGGCTACAATAACACATACTCCTCTATACATAGTATTACAGTTTCTTATCCGGCGAGTTATATATGTCTTATACAAACGACGCCCGGGATTACTATATGGTCTTCCTGCTAAAGCACGAATTAGATCCGGATAGGACTATTTCGTTTACCCCTTGCAGTAGAACATTCTAGCTATTCTGTCAACACACCACCGTATTCCCTAATTTTTAGATATCCCACTTTAGATAGTCTCTAGCATCGCATGGGGTTCACACCAAGTAAGCCGTGGGCATGTTGGTAGAAATTGGAAGATCAAAGTCGAAGAAAACCGGATTTTTAGAGTCCTGGTAGAAAGAATCCGGCGCTTATTGAGTAGCGTTACAGCGAGGCATTTAGGTAGGATTCTTTGGTAACATTTACCTCCGTTGGATAGAGATGGTGAACCAGTAGGTATTAGATAGAATCATAGCCTAAGTAAAATATAAGCGACTTAGCATTACTTTCAAATAAGATCAATAGTCTCGCTAATTGGATATACTATAGCATAAAAACGTAACAATTCCGTCCCGCCGTATTAATAAAGCTGACCCGAAACCTCTATGCCCGAACTTAAAGCCCCTTACGCTATGTCCTGCCAGACTCCTGTCACTTCGATAACCAAGTTCACCACTGTGCTGATCGACCAAAGTCCGATTAGACCCCAGCCAATCTTTCTACTCATAACCCATTTGTTCATCGGTACGATAATCAGCAACGCGAACAGGGTGAAAAGTAACGTTATGGTAGAGATCATCAACGTCCCGCTGACCTGGATATGGTACGGTTTATAGTGTATCGGCCTATCGGGGTGCTTTGCTTTCTTCTTATTTGCCGCATGTATTGTCTGGTACGCGCCTCCGAGTCCAATGCCGAGTAGGATGTTCAACAATGGACCGCCAAAACAGGCCGATCTATGAAATGTTAGCCAGATAAACCCTGTTTTTAGTTTAGGTATCGACATACAAAGCCATGACTGGGTACCCAAGCCGTGCGACAGTCACGTCTGCGACAAGATCCCCTACTGAGTTACCAACCGCGAAGATGGTAAGACCTAATATTGCTTCTGATATATCCAAGATAACACCGAATGCTTTCAGTACGCCAACCACCTCTCCAGCTATTGTGGATATCCAGGCGATTGCTATGCAGAAACCTAAGAAACAGAATAAGAAGTGGTATTTAGGCCGGCGATCAGGTGACGTAGTCATAAGTATAATCCCAAGTAGAACTAGGGAACAAGCAAGTGAAATCAATAGGGCTTTTATGAAAGTTGCGACGGGTTGGTCAAGATCCTCGATCGTATTCGCCCATACGACGAACACGCCGAATAATGGGCCGGTAAAAACTTGGAGAATTAATAGCCAACGATTCCATCCTTGTTCATCATCCCCTAGTGTTGAGCTATCTTGTAAGAGTTCAGGGGCAGGTTTTGTTATTTGCACATTTGACGGAGGGGGGTTTGGTGCCACCTGAATTTGGTCTGATCCCTGAGTATTATCCGGAGCAGTCACGGAGATAAGACTAGGTGAGTGGCTGCGACTAGAAGCTCTGGACCTCGCGCGTCGTCTATATCGTTGCCATTCCGTTTCGGGCTCAATAGAGCCGCCTGGCTCTGTGGATACTGGTACTGCTGTACTTTCCAGCTGACCTGCCGTTGGTTGTTCTACAATGCTTTCTTCCGAGTCATTGTCTGTTGCCTCAGTCTCTACCACAGGCAACGTGATGACCAGTAAGAATATGCTCGGTACAGATATGATGCTGACAAATTTATCCCAAATACTTTTACCCCTCCAGTCTTGAAGAGTTGGGAAGAGAGTGCTAACTATGACGTGTGGTGGGGGTAATATCCGGTAAGGCCACCACCTAATAGGCTTCGAATTTGCGTGTTCAACGAAGTTAAGAAAAGAAGGGCTTCGTTCTTCGGCAGCAGGTGGAAGTATTAGATGCGGAAGCTGCTGAGAAGACTCTGAAAGAACGAGTGGTGATTCCGTAAATGCTGGAAACGGCGATAATGATGGTGAGGACCTTTCGCTGCCATGCGGGCTTGGGATGCGAAGGCGATGCAACTGTGGGCGGAGATTCGGTGACAGATCCTCTGGGCCAGAATTATCTGCGTGGAGGCCACCGAATTGATCACTGGGTGGAGGGGCCAACTTCCCCCCTATGGTATGTGGGCTAGGGGCTCTACCTCTATCCTCTGACGATTTTCGAGGTGCAAGGTCAGCATCAAAAGTAGTTGGTAGGGCGCCGGACGACTGCGCTCGGTTCCTGGCCGCAAAAAAAACACCATCTATGTTTTGAATCGGTTGTGTGCTCTTGGCCCCTTGAACGACCACTTGTCCTGCCCGTAGAAGATCGGCAGAAGAACTTCGAGAGTGGTATAATGGCCGCATGCGAACGTTTCCTTCCTCCTGTAGCGATGATAATACTGACCTGAACTCAAGCGCACCAACTAAACTAGGCCGAATTGGAGTTATGGTCGTGGTATTGCTTCTCCTTCCGCGCGGGCGATTCACACGCATGCTGCTTGCCATCTCCGCAGCGACATGCTGGCTGCGATCAGCGTCGTCATCGTCGTCGGGTGCACCAACCTCGATCCTGGGCCCTCGTTCCAGCATATCAACATCGGTAATGTTGGACCCACTCCTTTCCGAGGAACGACGCTCTATGGGCCGTGCGTCTTCATCGTCCGGATCGTCCCTATAAGGTTCTAACTCGTCATTGCTACGTTCGCTTGCCGGTGCGTAGTAGTGACTGCGAGATAGAGCCTCCTTAACTCGTCGTGCTCGTCTCCTTTTGGAAACTGCGTGCCAGCCAACGACGACGATGACGTAGAAAATGTAGAAAGCAATCATGACACTGCATTCCCATAGATGCATGTTTCCATCGGCTAAGAATCCCATGGCAAAGCCGACAGCTGCTATAAAAAAACATATATCTCGCACGAATGTTTTTCTGCTGACTTTGAACTCGCGCACTAAGGCCATAGAGCCGGCCACGACGGATGTAATAAAGCCTGCGGCACCGATCAACTCTCCGACGGCCATGCTACCACTGTTGGAGCTCATGGCGGCGAAGGTGCTGAACACATCTGGAGAACCATTTCCAAAGGCCAAGAAAGTGACACCAGCAAGACTTTCACTTAGGCCAAGGATGGTGGCAATGGTGCTGAGATTAACGCTGAAAAAGTCGCTCGCAGCTATCCCGATGGTGGTGAACAACAGACCCAGCCAGAGGGCCAATACGATAAAGGCAAGAGGCTGCACATGTTCAAGGTCGCAATAATAGAAGGTTAAATACTCTATGAGACCTGCTTCGTCATCGTGACAATTGCGCCTTACAAAGGCACATTTATCTTCGGCGTAGTGGACTAGACGACAATCTTCGCCAGATCGTGGGGACAAACTTGGTCGCTGTTCTGACGATACTGCTGGTCCCCGGATAAACAGGCTACATGTGGCGATGAGAGTGAGGATAAACAGAGTGGTATAAAATGGACGGGAAGTGAATCCCCTCCTCCCACGCACAGCGGTGTACATGTTTAAGTTACCCCTGTTGGCTGTGTCGAACTGCCATTGCCGGAAAGGCGCATATATGCTTATCAGAAACGAATTGGTAATTGGCGAACTTGATAGGAGAATAGTTTGTTCTAAGGAAGTCGATTTTGATGTGAGAAAAGGGAGACTTAAGATGGAATGGGGGGGAAAAGGAAAAAAGGAAATATAGTAATTATTGTAGGAGCGACAATCGAGTATCGAATGTTGTCGAGGTAATGATGTGGTGAATATGTCTTTTCACTTAAGATAGAAGGCCAATGAATTACGCGATAGATAGGTACTCCAGTGGTACGTCGGGTATGTTCTTATTGACGTGGACGTCGAAACTACGTCTGACGATGACTTGTAACTTGGCTAATGCATCACTACCGTTCCCAAACCACCGGGTTTAAGGGGAGTAGCCTTGGTTGCCTCAAACGGAATGCGTTACACTGACGTCAAGTATGCTAAGTTGAATGGTAAGTGAACGTTGAATGGTAAGTGAACATGGGGTAAGTCGGTAGATATCCCAAGAAAAAAGGCAATTTGGAATGTTTAAACGGTTCGAATATGTACGATCTTATTTGAATTGGTTCTCTTGCATTGGGGGAAAGTCCCAGTTAGGTAGCGTCTACGTAGCTGCCAAGACAGTCGGAGCTTTCTTTTTTCGTTCTTTCTATGGACCTTTTCAGGTAGACTGTAGTTGCCCAGGTGCTTAATGGATGAATTAGCCACATGCCGCGTGTTCCACTATTCACCAGTAATGTGGCGCGGATTTACGATGCGGGATGGGTGGAAGGAACCTTTGGAAGGGTCCAGGTATCAGTAGCCCAACCTTACCTAAGCTGATCCAGCCCAATCCCAGCAGCCGCCCAGCTAAAGAGGTTAGCGCATTTCCGATTTGTTTACTTGAATGTTGCGCAAAAGTTGAATCAAAAGTTACCGGTCAACTCGGAAAACGCGAAAGAGACTTTTGCGTGCGACCTGCATCTCAACCCGACCAAACAATTCGCATGTAGCCCCCCGACTTTACATGTAATACAAAAACAACAAGCAAAGATGCCTCGAGTAGCTCATGTCCCCCGCCCCAGCGCAGGCAGTAGAACGACAACTGGTTCTTCCGGCTCGCCATTCAAATCCCCCCTAAAGTAAGTCGACTTAGTTGTTTACGCTGGTCGCTCAGCTGTCATGACCCCCCTAGCAACCAAAATCTCACGGCCGAATTTTAGAATCCCTCTTAACGACGACGTCCAAGAGAAGAGGGGACGACTACACTCGCGAAGAGCCCTCTACGAAAAACAGATTAACGAACTGCAGGCGGCTGCGGCTACGCCTGCGAAGAAAGTCGGTCACAGGCTGGCTGACGGTGAAAATGGTTCTCCCCGCTCAAATCCCCATACGCCGCGACGCGTTATGGATGACGACGATGATGTCTATGTAGCCGGTACCAATAGTGGCGTGACGCCCATGAAGCGTGTGCCCATTCTGGCCAACTTTGAAGAATGGATGAAGATGGCCACCGATAACAAAATTAACGCTACAAACTCTTGGAACTTCGCCCTCATCGATTACTTCCATGATATGTCCCTGCTGAAAGACGGAGACGGTGTTAACTTTCAAAGAGCAAGTTGCACCTTAGATGGTTGCGTCAAAATTTATACCAGCAGAGTCGACAGCGTAGCCACAGAGACGGGCAAGCTACTAAGCGGTTTAGCCGATAGCAATTCCAAGAAAAAGGATAGGGAAGGTGATGGCGAGGGCGAGGACAGCGAAGAAGAAGTAGACGAGGATGGCAATGTGGTTAAGAAGAAGTCAAAGAAGCGGGTAAGCTTCACATCTCAATATGCAGCACGAAAATATTCTAATACTTTCGCAGCAACGGTCTTCTGAAGCGACTCTTGCACCATCCTTCGCTTCACTGCAGCTGAAGAAATTCGAATTGGAATTCGCGGTAGATCCATTATTCAAGAAAGCTTCAGCGGATTTTGACGAAGGTGGTGCTAAAGGTCTCCTATTGAACCATCTCATGATCGACGGCAAGGGTCGTATCGTATTCGACAGTAGCGACGACGCCAATGACGCTTCTGCAGACGGTATTAAACCTCGAAGGAGAGAAGATGTCAACGCCGAAGACGAAGAAGCGGAAGAAGAGCAAGAAGCTACTATCACAGAACAGCAACCAGCTCAAGAAGAGGAAGATGTAGAAATCGATATTGGCGCCCTCGCCGCCAAGTTCTTTCCCGACCTCACCAGATTAGATGAGCAAGATATATGCCCGTCACTAAAAACCTTTGAGCTTGGTAACCCATCAGGTTCTCTGGACATCCCATTCCTACGCGCTCTAGAAGATGATGAGGATGAGGATGAAAGCGGAAGTGGCGGTGTCGGCAACAAGTCTGGGATGTTTATTGACGATGATAACCTCGCCGGTTTTGACGATATGACAGCCATGGGTGGTTTCGATGTCGCATTCGGCGAGGGTGGCGAAGCCTGGGCACGAGAAGCTGCGCTGGAACCCCAGATGCGACCTTACAAAGTTGGAACCGACGACGGAATGGTTGGGGGTGACGGTGGGGATGGTATCGACGGTATCGACGAGGAGAATGGTGACTACGTTGTGTCCATGAACCATGCTAAGAGCGCCGATAAGATGCACGAAGATATCCTAGGTTACTTCGACCAAGCTCTCCAGAAGAATTGGGCTGGCCCGGAGCACTGGAGGATACGGAAGATCAAGGATGCAAATAAGCCCGAGACGAGCACCCGCCAGCGAAAGGAGAAGGAACCTTTCGAGATAGACTTCGCGTCCTCCTTGGATCAGAAACTGGCCGAAACCATCTTTACCCAGGCGGCAAGTAACTCTGCCATCTCCTTACCCAAGAAGGATTGGAAGTCCAAGACTCGTAATCTACTCCCCGACGACAAGCACTTCAACTCAACGCAGCTTCTTAATCTGTTCCTCAAACCCAAGGCTCGCCTGAGTCGTCGTAGCCGCTTTGGCAACAAGACGGCTTTGTTCGGAAACACCAACCAGCAGGATAAGAACGTCATCCCAGGTGATATGGACGAGGCCTTCTGGGCGCAGAGGGAACCGATGCAGAATGCCGACCAGGATACGGTCCTTCCTACGGGTGACTACGACGCCAACTTCTTCGATGACGAGATGCCGCTACCCGGTGGTGGCATGCTAGACGATGATGACGACGAGTTTGCCGATGCTAGGGATCACTTCTCGCCGGGTGCCGACGTCCCCGCTACGCAGGACATCGGCATTACCGGTATGCTCGATAACGGCATGACGACCGGCGGGTTCGGAACGCAGTTAGTCACATCCACGCGTCGGTTAAGACCGGAATACGTGCAATATGCTCGCGTAGCAAAGAAGGTAGACGTACGCCGGTTGAAGGAGGAACTTTGGAAGGGCTTGGGATTGCTAGATGTAGAGGAGGTAAGTCATCAGAATGAAATTTGCTCCTTGAATCAAGTTTCCATAAATTGGTATCGGACTAATCTAACCCACTACTACAGGAAAGTAACAACACCGGACTTCCTACCCCGGCAAAGGACCCCGAGAAGATCAAAAAGGGAGAGGGAGAGACACTTAAGTTTACAGACGTCATGAACGACCTACAGTCCGTATATCCCAGGTCGGTCATGGACGACATCTCAACCAGTTTCTGCTTTATCTGCCTTCTGCATCTAGCCAACGAAAAGGGTCTCGTGATCGAAAACACACCCGAGCTTCTAGAGCTCGAGATCAAGAGGGATTGGTCCGCAGAAGTGACTGGCGAGGCCTGATAAGTGCGTGTCGTATATGCATTCGCTATCGAACTTTTGGAATAGGAGGAAAGGAAGGAGAAAAGAAGAAAGGAAAAAATTTACCTGCCTAACGTACGCACACGATGTGACGACTCGGGCGGGCTATAGGGCGGAACGGACATGTCAATAAGTAAAGCAGGCAAGCGATCGTTTTGTGATGGAATTGGCATGGAGGTAGTCATGACGGCAAAGCGGCTCGTGGTCGGCGCACCACTTACTTTATTACTGAGTTACGTACGAGATGATGAATGAGTAGTATTAAGTACATATTCTGCACGTCTGCATGGAGCGTAGCCACGTATCTACCCCTAATGCAAGTACTTTCGTCGTTCGATTCTAGACAGCTTCTATGTGCCTTTTAAAATTGTTCATATCAAAGTGTGCAAATGTTTCGTATAATACTATAACCCTGCGAATCATTATAACTAGCACAGTAAGAGTATAAGAATTTTGACAAATGCTCTCTACCTTTAGGTATTCAAATCAGGTAAAAAAATATAAACTATGTGACTTGGTATATTTGTCGTATCATACACGGTACGGTACATTACTCGTTTAAATCAGATTAGCTAACACTTTTATACAATTATATGTTCTGCTGGCACTTGAGGACATACTACATTACATATTATATCACCATCACTAATCATGTTGGACTATTTTGATAAGCAATAATATGTCTCGTTCCTGTTCCCTTGCTGTGTATCCCCACAACGAAAGGATTACGGCCATCCTCTAGCTCAAATCGACTAAGCGAAATAGTTATACGAAGACAACCGCAGAACGTACACAAAGCAACCGATAGCAGCTTCCCAGATCTCAGTTTATCCATCGGCCGTTGAACATTTCGCCCACGGCGAGAAATATAAACATAGTAAGGTATAAGATGAAACAAGACCGAGACACCTCAACGCCCGAATTTTTGTCATTTCTCTTTCGTAAGAGTGCCACCTAATAGCAGTTTCCTAAAGGAAAAAGGAAAAGAAAACTCCTATATGTAAAGTCTTATAGCGACGGTAGTAAATACTAGTAGTCACATCTTATCATGTAACTCATATAAAACGTGAAAATCTTCCTTTCGAAACCGGCTGCCTCGAGATTTTCACAGGGATAGAAAATGGGTATTCAACCAATTAACTTTGCAGTCTCGCAGTTGCCGCTCGTTGGAACCTCTCGTTGGAACCTCTAAGGATATGAAGAGGGAAAATAGCAAATCCTGGAGAATCCGAGTAGCGACTGTTGATGGTCGCCATTAAGTACCATGTCGTATTGCAATTTCCGAACGCTCGTTTCCATCCAGGTAATTCCAGTCATAAATAACCAAATATCGTAAATACCATACTCCGTCAATCCCCAGTATGCAAATATGTTTAGTGTAGATGTCTACACGAGGGAAAATATGATAGGGCAACAGATCGCGCCCGTTTTTCTCCCCTTTTACCGTCGATCGACGATCTCCCGTGCTTTGAGTAAGGCACTAATACCGTCAAGACTAGACTCACTTAGGCTACCCAACTTCGAAGTAGCAGTTAACTTTGGTTCGACCGGCATACCAAAAACGGTATCCTTCTGAAAGCCCAGTGTTGAATACTTTGGTGTAGTATGGCCTGCAAAATATCCTAGATAGTGTTAGTTATCAAGTTCAACCTTCCAAGATCCACTAGCGTACCTTTATCATGAGCCTCAGTGCCATTACTGCTTGATTGGTCGCCTGGTGGACGACCAGATTGTGATTGAATTATTGGTAGCTGGGATTGTGGGGCCGGTGGAGGTGGACATGAAGGATAGGCCGGCTCTGGCTTGGATAGTAGAGCATGTATCGGCAGTGATGCATCGCTAGGAGTTCTCGGGATATTGTAGGAACTAAGCGAGCTTATACTACCTGTTGAGGACTGTTCGGTTTTCAAAGATGGCGGTCGCGACATCGAACTTGATCCGGATCCGGATGATCTCGAAACACGGCCGGATATATTGTTTAGACCATGGCTTGAGGCGGAGCCAGGTAAAACATTATCGGGGGAGTGTACCAAGGTTCCTTGAATGCCTCTCGGGTCGAACCAAGAAATCGGCGCACCGGATGATTCTCCATAAATCCGTTGGCTGTCAGCCCATCCGGATCGACGGCTTGAATGGTGAGAAGAGTGGTCACGGGAAGTGGGACTCGATAATCCACGCGACCGCCCGCTACTCGGTTCATCAAACGAGAGTGTCCTAGGAGAATGTAACTCGTCCCCGTGGTGTATGCTGTTCATGCCAGGAGAGAAACTACTACTATCGACAGTCGATGTTGACGAACCTAGCCGTTGTTGGCGTGTAGGAGGAGGCTCGCTGCCGGGTTGGCTGTCGGAGCCACTGACTGTTCCACTGGTCGTGCCACTTGCCCCGGCCGAACCACCGCTGGTACTACTACCGCGAATACTATCAGAATCTAACTTCAGACGTTTGGAAACATCCCTTTCTTTTCAATTCATTAGCACAATTTTCTCAAACGATATCATTGAATGTGTTGAAATTACCTTGCAATTGGGTCGCTTGTCTTTTACGGAATTCGTGCAAGTAGTCGTAGTACTTTCTATACTCGCTTGTTTTTTTATACTCTGCTAGCTCACGGTTGTATCTCTCCTTGGCCTCGTGTGCCTGTCTTTCAAACGGCTCTTTTTCGTCGCGGGTCAGATTTTGCCAATTCTCACCGACTAATTTAGCGATCTCCGTGAAGGTCAAGTTTTGGCCCTTTAGATCTTCTCGCATTTCTGTAGTTTGTCAGCAAATGGTTCTAATGGCGGGCACCAATAGAAATAAAACCTACTATTCGAAAATAATACATACGCCGATGGGGAGCGCTCCGGTGCATTTTCATCTGGCTATTACAATGTCAGACCTGCGTCACATACCAATACGGGACGAAATAAATATTGCAGTTGCCCAACCGCAGAAACAAAGTATCGGATGATAAAGAATAGCACGAACCTTGGGATGTCGTCTGTATTTGCGCTTCGCGACGGCTGCCCCGTCTGGTTTTTCAGACTTGATAGATTCCGTCCGGTTCGAGTCGACCCTGGCATCTTCAATACTCGTGCATGTAGGCGACACTAAGGATGTTTCGGGCGCAACACCACGATAATTCGCTATACGACGCTGGAGTTTCTTTAGGGTGGTTAGCACACGGTATCTGGTAGATATTTATCTGAGTAGGCGCCTTACTCTTCGATGGCCGAGCTTAACGCCAAGTGCGTCTCTAAATGCAACCATCGTCAGTGATTGACCGAAACAGGTCAGAGCACGGGACTTACAGGTCAGACTCGGTGATATCGAGAATGGTATCCCAAGAATCGAAGCCTTGGTCGATGAAGGCATCGAGATACTGAGTAATGCCTAGCTCGCCGAAAATCACTTCGAGGGAATTCATATAGCTGATTTTGGCCGCGTCTCTGCGGATCAATCGCTGAAAGCTTCAATTCAACATCGGGCTTCCCGATTACCCGGTGCGTGATGATTACGACGGTGCAGCTCGCAGGTCCTATTATAGTTCGTCGAGTAGACTTCGGAAGAATTCGGCGGTTTTTTTGTTTTTTTTTGTTAACGGTTGGAAGTATTTGAAGTCGACTCAACCTCTTCCACGACACCTCAATATTTCACAAAGTGAGTTGCACTTCCTCACCGAGATAACTGGTCTAATAACCACCCTACTGGGACAGCGTCGAGATTGCTTGTTCTTCCAGGGGTAGGCCGCAATAAGCAAGCAGCAAGCAGTTAAAGGCTGTCGAAGCTACGTAAAGATGGGGACGCGTCGTGGGTTCGATGCGAAAGTCCAGGTGTGTGGGGCGTGGGGTCTAGAATTACGAGAGGAGTGAAATGCCGAGCTACCTAGTTAATGAGAAGCTCTCTGCTAGAGTGCTAGAGTGCTAGAGGAGAGAGGGTATGTGTGTGAGAGCGAGAGAGAGAGTGTGTGAGACAAGAGGATATGGATACGGGTTAGAATGCACATGTGCTGGTGTATGGTGTGTATGGTGCGGGTAGCGGGTAGCGGGTTGCGAATAATCGGTTATGCTGTTTAATGTTGTGTGGCATTAAGGGATCGATGATCGGATTTGTCTGTTTGCCCCGTAATGGTCAATGGCAATGTTTAGGGGAAATGTGGAAGATTAGCATTCTGGATCCTGGGCTGTTGTGATGATATACGATCCCTCTGCATTTTCTAGATCTCGATGAGTAGCGCAATCGAGGGGAATCGATGGGAATCGAACAACTTTTGACGTGTGACAGCAAAAGGGAGAGTCAGAAAATAAACGGCTGCGGCAAAGGACCCAAGGACCCAAAAAGAACCAAGGACCCAGAAAAGCTAGTGTGCACCGCTGAAGGGGAAAAAATAGAAACTCACCTACAGGACTAGTTTCCCGTCCGTTTCTTTCTGATGACCAGCGGGCAGCGGGCAGCGGGCAGCGGGCTGGCGGGAGAGTCCTGAAAACATGCAAGCTCGAAAAATGGCCTGATGGTCAATAAAATAATAAGTCGACCGGCCGACCATACACGGTACCTGGCTATATGTATCTATCGAGGTATGCAGTCACGCTCTACAGCTCCTTCCCCCCCCCCCCCGGACCTGGGCGAGACTGTTAGACTGTTAGACTGTTCAGGCTCGTTCAGGAACGTGACTATTTCCTAGAAGATCACAACCTGTCTTGTCCCAAAGACCCATAAATGAAATGCAATGTTTACTATGTAGAATCGAGCTCATGCAGCCTAGTCAGGGCTATCAGGGCTAACAGGGTTAACAGGGTTAAAAGCTTAGTAGCTCGGTGGGTGCGTTTGCCAACTCAAAAAGGGATACCCGTCTCTTCGGGAGTCGAACTTTTCGATCTTCGCGAAAAAAAGAGCTTTGTGTGCGAAAAACAGAGAAGAAGCACCGGTGGCCTTACACCCCCCAAGCCCGTAGATGGTCATGGGGAATGGAGCAACGAATGTCACGACAAGAGGGCCGAGGGAATAAAAGACGACAGGTTACAAAGTTAAGAGGAGATCGAGATCGCTGGCCAGAACTTCGGACGAATCAGTGGGCTGCTTTACCTCGTGTCTCCCTGCTAGGATGTTCTGGATGCGTGTGTCTGTCCCCGAGTCGCCGCCATCCTCCCTCGCGACGTATCTTTTGACGTCGTGTCGATGTAGCGCCATGAGAGCCGCTTGATCTCTCCTTTGACGAGTCACAGTCTGATGTCTGTCTGCTCATATATCTTGTCATATCCTATGTACCATTAAGGAAGGCGCCAAAGTTCCTAAACGGGACTGGTCTCTGTTACAGTTATCTAAAGGTTCGGTGGTGACGAAGCTGACGAAGCAGCGAAGACACTCTTGTCAGGTACGTCAGGTACTCTCATCCATCTAGACTTGAACCGAAGTAGGTATCGGGGTGTCGGACCACTAGCCAGTGTTGAGAGAGAAACGGAAGCCAAGAGGGCTGCCGACAGCCTACCAATGAGATGAGAGTATATGGGAAGAGCGCAGGGTGCCGCAATCGATTTTTCAGCCCGGGATCGAAAGTCTTGGCATATCTTGAGCTAACGAACCCCAGACTCCTAGAGTTCATCAGTCGGGTGTTTTTTTTGGTTTTTTTTTTCCTATTACTGCAATGGGCAATCAATCACTTTTAATGCTATGTATCGGCGATTGCATTGCCCTGCCCCCTCTCGCACTCCACTGGAAGAGCTACCTAAATACGTAGGAAGAAGGTCATCTTGGTCCCGGCATTGTGGTATTCAAAGCGACGATCAAGATGGTAGGGTATATTAAAGGTCGTGAGGTAACATCGGTTGCCAAAGGCCAGGTTCGAGATTCGATTCCAAGCATAAAAAACTTAACATTAAGGGAGAATGCCCATGATAAGATATCATGACGGTCGTCATTGTGCGACAAGATCGAGATTGGGAGGCTTTCACAGTTGAGACAGTACTGTCGGTGGTTTTGGTGGTTTGTGATGGGTTGGCGAACGGGCGAACGATGCGAGTTGCATAAGTTGTAGGAAATCCCTCCACCAATAAACTACGGCTATTGATTGATCCTACCTAAAGCAAATATGGGGAATCACCTGATTCTTAATACAGATTAGTCTTATGCAATAAGGCTAGTGTATGAGTATGTTCAAGGGCATATAATACTAGCTAGAGCAACTATAATACATACTAGTCTTCTCTTTTGCCGCATAATGCCGTGGGCAACTGCGTGCATGTGGGGCTAAGGTACCTAGGTAGGTACCTAGGTATTCTCGTACTCGGCAGTGTCACCATTTCCCATATTTTCCCATCGGAGTGGATGGAATTCTTTTTAGCTTTTCTAACTTCTTCATCCCGATTCCCAGCTGATTGACGTACCTCAAGCGCTTGAATCCTCCGACCGGCCATCTGCATCCAACGGACCTAACGGCAGCTAGAACATCAATCAAAAATAGTAGTACAGTTACAACTTACGGTAGGTATGTACATAAACACGTGGGCCTGCAAGGCTACAGTAGCTTACTATGTAGCTACGTGGACGTGAGACCCTCGTTTCTTTGACATCATCAATCCCTGAATACGGGGGGTTTTTATGGTTTTTTTGCTGCATACGAAATGCAAAATAAAAAGAACACTATGGCTAATAGCGGCTCGTACGCTAGAATATTGAGCATCGGTTTAAAATGCCGAGATCTAGGGATCTAGACCACGAAAAGGAAAGACAATCTTGACAATATTCGTTCTGACGTCGGGGTTATCTTCCAGCTGGAGAGAAGATCTGCATTTGAGGCCAACGTTTGACTGTCGATCTTTTGTGAAATAAGACCATGTTTGCATTATTTATTGTACCCGAAGTCGCATGCATCTTCTTTTCATATGTATACTACCTACATACTATGTATTACCTACATATTCTAGTAGGTATACATCCTGACATTTAAGCATCATCAAGCATCAAGCATCATAAACCCTGGATTTTCTCACGTGGGGAGGCTGACAATTCGTCCACCTACATCAAGAAACCATTCGGATCGATCCGTCGTCTATCTAATCTTTATTCAACATTCACTCAACATCTCCACCTCTTCTGTCACTTTGTTCAGTGTGTTTACATACTGTCCCAAACCAGACAGAGATAATTCTCGAGTGGCAAACCGAAAAAGCTTTCAACCGTTTTCCCCTAAGAGTAGCCAATCAATCACCTGTTCTTTCTCCAAGATCCACCCTTGAATCTTGGAACCGGGTATCACATCCGATCTTCACTATTTTAACGGTACCTACTCTATTACTTTACGAGATAAAGCTGGTAGAATAGCTTCGCCATGTCCAAATCACCATCGGACAACAAGGATACCTCCAGATCCAAGGACCAAGAGCCTAGCGGGGGTTCGGCGAATGCATCCGCCTCAGCTGCTTCGACTCAAGCCGAGATGGTTAAGGTAAGTCGGCGGCACCCATCAAGAACATCGCTAAGCATCAGGCAATTCCTGGTCTAACAAAAATTTGTCGGGTTTAGGCATTCCAGGACCTCGCTAGGTACGTAACGCTTACTATCACAGCCTTACATACTGGTAATTCAAGACTGCTTCTTGGGGAGATCGACGGTCGATCTCGTCCAAGTCAGCTGGTCGTATGTTCCCGAACTTGAGGTTCGGAAGAATATAGCTACATGGAAATGCCCAAATTCGCCTCGGATGTCCCATCATTTGCCATGGCAATCGCTTCTAGAACCCCTAGTTTACCCATCCTTTCGTCATGCTAAATTCCCTTCGTGCATACGCGTTGGTATGATACGCACGACTATTCCCCATCGCGCGGCCCCCCCCTTGTCTTTCTCCCCCGATGTTCTAGATCCCCGCCTGGTAGCTACAACGAATCCAAACCAGCCAGAGCCACTCACCCACTTTACACATCCGAATTCCCACCCGGGTGTAATCCCTTACACGGGAAACCAAATTTATTCATGATTGCCCTGCTCAGCCTACTGCCTATCAACACCGCTTTCACCGTGGAAGTCCCCGGTTGATTGAACAAGTGGCTAGCTGCTTTGCTTGCACCTCCTCTTGCTCGTATCTAGGCGCGGCTAGCTTAGCAACTGGCTCCACGTCGGATGTCTAGTAAAGTTGCTTAGGTTGCCGGCCTTTTCTCGTTACAACACCATTGCCGATGTATCCCAAAAGTCGCACAGGCTCTTCAGTTTCTGCGTGGCATGTCCTTGTCCATAGCGTGTCAACATCTGATGACTAGCTCTTACAAGATTCTGGCTTGCTAAACGGGACGGTCTGCCTCAAAAATCAAACCCGTCGAAAGACTAGACTGCTTTTTAGTTATACATTAAGAAGGACCATGTCGGGAGTTCGCATATTACTTCTCAGTTTCTCTACTGAGGATGCAGTGCTAACGTATGCTTAAACAGGGGCGAACAACAAGCCGCGGCTCTAGAAGCAAGTTTGACAAGCTTGGAGAGCAAACTCGATGCCTTATTAGCATCTATTGAAGGTGGGCCTGCCTCGTCTGATGCAAGTAAGATGAAAGAGAACTCTGAAGAGCAGGGCCCTAATGCAGAAAAATAACATGTTGCTTTCCTCCTCGTCTATCGGGCCACGTCGTGTTTAATCTAGCGGGGGCTTCCGCTGTGGTACAGGCGTCTGTTGTGTATAACGGGTTAGAGGAGTACATATCGAGCGAGGTTATCTTCAGTCATCGATCGCCTAAGATCGCCTAAATTCGCCACCGTATCCATACTTACATACACCTACATATATATGTATGTATAATCCCCACATGCAGTTCCAAATAGATTATTCCAGGAGATCAGGGGAAGCTCTCTTGGAAGCTTTCCCCGCAGAGGCGCTGGTGGTACAGATCCAGACCAACCTGGTGTACATACATGCGTACATAGCATAGAATGAAATAGATTAGAGCATTTATTGCATTAGTGGAAGCATCTAGGTTAGGTTATGAATCCTACTGTGACAAACACGATGTCACCATTTGAAAGGCGGAATACTGCGGGCCGCAAGAGTGGTCTAACAGGAGCGGTAGCTAGACATGTACTTTTCTTCGTAGATAAAATAAGAACGATTTTTGAGGTTCAGGGTAATAAGTAACGTAGAATATAACAAAACGTGGTCTCGCTACATAATAAGCAACGTCAACAACTAGGTTTAGAAATACCTAGGAAGCAATTTTAAACGAAATTTGAACATCTGACGTTGCTTGGTATGAAGGAGTGATGTCGTTCAGGGGTGCTTCGACCAGGCCTCTTCTACATACCTATCATCATTCAACGATCCATCTACACACGCGGGTCGCGTCTACGTATGTAAATCGCAAACCATCGACCACGCAGCCCGGTGTGAGACTCGATCGACAGGCCCAAGCCCATATCGGAAAAATCATAGATAGATGTGATGCTTTTTTCGGCTGACCGAGACAGCGTTGGGCTGATTTGTCCATGATTGGTAAAGAACCCACACCTAGGACCTGTGCTCGGGATCGAAAAGAGAGAAAAATCCACGGAAGTGGTCCCATAATCGCACGACTAGCCATATCGTAAATATGTACTAGAATCGAATAGGAGGAGTCAACCAACAGAGCCTTCTCTACGGCTCTCCGCTCGGCTACGATGGGAAATTTGCTACCTCCTCCAACGAGCCCGGCTGTTTTCCTCTGGCTCGTTTAGTGTATTCTAGACGCGTCCGTAGGAAGCGGTGCTCTGGACAAAAGGAGCCATGTCTGCCCACTTGAACCTGCGTGGAGACGTACGACTCAGACTCGTGATGGTCTGCATATGTATAGATCCCGGTGTCGGTTATTGACGTCACGGGGAGAGACAACGAAGTACTACGTCACGGAATACATACTGCCATAATTGGTCGATTTGGTCCCCAAGACCTGTAGCGCGTTTAAAATATCTCTGTCATGCTCACCGTGCCTTGTCAGCTCGAGATGTAGATAGTACCAATATTGGTTGGGCTGGTTGGAGACTCGGAGACTACAGGGTAAAAGGGAAGAAATTATTCCCGTGGAGCGGGAGCTATGCGGTCTACAAAGGAAGAATTGGAAGAAGGATATAACGCGTCCCTGTTCGGAGGGTTCGGATTGTACGTTGCAAACTACTAACTTAATACAAGGCCCGAGCAATTTTGAGCACCAAAGAATAAGTTTATAAGACAGTTGTTTTGTACAGCACGCCTCAAAGAGGAATAATTAGCAGTTGGAATGATTGTTATAAAAAAGAAATACGATAAAATGAATAAAATACCGTAGGGAGGAGTCAGGAGATGAGTGTATTCCGAAGCCTCAAAACTACGACCCCGGTATAGTCACAATCTAAACACCGTCAAGGCAGGAAGGCTATATCTTCAATCCACTATTTTATCTCCTTGCCATACAAACGAGAAAGAAAAAACTACCTCAACTCGTAAATGTAATTATATTATAACATCAGTCTCGTTGCTAAACCGCTAGCTTATAGATGCTGCCGCCACCACAGCCGTCACCACCACAAGTAAGCTAAAATACCTGTTTTCCAAGTAATGATATTTTCATATTCGTAAGTCCAAGCCCAAGCCCAAGCCCAAGCCCAAGCCACACGACTTCACAAATCAGTCAACTTATATATATACAATGACCAACTCCATTCGCCGCTGGGACAATATACAAGGTGACGGGAACCCTCTGGACTGAAAAAGAAAAGGGGGGCCAAGAGCCACGACGTTGCAACCCTATCGTCTGCACGTAAGACACCTCGAAATACGACCTCCCAAACTACTACACATATACACTTATAATAACGTGGATTGAATTGTTCAATAGCCATCATTCATATAGCTTTAGGTACACATGCATGACAGTTAGGCTCCTCTTTCCTATTCATTCATTGTACCTCTGTCTTTATATACAACCCTGCCTTTAAGTTTCGAGACCAGATAAATATTAAGCGTTGCAACACGTTTGGAATAGTCAACTACATTACCTATAAAGATCGGTTACCAAGGAGTCAATATCGACAAGTCCCATCTGTGTACGGAATATGTTGCACTGCCCCATATGTGGCCTGTGCACCTACAAAAGCTGTAAGCCTATGTACATAGGCAGATTAGACCCATACTAGCTTGGCACTTTCTAGATAGCTTCAATCACCAAGTCTTTCCCTTTTCATCATCATCTTGCCGCTTGCAGGCAACAGAATATAAATACGATGAATATATTTCTTATTCAGCAGCGAGTATCTTAGGTAGGTAAAAACGCACTACAAGTTCGTATAGCAAGTACACATACCTCTGACGACAACTTAATTACTACGCAAATCTAACTTGGATTCAACGTAGGTAACTATAAGGATTTATGAGTGATTATACATCCACGCCAACGAGAGAAATGCTAGGCGAAATCACTATCGTTTCACATAACTTTACACGTATTTGGAAGAGATGAAGAATCCTGGGCTCACTCATTTCTTATCCGTTAACGGATGACCCATCCCATTTGCGGACCAAGAGGCTAATCCTCCCTCTTTTTCAACACGGACAAGCAATCAACGAACATAGGAAGTGCCAACTGAATTCCATGATACTGGGACCCGACAACGTTTACTTCCGAATATGATATAAGCCATCTGCCAAGACTTCGACAATAGGAATCTAGCATGCCGCTACTTGTCCCATAAGCTTCATATTCCCCAAGGAGGCGAATCCCTCTCTTCGGCGGTCCGATATAGCCAAACGACTATATCAAGGACCTTCCCCATGACTAATATATTCGCAAACGACGCATGATTGATGTTCAAACATGAAGCCAAAATAACGCCCAATGAAACACCGACAATTGCAATAGTTCCTCCCCAAAAGCGGCACATCCTATTCACCCCCTCGTGCGTCGTTATAAAAAAAAAAGCATAGACCCAAGAACGGACAACAACAGCAGCCGGGTTTTACACCACTCGTAATCAAGCTTGTGGTAACGAGAGTACAAGAAACTTAGGTGGTGATGCCTGGAACTGATGGCATTCTCATAGGCCATGGGTATCGTGAGAATGATCAAGATTAATTCTTGATTGAAACACGGACTCTGGATGTATGAATAGACACATCACTCGGAGCGAGTAGTGTTCTTCACGCCTGACAGGCATTGGAAACTGATCAGCTACTATGAGCTCTTATCAGGAGCTGAACGGGACGACCGCATGTTAGTCATTTTGAACGCAAGGTTCAGAGAGGGTTGAACGTGCCCTATGCAGCGGATCGTCTTGATTCGCCGAAACGAGAGATGGGCTCTCCATGGTTCCCATCAAGGGCTCGTTCGAGGTTATCGAACGGGCCTCGAGACCGGGCCTCAAGTGTGCCGAGCCATTCGGTTTGCCGCCGTTCTTTTGTTCAGATTGACGTGCCAGTTCCCGCTCCCGGTTCTTCTCGAGAAGAGCACCGCCAAGCGTTGCGCACTTTAGAATGGTCTGTATCAAGTGGTTTTGCTGTAGAGGTTTGGATAAGTATTCGTCCATCTGGGCCTGTATACACCTCTCCCGATCTCCCATCATAGCGTGTGCCGTTAATGCGATGATCGGTGTCCGGTGAGAGCCAAGGCTGCGTTCGTACTCGCGGATCTTATTAGTAGCTTCGAAGCCTCCCTACATACGATTAGCAATTTGTAATTGGTTCCGGAACACTGCGGCGGGTGTCAAACCATTATTGGCATCTGGACATCCATTAGGATGACATCAAATTTCTTTTTCTTGACGGCCTCCACAGCTTCTAGGCCGTTCCCAACCACGGTGACGGCGTGATGATATTTCTCGAGAATCTTTACAGCCAGTCGCTGGTTAACCCTGTTATCCTCAGCAAGTAGAATTTCGAACGATTTCGTATTGTCAGCCAGGGACGGCGTAGCACGGTTCTCTAAAGCAGGAACCATTCCATTCCCCAGGTCGATGGGTTTACAAGGAGTGGTCATGTAAGATGTAATGCCTAGATCCAAGCATGATTTCAGGTTGACGTGAACGACTGGTGCCAAAAGGACAATCGGGAGGTATTTGAAGTCTTCAACAGCCCTTAGCTTACGGGCGGTGTCGATAGACTCAACAATGATCACGTCGTATGGCGGATCGTCCGACCCAGGCACGTGAGGATTTCCTTCGGTGTTTACAACCACCGGTACAAGGCCAAGCCTCTGTAGCATATTGACGATTTCTCTCCCATATTGGGTGCGTCCCTTGTCGATAAACAGCACTTGATGTCCCTTGTAAGGCTTCAGTTGCTTCTCGATGGACGCAACCTCGCCGTCTGCCAACTTGACCACGCAGGTGAAGTAAAACGAGCTGCCTTTCCCGAACTCACTCTTAACCCAGACGTCGCCGCCCATCAAATTAACTAATCTCTTCGAGATTGATAGACCTAAGCCGGTACCACCAAACTTACGAGTCATGGATCCGTCCGCCTGTTGGAAAGTATCGAAAATCAAGTCGAGCTTATCAGGCGGGATTCCTATACCCGTGTCCGAGACGACAAACTCGATTGCATACTCGCGGGGATCCTTTGGAGGGGCACCTTCGGCTTTTCGAATCGTCAAGCTTACTTCGCCATGCTCCGTGAACTTGATGGCGTTGCCCACAAGGTTCAGAATGATCTGTCGTAGACGGAAGGAATCACCGACCACATAATCAGGAACAGAACTGTCAACCCGATATGTAAGGTCTAGGAACTTCTCGTTCGCCTTGACAGCCAACGTCTTCAAGGCATTGAAAACGGTGCCCCGTAAGGTATACGGGATTTCCTCTATTACCATTCTTCGAGCTTCAATCTTCGACAGATCCAATATGTCGTCAATAATAGTCAACAAACTGTTGGCAAGGTTGTTCACAATATTCAGCATTTCCCTCTGATATTGCGTGAGATCGGTATCGAGAGTTAATTGTGTCATTCCAATAATGCCGTTCATGGGGGTTCGTATCTCGTGCGACATATTCGCGAGGAACTCCGATTTGGTCTTGTTGGCTTGCTCGGCCGCCTCTCTTGCCTGCGTGTTTCTTTGGATACTGTCTCGAAGATTGTACACCATCTGGTTGATCTTTCGCTTGAGCTCGTCCATTTCGCCGGAAGCTTCCACGTCGACTAGCTTGGTGAAATTTCCGTCGGTAGCAGCGTTAGTAATATCGCCGAAAGCTCGCACCTGGGTGGTCTAAGTAATACCATTAGCTTCGCCGGGCATAACGTGTAACAGAGCATAAAAGCAGAACTTACCAAGTTCGTCGCCATTGTGTTGACATCGGCAGTGATCTCTTTCCATCGTCCCTTTAGACCTCCAACATCTGCTTGGCCTCCCATTTTACCGTCTACGCCGACATCCTTTGCTACACGTTGTACTTCATTACAGAAGACCGACAGGCGGTCAACCATGTTATTAATAGTTTCCTTCAATACGAGTATCTCGCCCTTCGCCTGCACATCGATCTTCTGGCTCATGTCGCCATCGGCAATAGCTTGGGTAACCGTGGATATACCTCGTACCTGAGACGTCAAGTTTAGAGCCATTGTGTTGACATTTTCGGTGAGGTCTTTCCATTTCCCTTCTACATCGTCAACTCGAGCCTGGCCACCCAAGGTTCCGTCGGTTCCGACTTCTCTGGCGACCTTGCTGACTTCGAAGGCAAACTTGCCCAAGCGGTCCACCATGGAGTTTATCGTCAATTTTAGTCTGAGCATTTCGCCTTTGACTTCAACGGTGATCTTCTGGGATAGGTCTCCTGCTGCTACAGCCGTGGTAACCTTGGAAATCTCGCGCACCTGCGTTGTCAGATTCATAGCCATACCGTTGACATTGTCGGTGAGATCACGCCAGGTGCCTTCAACGTCATTCACCGTAGCCTGACCACCGAGACGACCTTCGGTTCCGACCTCTCGGGCAATCTTGCTGACTTCGCGTGCGAATTGGGATAATTGTTCAACCATAGAGTTGATAGTCGACTTGAGTTCAAAGATCTCGCCCCTGCATTCGGCTTGAATTTTTTGAGTGAGATCTCCTTTGGCAACAGCAGTAGTGACCTTAGCGATGTCGCGTACTTGGGTCGTAAGATTATTTGCCATGGCGTTCACGTTTACCGTTAACTCGTTCCATATACCTTGAACACCCATTACATCGGCTTGGCCTCCTAAGATACCCTCGGTGCCTACATCTCTAGCGACACGACTGACTTCGGATGCAAATGTACGCAGTTGCTCAACCATAGTATTGATAGTTTGCTGAAGCTGAAGGATTTCACCATTGGCCGGCCTCTCGATCTTCTTAGTCAGGTCGCCATGGGCGACAGCGGTTGTCACTGAAGCGATTTCTCGTACTACCGATAATAATTAGCTATTGGTATTCAACAAGATGTATTTGATTTTTAAACGAACCTTGATCGGTGAGATTTTGAGCCATTACGTTAACTACACAGATGTTAGTAAATGTCGGTGAAAATATCGTCAGGTACCCTACCATTGTCTGTCAGTTCTTTCCAAGTTCCGTCTACGCCTTCGATCATGGCCTGGCCGCCAAGTATGCCATCTGTACCGACTTCACGCGCGACACGGGACACTTCGCTGGCGAAGACCTGTAGCTGATCCATCATGGTATTGATAGTCCGCTTGAAAGTCGTAATTTCCGGGTCCATTTCCACAGTATTCATTCGAACCTTCATGGTGAGATCACCTCGTGCAACGGCGCTAACAATAGCACCAATTTCACGGAGCGCCTTTTGGAAGGCCTCGTTAGCTTTTTGATGTTTCCATAATTCCCGTTCCAAGGCAGCGACCCGTTCCTTCTCAATGAGTTCAAGGGCCTTCTCTTGCAGTTGTTTCTGCTCTATAAGCTGAGCATTGACATTCGTCAACTCTTGGCGTTGGTTGTCGAGTATCTTGGATTGGTCTATGACATGCTCATGAAGTCCCTCGAGATCTTCATTGGTGAGGGGAAGAACCTTCACGGCTCGTTCCTCACTGGCGCCGTTCCGGGCGGGCGGGAGGACTGCAAATCGAGAGCGACCTCCTGACGATTTACCACCTAGGGGACTAGGGGACTCATCGCCAAAAAGAGATTCGGCCGTCTCGTTAGGCGTATCAGGAAAAACTGCACCATTTCCAACACTGGCCTTGGCCTCGAGCTGTTGGATCCTGACTACAAGGGCAGAAAGCTCACGCTCAAGAGTTTCTTTAGCATGGCTTTCGTGACCGGGTAACCTGATTTGGGAATTGGTGCCGATAGGAACAGGAACCGAGTTGGCATCTTGGGGGTAAACGGCTAATGATTTAACAATGGCAGCAGTGGCCACCAGGGTCTCCTCGTCGGCCATCACCCTCATGATTATGGATTTAAGACGCTTAAATCGTCTTGAAATGCAGGTTGTCAATCGTAAACGGTAAGAGGAAAATGGGCGAGCCAGCGTTCGGTAGGCGCTGGATGAGCTTATGACGAACGCATGGAGCAGGACGATGCCGATGTCGATAATACAGCAAAAATACAGGAGCGGACCAGCGGATTTAGAAAAGGGATCTATCTCTATCGCAATTTGTCGCGGCGTTCCCGCCTTGACGGCGGTCGGAAGGGAGCGATTTGGACAACCGTGTTAAATTCAGATTGTTAAACAGTAAACCGTTTTCAAGGACTATACAAAATTACAACGACAGTAATACTCGAGTGTAAAAAGATGATAATAATAGGTGGTCGTGTCGTCGTATAGGATAATTGTGTGACTTTGATGAGATGGATAAATCTGAAAGGGAAGGCCTCTTTTGTCGGAATAAGGAGAGACCCTGCTTGAAAGCGAGTGGGTGGAGAGACGAGGGCTCAGGCTGGGAGAGGAGGTGGTATGTACTGCAAAATGTATGTCAAGGTATGTACATACGTAGTAGTGTACACTATGTCAAGGGCCGCTGCTATGTACGTTAACCTAACTGGACAGGTGGGCCGTCTTTGGCTTTTCCAATTAGAACCCTGGTTAAAAGAAGATGCAATAAGGGAAAGTGAAGATTTAGGCGGGGACGATGGGGTCGGGGTGCTGAAGGATGAGAGGGCAAGATGGTGTAAGAGGGCAAGAGGGCAAGGGAAGGATGAGAAAAGGTGCCTATGGGCTGGGCTATGGGCTATGGGCTGGCTTATGGGCCACACTACATATGTGCTAGCCAGTCCTTGCCCTTAGTCTTGCCCTTTTTGACTGGTTGTTACTGGTCGCTAACGGTCGCTACCACCTGAGGGAAGTAGGTACGGCTTGGGGGAAGGAAATAGCCGGGTCGAACCAGCCACGCAGAAGAGACAAGAGACCTGGGAAGATTTGATGTAGGAGTTGGGTTAAGTTGTAACTGTGTACGGATTATTCGCACGTAAATTCGGGCACTAATAGCCTATAAAAAGCATATGTTTTTTTTTCTCCCCTTTCTATTTAAATTTTGCCTTTGTAAATATAAATTTTTTTTTTATCTTTGTGAAAAGATATGTCTTCCCGTTGTCCAAATTTAGACGTTGGGAGAAAGAAGGGTCCCTGATATCCACACCGTACTTATGTGGGTGCCGAATAGGTACATTAAGCCATATATGTAAGTACATAAGAAGGTACATAATAAGGTACATACAAGGTTGTGGCACCAACACCAAATAACCTCTGCATGGACATGGTCTTAACTGTATAAGCGCGATCTATAAATGTATGTACGGTATCTGGGTATCTGTATTTTTTAAGGAACATTTTAAATATTCTCGACATTACATACCTAGATACGTTATCAGATCCAGGGTTGGGGGAGAAGCAGGCTGACCTCTTGACCCTCCAAGTCGACCAGATAGTTGACCAGAGCTTTATCGCCTCCGCATCGCATCGACAAGTTCAATACGAACTGTTGGGTTGGCCGCCTATGTCGCTATGTGGGTACCTTATACAAGTACATATCTACCTAAGTACTTCTGCGCCTACCTCGCAATAGTACGGTACTTAGCGCCGAGGAAGGACATGTCTTCTTGTGATACACAGATACACACACCTGATGGGCCTTAAACTTCTTAGACCAAAATTCAGGTTGTACGTGCATGTAAATCAAAACGAATCAAACAACCAAATCCCATATTACCTCTATATAATAAGAATACATCTCGCATTTGGAGGCAGATGCAGAACGTTTGTGGGGGGGTAACGCCATTGCCATTTGCCATGCGACTAAGATGGCTAGTTTAAGTATAATCATCTACAAAATAGGTAACTAAACCAGCTTAAACAATTAGATAAATTAGATACTCACCACTTACCTAGGTAACTAACAGGCATCCCACAACATGTATTCCACATCCACGAGACTCGACAGGGTCTAAGCTTGCAAAGTCCGCGGGCGTTAGTAAACGTTCCACTCAGATGGGTTTACCCTAACTTATTCAACTTACCTAGATGCGAGACAATCCGTCGCTCGGGGGGAAAGTCTAGTGAGGCTCGATACGGCAATGAGCTGACGCGCCCCGTCTTGTGTGCCGTATGTATTCCTATCCAGCATTACCATACTAAATACCTGACCCTAGGTATTTATCAAGGCTCTTACAGTTACCAACTCGGTTACAAGTTCCTCAAAACTGAGCAGCGATACTGACGTCATGTGCTACTAGACATTCGACCTATCTTGGAATCCTACCTCCCTACCTACTACAGTATGTAGAGACTCTTGTAGTAGTGTATCTATCGATCGATCAATCATTTCTCACAAAAGCCTCACAAAAGTTTCCATGGCTTCAACTCTTTCGAGCCTCGCGCTCGGCTCCGGCGTGGCAGCCACTATCACTCGGGCTTTGCAAGTTTGATAGGTACATTAACAGCATTAGCAGCTTAGGTATTCCCCCATTGGTCTGGACTGCCAAAAGTCGCATATTCTATATTCTGTACCCAAGGTGGCTACTTGGCTTGCCTGCATGGTGCTTGCTGCCAGGCTGCTTGCATTTCTACATACACACACGCAGTATGTAGGGTTGGATGCTCCATACATTAGCTGCTCGCCCGTTGGTCACTCCGACTAGATTTTCAACTGGATTGACTGGCTTGACTAGATTTCCGACTGGAATTCCACCTGGGCAGTCAAAAGCATTGACGTCCCGTCTGTCTTACCTACCACACCGTATTCGATATCCGCTACCTAAGTAACGATGTATTGGATATTGTGTACGGCTTCGTGGATTGGTTCTAAACCTTGCCGCACAACGAGCCGAGTCCCCACCGGATTGGTACGTGGACTTCGTGCGTAGCAAATGGGCAAAACGGGTCAAGAGATCGCGGCCCATCTCCCCCTCTCCATCTGTCGGGAGTGGCTGGACCCTAGAAAGCCATTTCATTTGTGCGTTCCTCCTGTCGGCGTCGCTCTGCTGTACGGCATACAAACAAATTCGTTACAAATCTGATGAGCAGCACATACTTTCCTATTTCGCTAGACATGCTGTTTGGTTGTTTACCATACGAGACCCTGTGGCCTTGTGCTGCCTGCGGTTTTACAAGCACAAAGCTTACACTCATTCAGATGTGGCAAACCAGACCCCCGACTCTTTTCGATTAACTAGCCTTCTTTTGCCCTTTTGCCCTTTTCGCCCCAGCGATGATCAGCAAGGGGGTGGACGGATGGTGGGCACTTCACCATCATCTATTGGCAACTTATCGTCACCGGTATGTTGCGAAATGCTTCATTTAAAATTACCTTGAGTCGCATTTTTTATTAAGCAGGTCAGCAATCGGCTAAGAAATCTGAGGGAAAACTCCCTATCGAGGTTGCTATCTCTTTTCCCCCCCTCTCTCCCTACCCCCCAATACCATCAGATAGTAATGTCGAGTGACGTCACAGCATCTGCACATCTGCATGTGCACCCAGCCCGACCCAACAGGGAATCATCCCAGGGTCTTGCCCGCTCTGTGCCAGGTCTTGGCTTTCGAAATACATGAGGCAATCAAATGCTGTTCCATGCGCGAAACTGCACCGACTTCCCTGACTTCCCTGACTTCGAAACGAATCATATAGGAAACCCGGGTCATCGGCTCTTGATGAGATGACAAATGGCCCGGATTCGTAGGGCTATTGGAGCGTAGCGCCGAGTTCGAGAAACGGGACACGCGATAATCCAGGGATCACTGCGGACTGTCACCCGTATTTTCTCCTTTTTTGGTTTCTTTTAGCTTTGTTTTTTTTTTGCTACTGTCCATGTATGTACCGTATGTGGAAAATGGAGCCCTGATAGGCGATGGGTCGTTCGGTCGCCACGATTCTTATTCATTCATAGGGACAGCAAAAAGACCCTTTCGTCTTCCGTATGTCAAAACCCCACAAAGGGACCGTCAAGCGCTTAGCTGCTGAAAGGAGTGGCCGAAGGTTTCCACTTAGGCTACAGACATTTCTCTTCATTTCACGTTGGTCGCCGTTCTATGTTTAGTCGTTCCGAATATCTATCGCTGAGCTTGGAATAGCGCCCGGCTAGAGAGGTAGGCATTGTTCACGGGATGGAACTAAGGTGAGCTAAAGAGGTCAATTCCCGCGGTCCCTCAGTTTCTCTCAGCTCCTCTGTAAGGCCTAGGCTAGCTGGCCTTGCTGGCTGGCTACGCCCCGAGCACGCGAACGAAGTCGAGGTGAAATTACACACACTAGCGTTTCGAATCGTGGATCTCGTTCGCTAATCCTCCAATGCTCGAAATGGAAATATTTTGAGAGCCACTCAGCACTAAAGATCATGGTCAGATACCTACTGCATACCATCTTATATCATAGAAATGAAGGGTGAAGATTTGCACTTCGAGATCCGGGTTCGTCTATTCCTCGGTAGATCTATATACTGACTATCAAACCAGTACCGAGGATCTCAGGATCTATTAACCACGCCGTTCAGCTGTTAGTTTTGGCATATTGCACTTGTAGTCTAGCCTATCGGCCCAAGCGAGGTTATCAGGCAATCCGACACCGCTAGATCTAAAGACTCCGCCTGTACATACACTACACCACGCGAGACCTCTAAATTGCTTGCTATTTATGTATACGCGTACAACATTTTGACAGCTCCGACACGGCCGGTAGTGTAACTGAAAATGCCCGTGTCCTAGCCTCTCGATTCCTCATGAATCCTACGAAGTCGGGAGCTTTCCCGGCCGCGGCGGAATCTCGAATATACGGAGCATGATGCTGAATTTCATCCTATCGCCGAGCTGTAACTTGATTATCGCATCCTCCGAGCATGGCCGTGAAGAATACATCGAATAACCAAGCCACGAAAACTAGGGTTGTTACGGAAAGCCGAGTAAGCACTTGATAGGATAAAATGAGGCGCGCGGCACGGATCTAAGTCAAACATAATAGCTTC